ATTGGATAATTTAAACATTTAATAGTTGAGAAATAATTTGGACAGAGAATCGTCTCTGTCGCTCTTGAAAGGCTCGCCGGGTCTCTAAACTCTAACGAGAGCCTTGCGACGGAGCCAATGAAGAGAAGGGTGTAGAAGAGAGATAGAATGATAAGTGGAGTGGAGAACTACTAGCGTAAAAGAGGGATTAAGGGGAAAGAGGGTAGAGGGGTAAAGAGGAGGAGGCAAACAGTACGACGCCGTCGGCGACGATGGTTCGGTAAAGGGGAAGAGGGCAGACGGGAAACTCGGTGGCATCTGAGGAATGCCATGTAATAATCGAGCAGCCGTATAGAATTAAGCCAGGTGGCGCCACTGATCGGCTCAATGCTCCTGAATCTCTTGGCCAACCGCAACAATTCGCATTACATCACGATAAATACATTTTATTTAGCTATTGATTAATTAATTAATCAGTTAACTGATTACCTACATCGTTTATTAAATACTCTATTAATTTATCTATTAATTTACTGCAGTACTCAAACTGTCAATTCATTATTTAAACAAAAATTATTCCAATGCTAATATTTTGGATAATTATTTTTTCAATCATCCAAATCGCTTATTATTTATGATAGTTGAGGTAATTATATTTAATTAATTATAAATAGTGTTTATGACAAATTATAAATAATATAAATAGTGAAGAAAATTCTAGATAACTATGAAAAAAATTTTTTTTATGCGTGAAAATCTAGGGTACATCTAAATAAAATTAAAATAATTTTAATTCATAAAAGTATAAACATAAAAAACAGAATAAAAATATAAAATGTATATTTAATAATTGATCAAAAATAAATGATGCAATGATGAGAGAAGATTGTGTTTGAAAAAAAAATTGCAATGACTAATAAAAAAAGAAAGTACTTGGCGAATTACTTTAGTTTAGAAACTTGTTAAAACGTTGAAGGGGTTTATAAGGAGTGGACATACAATACTAGGGAAGGGGGATAAAAAATAAATAATAATAATAAATAAATAAAAAAAAAGAGAGAAAGAAACCGGTATTTTTGCTAGCGAGGGGTGCATTTGGTTGCGATTATAAAAGCTTGGAGCAACCCCACGTAGTGTCTAGACAGACGTGGCCTCCTATCAAAAACAGACTGCCGAATTGAAAGGATCCTGAAAGGGCAAGGAACTCTCCCTCTCTCACGCGGCATGAGGGTAAGACGAGAGATCAAGAGAACCGTTACCACAATGTACAAAAATTAAACGTTACGCTGTACGTTTTGTATTACTATTGCTACAAATATTTCATATCTATATATATCTACATCGCTTAAGCGAAAAAAAAACGTCTCTCGGTTCAGAGAAAAATATATTTTTTAAACGAAAATATTAAAAATGAAAAAAGACAGATAAAAAAAGGAGGGGGAAAATATTGAGAGATATTTGCTGGGCAATCTGGAAAATGACTAGGGAAATTGAAAAGCCGAGACGACGACAACGACGTCGATGACGAGAAAGAGAAATTGAGGAAGAAGACGTTGCTGGCATGAGCACAACCTTGACCAGTTGTGACGGCTCAATCGATTATCGTTTAGGAGTTGAGGGTGGATGACCTTTTACCCTCTTACTCCTGTCGAAAAAAAACACACACGTATGAAAAAGGGCATAATAATTATTTAATAGCTTGATCGATTTACAAACGACGTGGGGTTGAAAATATATATCTTTTATCAATCAAAAATATACAGTCACGCTCAAAAATTATCGTATTGACTTTCAACACTTTGAATAAATATTATTGTTAAATACAGGAAAAAGGATCGAAGAATTTATTAAAAATAAATTCAACTTTTTTTTTTGTGTTGATGACTATTTAATCATGGTATGTAAATTAATCACAATAATGTAAATGAAATCACGAATTAAGTAAATCAGTTATTGATTGAAAAAGAAAAATAATGTTTACATTCTATCCAGATCTTGTATTTTTTTTATTTCCCAAATGGCCTGGGAATAATTTATAACACAATCCCACAACAGAAATCAATCCTGAGTAAATAAGAAAAAAAATTGATCAACTTATAATAATTGTCAATAATACATAAAAACGATTTATCAATAAGTAGCTTAGTCGAATAATTAAAGTTTAAATTTTTTATTTTGATATTAAAAACAAGAATTACAAAGAACCTGTTCAGAAATATAGATACAATTATGATGACTAAAAAGTCGAAGTACGATGGAAGAATTCATAGAATAAAACTAAATACTTGATGACGATGCATCAAGGTGACCTATCATCATGAAATGTAGAGTTATTTGATAATTTAATGATTAAAAAAAAATCTTGAGTGATTAATCGAGTACAAATCAATGAAATCACGTTCAAAGACGATGGATTGAACGGAAGTATGAATCAGGAAGCTGAAACACGCGTGTGTGTCACGTGTATATCACGTCATGAGGGTCGAACACGTAACAAGAATCGTCCATTACTCACGCAAAATTCATTCAACCTTGCGTAAACACGCGAGGAATTTTTATTTACAAAATTTCGTTTTCTAAAAAACAATAAAATTTTAAGTAATCCAAGATTACATATTTGCATGTTGAGTGTATGATTAAAAATAATATATAACATCTTATAAAAATCATCAGAAAAAACGATTGATTCTAAAGAAGAGAATAGATGAAAGAAATACACAGAATGTGAAGTTAAAAAAAAAATATATAAGCCTCTATAAGCGTTCGAAATACGTACTAAGCGTCAGTAGGCGCATTCCTAGCGAGAACAGGAAAGATTTCCTGGAATTGTTGGTCGGAAGTAGGGGAGCAAGTTGGAGCATTTGGTGGAAACTTCGGACACCCTACAAAGTAGCACGACAACCCCAAGAATATGTTCGTTATCACCCTAAACTTTGTCAATTATATTTTTACTTTTTTATAATTAACGTATGGTTTTTTTTATCTCATACATCGTATTGAGCTAAAGATAATTCGAAACACTAGTAATAACAGAAATAATTATTGTGGGTCAATTTTGATGACTAATGGGGAAGTTTGACATTATTAAAGATTGACCAGAATATTTTTAACTATAGTTATAACAAGTAGCTAATAATTATTTGAAAAAATTCTGCTGATTGGATCAGTTAGTTAAAAACATCAGATAACATTTGAAGTTTTAACTCAGAAATTAATATTTCAAAACAAGCTTGTTATTGTAAAAGATTACTTTAAAATTATACTAATCATTTAATTAAAGTTTTTAATGAAAAATTTAATAACTTTCAATGATTCAGACCATCTTCGACTTACTGTTAACGAGAAACAGTTTTTCATTTATTCATCAAGGAATGTTTTTAATTATAATTAAAAAGGTTTTAATACAATTCATTTATCTCAATTATTATAATTATATAAATAATTAACATTAATGAAATTCCAACGAGTTTAACGGTGGTGGTGGTGGTGTCCGTTACACCCTAGCCAACAGATGGCGTTAGTAAATAGTGAATAGATGAAAGATCAGTAACCCTGATGGGCGAAAGACCTCACTTATTACGTCTTACTCTCTTTTTAATGCTCATTTTGCTTATAACACTATCTCTTTTCCACCAATCCAATCCTAAATACAACTATTACTAGTCAACGACTACTAGAGGACACTACCAACCAGGTTCCCGATCATAATCTTTAATATTTACCGCGATTTTCACTTAATTGTTCATTAAAATTCAATATTAACTGGTACTCAGTATTTCTTAATCTATCTAATACTTTGGAATATAATGATACATATGAGGTTAATTAGTAATGATTATTTATAATTAATTCTAAGGATAAGCAAAAAATTAATTAATAAGTTCTCTGGTCAAAAAAACATTTTCCAGTTGATTTTGCAAGCAAGACTACTTTAGAATTTCAATTTTATCATCTGAAACGATTTATTTTGATGATAATAACAGTAGGGGATAAGATTATTTATAATAAACAAATGAGGTTTAAGAAGGTTGAAATTTCTTGCAAAACAAGCTCAAAGCAATTTACTTTCTACTTACATGTATATATAATATATTATAAGTCTTTTGTCACTTCTTGCAAAGAGAAGTAAACAGGCTTATTGGTAACACTTGAAATGCTTATAAAAACTATTCAAGTAAGAAAGGGAAAATAAGTAACTTGATACACATGTTGATTGAATTTGTATTGATAAAATGACGTTTGTTATTGGGCTGCAGGCAAAAAAAAATGATTGGAATTAAATGAATGCGTTTGGAGAATTAGCATAACCTAAAAAACGAGTCGTAGGTCGCGGTACAGTGGCCACGCCAACTGAAACTCGAAAAAAGACACACGGCATGCCTTCTTTTCGCCAATCATCAGTAGTATGCAACGAAACTTAAACGTAACCCACAAGCGCCGTGGCCACCCCCGTAAACTAACAACCCCATTTTTTAATTAATTTAATAATCAATTTCAAACTTACGGGCATCGGTATTTTCCAAATCTTCATTCTGGAGAAAGGAAATATCTGAAACCCACAAACACCACAGGTTAAACGTAAATTATCCTCGTGTTTTTACCCAGGCCTCATCCCGTCCACGAACACTCACTCACCCGCCATCTTGTAACAAACTGACGCGACATCGTGCGGTTATTTTCATAACTTATTTCTGCGAGTCGATTTATATCGAATTTTAAATCTCGTGCAAAAATATCGATATCACTCGGCTTCATTTTTTACACTGCGCAAAAAAAATCAAATCATTATAAAAAAATAGATTAAATAAATAAATAAAAAATTAATTTATTATTTTTTTCTTTTTTTTAATTTCTCATATTTTTGTATTACTTTTTTTTAATTAATGACAAAAAAATTTATTAAATAATAGAAAAAAATAAGGAAAAAAAACCATAATTAAGGAATATGGATTCTGGAGTGGAAAAGATTGAGAAGTATTCGAAATAATGAATAAGCAATTCATACAACGTTATACTTTTTCTTTATATCCTCCCAAGAATATAATGTGTATATAGATTTTTATATACTTTTTTGTTCTTTAAACTTAATAGTGATTCTTAAAGACTTCTTGTTTACTGCTATTTAATATTTTACAAGTAAATGATTTAGTTACGATAGATAAAATTATCTTTATTTATCAGTAATATCTCATTTTATCTGTCTTCTGAATTTTCTATTCTAGAAAGAATTAAAATTTGAGCCAGAAATATTTGAACTCTAAAATGATTACAATTACAAAGAATGTGGAAATTAATTTTAACTCAATATTAAATTTAATAAGAATTTCACATTGAATAGTTTATGTCGGAACTATGTTAATAACAGTAATATTAGAGTGCAAAGAATCAATTATGTGTTTATACACTCTCTTAATCCAACAAATTAAGATTAAAGTACTCTCGACTCTTAAAGACATTAGTTATTTTCATTCACAAGTGATTTTTAAAATATAATTTTATTATTAATATAAATGCATAATATTTTATTTCATCACTCATTAATTCAAAAATAATGTTATATTCATGTTTAAACTATTTCGTGAAATACATAATGAATTTTTGTCACGGCAGTCAATTGAGAAAATAATATTTCTCATTTACATAGTTAAATGATATTAATTATTTCATTTATTAATTTGAATAAAATTTTAATCAATATTTCTTTGTTTTTTTTTTATTCGTTATGTGGTCAAAATACTGCTGATTAAGAAGAGAAAAGGAATGCATGTTAGATAATAGCTTACCTTTTTTATTTTATCTTCCTGTTAGTAAGAATAATTATTTGTGATTTATTATTTTTCGTTGACGTGTTTGTAAAATAGCGCGGATGTGTGTAATTTGTTAGAGAAAATAATGAAAATGATAAATTTTATAATTCTTAGCAATTATTTAAATGCTAGTTAGTGGTAATTATGTCACACATTCTCTAATTCAACAGCCACTTCTTCTATTGTCGCTCTACACATCGGACATTCAACCAGTTGAGTAGGACACGTTTGACAGAACCCTCTGAAAAATGATGTTATTTTTAATAACTACTTAAACTTACTCGTGTAATTAAAAAGTATATTTTTAATTACCTATGATCACAAGGTAACAGCCTAACGGAGGCTTTTTGATCATAACATAAGGTACAAGAATCTTCTCTTACACTTAATTTTCTTAGCTGATTTAAATAAATATGCCGAGGCAAAACTACTTTGTCTTCTGGATTCAATTTAGCATGGTCATTAAACTTCTTAAATTCTCGATCTGTTGGCGGATATTTAAAAGGCACATTGCCAAAGTTAAAAAGACACTGTTGAAAGGACATAAAGCTGGCAGCAGCATAAAATCCTGATCTGGCTGTTTTGAACACTTGCACACAAGGTTTCAATGGAATACCATTAATATAAAATATTATTTCTAACTTATTCAAGTCTAAAAGACATCCAAGAATATCTCCAGCTTTCCAGGGCGGGCGATCGTGATATTTTTCACTACGTGCATTGTGCCAAATAAGTCTTCGACAACCATCACAAGCTAAAGAATAAGCATCGTCACCAATACCATATCCTTCCTATTAAAGAAATAGATGTATCATTTTATATATTAACTAATAATGTCGAATACTTACATGATTCAAAAAAGTGCTATTCTTCGTTGCCCAACCAATCTGCATAACTCCAGTGGTCATGATAAGAGTTTCATAATACCAAACTCCAGAATCAACTTGAAAGGTACACCGTACACTTTCAAAAGAGTATGCATCACAGCGCGCTTCTAAACCATTCGGCGATATTTTCAGGTACTCACTTACGTCCTTTGTATTCAACATTACATTAATTCCCGTTAAATCGACAGTGTCATGAGAATATTTTCTACCTTCTATCAAAACTATGATAAAAATTTAAGTTAGTTATCATTATTTTAAATTATAAAAAAAGTTATTAGAATTCAATGAAAAAAAATATTTACATAAATTATCTAAGCACCACTGAGAAGAGAAACCAACTTGTCGTTTCACATAATGAGTTTCATCTGCCCATTTTTCTAAAGCTAACAGTGGATGCTCCTTCTCTTCCATAAGTCTCTTTTGAATCGTCAATTTATTTTCACTTGTCTGAGCAAATTTTTCCAAAGCAATCAATGAGTATAGTATCACGTGTGGCTCTTCATTTTCATTCTGAAATTGATGAAAATTGTTTGATTTAAATTAATTAATAAATTAATAATAGTAATCTTTAGAAAGAAATCATTTTTTAAAATTATAAACTTACAAGATTCGATACGAGGTAGTCTAAAGTTGCTTTTGAAAGGACAGCTATACTACTAGGACCTGCTAATTTTTCTGCAATGCAACCAAGCACCACACAAATATTTCTCTGTTGAGTTATGCTTGTTTGTACCTTTCCAGTCTTTTGAGACAATTGAAACATTTGCGAAAGCTTCAAAACAGTATCCTAAATGATGAAACGATAGTTTAAAGGATTTGAAATGAACTTTTTCAATAAAAAAAAATTTTTATAGTGATTCTAAGATATAAATAACGGAAAGATATCATTTTTAGAAATAAAGAATACCTTCGACGGAAGAGGACAATCGTCAAGTAATAAAGTAATGACTGAAGGACCTAATGGACTGTGCATGGGGATAACATTCACCATCGAACTGACTACTTGAATCCATCCTTCTTCTTTATCAGCTATTGCATGAAGCTTTAGCATTGATGGCGGTGGTTCTTGATCACTGAAATTTATACAAATTATTATTATGGTTATTTTGTATAATTTTTATTATTTAATTTTGCTTATTTATTAATTAACTCAACTTACTTATCAACAAGGACTCCAATGACTCCCAAAGTCTCCAGGACCAGTTTGTCAATGTGAGCTGATGTAGGAAACTTGAACCCAGAAGATGCATCGCTTACACAGTGACTTTCATTGCAGTTAGGTGACAATACAGAATTGTCTGAAGTTACATTATTCCGATGATTAGTTTCTTGATCCTCTTGGCCGTCGTTGCACAGACAATTTCCCATTCCCACAGATTTCTCAGGCCACTTTCTTAGCCACAAATTTTCAAAAATTTTTTACGTGGCATCTAAACATGATAATGAAGAGTCTCTGGTGTTTATCCACTCTATTTTCATCTGTCAGTTAGTGATGTATTTGATTAATAGATAATAAATGACGTTAAACTTATTTTTATATGATCTGTTAAGCACACAGACAATGTGCGAGGTATGCTCGCAATGTAAATAATTTGCAACAGCTAAAATTTTACTGACATATGACGAAAAAACGGTACAACCTTTCGGTTCGCCGATTTTATTATCGTTTTAGGTTAGTTTTATGGATTTTTCGCGTAAAATTCTTGTAACAAACGGAATTATCACGACATAAAAATGATTTTTTAAATTTATTTTAACTGGAATGTCAAGTTCATTTGATGAATTTTATAATGAATATTACTCGAGTAATTTTTTATCACCTTTAAATAATAATGTGATTTCTTACAATGCACCTTTGCAAATTCCTATACGTGTATGACTGGCAAATACTCATACACTTATGATAAAAATAAGGTATACACAGATGAATAGTCATAATAATCAAAACTCAAACAAGAATTCAATAACATCTCAATGCTTTTTTAAGGTTACATTCTCTTATCTCTTCTCTGAGTCATTATTACTTCACTTTTATTTTTTTTTTTTGCTGAACTTTGAAAATGTTTATAAACACTGAACACTCAAAACATAAAGAATCAAAGCACAGTAAATATTCTTGAATATTGAATATGTTGATATAACCTTGATAAAAAATAAATTCAATTATTATATTATAATCGAGTTTCAGTTTATCTTTTCAGAATTCTGGTAAAGTTTAAATTCGCAAAATAAGTGGCAAATAGATAAAATTAAAGGTTAAACTTATTTAAGATTCTTAAACGGTATATTATATCAGATGTTTTTATTATAATTGCATACCTATGTGTTTTAATGTTAAGCGCTATTTCTTTTTGGATTAGTAAGTTACAGGAATTCATTGTTTTATCATAATTGCAAGTAATAAAATGAAAATTATTATCGAAAAATAAATTCTGCAACTACACAAGCAACTTCAATAAAATATGGCTGCAATAACTCTCGGAGGATAAAGCAGTGACTGCGTTGATAACTTACCATCAAATGTTCTTTATTATCGACAGTTTTGAGCGCGAAAAAATTTTTAGTTTAGATATTTTTTTGAAATTTTGTTTTGTTAAAATTCTGTTTTACTTATAATTATTGCTATAAAATGTGTACATTATAAGTTCCAGTTAATGTATCAATAATGATATAATAATATTAATATTTGCGTCAAATAAATAATCATTTGTTTCACCACATAAATTTGTATTATTATTTTTCATTTTTAAGTTTCAATTAACATATTTCTAGTTTTATATTTTACGACTTGAAATACTTTCAATTGTATAAATGAAATTAATTTCAACTAGAAATTTATTGTCCTCATAAATCTATGGACGTCAAGTATTATGTATGTTTTAAATTTAGAATATCTCAGTTCTGTCTTATACCGAAGCATAGTCACTATATTATATCATTTATTAAGAAAAAAAAGCATACCTGTATACTCGCATAATATTTACTATCATCTTAGTTGAGTTTTATAGATCCGGAAACTAAACCAAGTATTCCTAAATATAAATACAATTAAAGATCAATATTAAGAAACGAACAAAAAAAAAAAGAAGAAAATGATTGTAAAAAGATAGTAATAGAAAATTGCATGGTATGAAAAGTAACTCAAGGTAGACACCTTATTACTATATGTGAGTTCTTTTTCTTCTTACAGAATTTACTCCGCCTTTACTACTTTTAATTCAATTCCATCAATTTCTGATCAGTTTCATTACCTTCTCTGAATCATAAATCGATGTGAAAGTCCTTCAGCGGTTCTCACTTTAATCTTGAATGTAAATAAACCTTATCATATCCTTAATCCTTGTCCAATCTATTAAGAACACCGATAAAAATAGTAAATCAGTTAATTTATACACCATGATTTTTATTACACAATCTACAATAAAATTACGTACCTTGATAACATCTGTAAACAATCTTAGATTAAGAGCAATGTTATATCATGATATTGAATCTGAAGCTGGTTAAATAATCTAGATACAATATCAAGTTCTTGAGGATGATGAAGACCAGACTGTTCTGGGCTTTTTTGTATTCTGGCAAGACTTTTGACTCTACACTAGATCCTCAGAGGAAGCAAGCCAAATGAATGAAATGTTTTTCATCTTTCGTTATGGTTCTGTCGTTTTAGGTTGGCTGGAATAGTGCAAATGGGCAACGGCAAGAGTTCTTTGAAGAACTTCCAAACACATGGATAAATCCTCACACATTCTTGGATGTTTCTCTGATGTTGATGGTGGGGTTCAACTTGACTTCAGAGAAGCGTCATCAGCGGTGAACGGAACGTCTCGCGCAGGTTTTAGTTGTCACCGTGACGCCGCTACGTACGTTGTTTTGTGATGCTGCTGTTTTTTTCTAAAAAATTAAATATTAAATTAAATTGAGCAATAAAAATTGATAACATATTAACTAATACATGATATTTGAATAATATTGTGTAAATAAAAGAGGATGACAATATTTTAGTCAAAATATTTCCTCACTTGTTCACTTAGAAAATTGTCAAATTTTCAAAAAGTGATAAATAAAAATATTTTTTTTATTAAAAAACAAAAATGGATCAATGTCTGTAAATTATCCAAAAAAGGTATTTAAAATTTTATTTGTTTGTACATATATTTTTTCTATGTTTCGGAAGTCTAAAAATGTAGTACCGGGTTATAAAGTATGCTACCTACGCACTGTCACTGTTGGTTTAAAAAAATTTCTGGCACGTTTTTAAGCCTCTCCCAACAACTCAAGTCACGATCGCGTGTGCTATACTGTCCATACCTGCCATACTTGTATTGTGTTTGATGGCAAACGTGTTTCGTTTGAAAACTTGCGTGTTAAAAGAATTTTAATTTAATAATAATTTCTTTCATTAGTAGTAATACAACAAAAACTACTCAAGTTTACGTTACTAGAACTAATTATTCAAATTTTTCTATTATCATCTATTAATTAAATAATCTTCATCATTTTTCCCTTTTTCACATTAATTTTGAGTATCTAAATTTCAATTTTCTAATTAAATTCTCCTTATGATATAAATAATTGAATTATTAAACTGAAAGGAGAATTATCTAAATGATATAAAGTGTAAAAATTAATTTTTTAGTAATTTTGTATCAAATGTAGGCCTTTATTGACACATTCATTGATTAGGATAGAATTAAAGCTTGAAGAACAATCGATTTCCTCAATGTTTCTTTAACTACTTATTTCAACAATTTCATTTTAAATTTAAAAGCAAACCTCTACTTTCACGTATTGGCATTCGTCCCGTACTCGATTGAAGAACGAGCATATACGATAGATTGCGTAATGAAAGTAAGAGAGGGCATTAGACAACATTCGCACAATGCGTGACCTACCTTTGCGTATTAAGTCATGGAAATAAGTCATTTATTAATTAACCTTATACATTTACACTTTTCCCATCATTTTCGATCATTAAAGCTTAGTTTTTATAACAAAGTAGAGAAAAGGATATAAAAGATTAAATGTTTATAAGATAATGTTATTTCAATGAAACTATAATCATTGAAAAAGTCAATGATTTATGAAAATAGTAATTATATCCTAAAAACTATTTAGAGTCATAGCTTCATTCATTGTTCTATTTCTTCATCATAAATATTCGCTTAATCAGAAAAAAAATTCTATCATAATCGAAGTAATTGATAGTAAAAAAGTTATCTAGCACAAAAAAATCCACAAAAAAGAGCATAAATTGTTGAGATAACCTCACTTATGATTCATCGTACCGGTCATTTTATTTTTCCAGTAGTTACACATTTCCTTTGGATCTGGATTTCTTCTTTCTACATAAAATAAAATACAAAATTTATTTATTCTTGCTTTAATGATAAAAACACTTGCGAAATTCGTGCTAGTTTAAATATTAATAATTTCAAATTTAGATCAACTCACACGAAGTTTGGTAAAGTGGATGACTTCTTGGAATGAATATATGAATAGACATAAAAAGTCGATTAGTTAATTATACTCATTCGTACCTTCTTTGATTATTTAGCTGTCATCTACCTTAATTTTACCTCTATTTTCCTGCTAACTGGTTGTTAATTAATTTTTTTCGTTGCAAATCCGATCATTCCAAGAAAAAGGGTACAGAGAATCAAACGGCACCGGAAAAATAGTAGGAAGAATGTCGGAGATGCGCGCGCATCTATGTTACGGCGCTGAATTAACTGCCCATCAGGTGCAACAGGATGAGGACGTTCAGTGCAACGGCAGAAGTCGTCCAGTGAGTCTTTACGATAATTTCAAGGTTAGTTTGTGTGCGCTGGTCATGCGTAAATATTTTGATTTTCACTTTCGACATCACTTTCTTTCATACTTACTTTTAATTTTTATTAAATAATATTAAACCATCAATATTGTACATACTGTTGTGAATTAAACGAAAAGCTTACTAGTAAATTGATGAAACGACCTGTTAAATTAGTTCGCGGCGAAACAGGAAATGAAATAGAGTTTGAATGGAAGTGTGTTTATTGACGTTGAGAATCAACAGTTAGAATTGTTGATGCAGGACTCGGCGACGATGCCACCGTGCGTTACGTCTATGACGAATGCAAGTATTTTGAATCAAGTGACAGCAACAACAACGACAACTACGTCAGCAGTAACACAATCGGACAATAATAATCGTGTAAATACATTAAACAGTGGAAGTATGTCAAAGACTGGTAGCAAAGTAACAGGTACGAAACTTGATTCTTCTTATTATTTCAATTACACTTTGAAGTTTTTTTTTTTTTTTCAATAAGCAAATTTATTATTTTAATTGAATTGCTATTAATGTTGTTAACATTATTCTTATTAATTTTATAGGTAATTTATTAAAAACTAGGCTGAGACTTTAGTTTTTATTCACATTTTTATTATAATAACAATGGTGCTGAAGGTTACAACGTAACAATTGCTATTGATTATTATTCATTTGTATGTAATAATTCTAAAAACTTGAATTTATTAATTTACAATGAGTTCTCGTTTACTGAAATTTAAATGATTGTGAAGATTCAAAAAATTTGTTCATATAAAAATTAATAAAATATTAATATATGAATAAACTTAAATATAATTTATATAAAAGAATTACAATACCATAACTGAAGCTTTCAAAACAAAACAATGTTGCTTCATAACTTCTTGCAAAAATCTGTTAAGAAGTTTCATTACAAAATTATTTGCTTGCATAAAAGGAAAAAGTTAACAATAAATAATTTCCGCTCAACGATTTTTGAACTGAAAATTTCCCGTATTGCTGAATAAATTATTTATTTAAAATTCAACTTACTTATGGATTCATATTAATTTAACTAGTTGATAAAAATAGGAGGTTGGAAGAAAGAACTGATAAATAAAACAAGACTAAAAAAGGCGGTTAATAATTATCATTTTGATTATTTTTATACCTCAATAAAATATTTAATGCATTTTTAGGTGCGGCCACGACTAGTAACATTGCCTGGAACATGCCAGGGGATAAAAGTAAAGAGAAAGATTGTGAAAGAGCTCCATCGATGGCTAATTGTTTGTCCACGACTGTTCCCGTTAATCTTGCGGCTTCAAAAATTGCCGGAAGACATACTCCTACTCGAAGTTCCCTTAGGCATAGTCGAATGATTGTCATGCATCGTAATGGAAACAGTGAGTATGATGAAGACGAAGATACTTCATTGAAATTATACACATGCTCTAATGAGTAATGTTATCTTAATGACTATAGTTTATGGTGGTGACTAATAGAAATAATAGAAAAACTCTCATCAATTATATATTTTTCTGAGAAGAATTGTTTTTTCATTAATTTCAATATCTTTTAATTCTTCTCTGGTAAGTTTCATGAATACGAATTTTTTTTTTGTTTTAAAACGTGGGAAAAAGTTGATGCAACTGAAGATTTTGTTTTTTTTCCTGCGTTGTAGCTTTTGTCGCAACACAATATATCACTTGGTGGCCGTACAAACCGGAAACTATGCTAGCTAGAGTATCACTTTAGCTCTCAGGAACCAGTTTTATTCATGTTTTTTCTATTTGAAATTATTTTTCGTCATTTGGGTGATTGAAAAACGATTCTTTTACATCAAAACCTTGTTATTGTATGCTCAAGTGTTCATTTGATTCAGAAGTTGAATAATTTAAAGATAAGTTTTTCAATTATCAACATGTTTGCTAGTAAATTTCTCGTTTCATAGTTTTCGAAAACTATGTTGATATGGAAGTAGTCAAATTTTATGGGATGTTGAAGTATATATTCTAATCTATGACCTTTTTGATGAGTGAAAAATAAGTTTATCAGAATTGGAGTAGATATCGATTTCAAAATCTCTTAACAAAGTTATATAAATAAAGTTTAAATATTTTTTCAAACAACAATTATAAACTTGTGATTTGAAATTCTTCAAGCTAAGAGAAAGCTAAGAATCTATGATAATTTAAATCTTGATAATCAACGAAGAGGTAGGAAAGTTAGTTGATCTTCTGATATAACTGATACGACGAGGCGTTCGACAGTTGTCTATAAATAAATTTACCATACATTTTTTTTTACATATATTCCAAACATAGCAGAAGAATTCAAAATATTTTTAAAATCAGTGAATCAGTTTCTTTTACGACGAAATTCATTGTTTATGAGACATCTAAAACATTAAATGGCCCAGCGATGGAATTCATTAACATAAAATTATCTTCAAATTTTTTTTTATTTAAAAAAATTTTATTAACTTTAAATTGATTTTTCGGAAATAATTTTACAAACAAATGTTCTCAGAAAATTAATAGTGATTGAAATTTACCTTTTTCCTCATCGGTAAACACTAAAAGACTTTAAGAGAAAAAAGCAGTTTGAAGATTTAGCAGACACGTGTTGATTATTGAAGTGGAAATGGCACTCAAAGTATAATAGATTTATCCTCGAGACTGACTAAGTTCCTAACTATCTAATAATTTGAGTATGAAATATATTACTAATCTCAAAATAATCAATAAAGGCTTTTTGATATTTAAATCACTAAATATATCAGTTGAAACTTATTTTTATTCGATACACAATTATTCAATATATTGTCGCCTATAAAAAATATTCCATGAATATTTCGAATTATTATTAGTTGATTGACGTCATTGTGATCTTGAATAATGCAGGTGACTGCTAATCAGTTTTATGGTGACTCGAATTTATTCTTTAGTTCTCTTTTATCACTCTCTGGATGCAACTAAAAATAAGAGCTGTAAATAAACAAAAGTAAGGCTTGATGAAGTGTAAAATATTTAATGCACCTCTGACGATGTAGACAGCTTAGAAGCCCCAAAATCGACTCTGATCTCTTAATCTATCATATTTAAATAATTTAGTTTTCTGCTGCAACGATTATTTGTATTATTTACGATTATATCAGACACTTTCTGCATTTATAAAAAGAGTTGAGAGGTTTCGATTATTTTAATGGAAAGTTTTTCACTCATCTATTCAAACGATCTCTTTTTTTACTCCCTAAGAGTAATTCCAGAACTTGAAAATTGTCAATTTAACAAACGCATAAATAGATTATTTACATTTTCAATTAAGAAAATCAATCTAAATTTAAATTAGTATGCATAGTTTATAACCAACATCTATAATTTATTATTTCCAGTTCCAAGGAAATCCAGGCCACCTCTTCTGCGACGACGGAAGCTTGCAAGTAGTTTAGCAGCTCTTCAAACAATTTTAGGAGTTGTAATAACATCTTTGTCTCTTTGGTTACTTCTTTGGGCGCCCAATTTACCTTTTTTAGACAACCCATACTGGAGTGGAATGCCGGTAAGGTTTTATTTATTAAATAACATTACCTAAATTATAAATAAATTTTAATATATATATTTTTTTTTGCAGTTACTCTTCTCAGGAAGCTTCGGAGTGTGTCTACTATGCTGTTTCAAAAAGGAATACCCAGGTATGAGTCCAGGCTTTTGTTTGACATTGACAAAAATCATCAGCGTCCTCCTGGCTGTTGTTGCAACGATCACGTGTCTAGTGGCTTGTGTTACATCCGCGATGCATTTGATAAAATTAAATGGTCTTGAGTGTACTCCAGCCCGTGTCAGAAATGCTACATGTGCTTGTAGACCACGCAGTGAACTTGCAAGTCCGGCAGATCCGGTTTTGAAATACGTAGATTTGAATTGTCCAGAAGTAGAAGGAGTTTTAACAATTCTTTTATTATTTTCTTCAACGTGTAATGCTATAGGGGCAATTATAGCTGGATGGTATTGCTATCTTCATTGGAGTACACGTGATAAAAGACCAGAGTACATTAAAGTAAGGACTAGTTTGAGATCTTCTCTTGACACTCGACCAATTTATAATCCAAATCTAAATAGACGATGACAGGAATATACTTCTCCGGAGAAAAAGTGGAAAATAGGAAGTATTACGACTGCTTTATAGTCATGTGGACATTCAGTATTGTTATTGATAGATCTGCCTATATTTGAAAATGAATTATCGTGCAAAGATGATGAATACAATTGATTTTATTGATCAATTAATAGATCTAGCTGTTCAGATATTTCAATTAAATGGAATATGAACTGGATTTTTCAAATGAAAAATTCCAAATGATATTAAAAAAGAGACTAATGCTCATTAGAACTTAAATTAGGTATTAAATACTTATTATAAGTTTCAATTATAGTAAATAATAATTGTTATAAATAGAAATTTAATTTTTAAATATTTTAAGATTTAATCATACAAGCTAACGCATTAAAGCGTTGTTTTATTCGATTTTTTTTTAATAAAAGAAATGATATCTACATAATACTTCTTTACTTAATATTTGTGTCGTTCATATATTCTACTAATATATAAAGTTAATATTACTTAATATTTATTTATAAAAATATTGGTCTTGAGGTAAAAAGTCTATGAATAAATCGTTTACGTAAATGCTAAACTTAAACTAATCATCCGGTTTGATATGAGATATTAAGGATCCATTAGGTTTACAGCTGAGGGTAGAAGATTTAGCTGATGTTCTCCAAACAACATTGCAGCTAGCCAACGGTATTGATCAACGACGGATGTTCCTGCTAATATATATCCAAAAAATGGACTTTCTTTACACCTGCAAAAATAATCAGCAATTTAAATATAATCAATTGATTATTGATTATTCTAAATACTAACCTCGTTGGTTTTTTATTTTTCAAAAGAATCGTTATAGACCATCTAAAACAAAAACAAATAAATAAAATCATTCAGTAATTTTGTAATTAAAGGATTAATAGATGGAAGAAGCTCAATTTAATACGTCATTAGGGTAATTAATTAATTAAATCATTGAACTGATGAAAATTAGCTGATCAAGTAGCTAATCTAATAATTATAGTTCGATTACTGTAGTAATTGGAAGGAAAATTAATTAAGAATAATTAATAAGTTTTCTCTTACCCCGATTGCGGATTTCTTTTTGGTTCATGACCCAAGTACCATACTATATCTTCTATTTTCCATTCGTGAAATTTGACAGCACATGTTTTATCTTTATAACAGCATAATTTAGCTTGACTAAACTCAAATAGGTATGTTTTAAAACCTTTTGACTTGGTATCAGCGAACTTAAGTTCACCTGAGATTGTCATTGGTGGCTTAATCTGTAGAAAGAAGATTAAAAAAAAATAAATTACTACTTATAATTTGCTAGTAGGATAAAAAATTAGACTTTTAAATAAATTTCATTATAGAGTATAAAAAAGGATATCCAGAGAGGCGTTTAAATAGTGTAAATAAGATATGTAATTGAAATTTCGATAAATTCATGGGTATTAGGGTGAATGTAATTATTATGAAGAGCTTGAGAGTTACACGGTCAAGTCCAATTAAGTTACATCCTGTTTTCATCATTCACATTATTTATTATATTAACACACTCCTTTCACTCTTACTAGTGCAATCTGATCCATACTGGTTACCCAGTTTGTTTGTTACGAACGTCTATAACACTCTGGGAATTTTTTATATTTCACTCTACCCATTTATCCTTTATTAATAATCAACAATTCAACCATTATTCTCTCATGACCATGAACTCTCTTGACATTCACACATTTTTTTTTTCTAAAGAACTCCAAAAAGGGATTCAACTAACACGATTAAGTTGAAGTAGCTATCCAATAGTAGATCTTTTAAAGTAGTTTAAAGTCCAGACCACCCAAAGGCAGTAGAGAAATAAGAGAAACAAAAAGTTGTTTACCCTTGGAACAATGTCTCTATAAAGTCTGTCCTTCTTTAGAATTAAAATATTATCCTTCCGATCCTCGGAATCCCAGTATCCCCATCGTGCAACAGTCTCTAGAATCTTTTCAGCATGATGGAGAGGTCGTTCTAGTGCTCCTCCTAAAGTGCATTCTTCAAGACAGAGTTCATGAGCTGGGAGTTTTGCTTTTTCTGATAGCTCTCGACATACGTCTGCTGCAGTTTTTTGAGGTCCAATCTAAAAAATTATTGAATAATTTTATTACTTTATTTAATCTATATATTCTACTAACAATCTTCTTAATTAATACCTTTTATTGAATTTAGTTAGTTAATTATTTTCAAATTTATTAGCTTATTATTAATAGAAATTTATATACCGTGACATTGACGCATTCCCCATCTTTAGATAATAAATAAATCCATATTTTTAAATCTCCTGAAGGAGCTCCTCGCAATCCATTATTCGATACATGATGTCTCTCGAGTACTTCAAGAATTTTAGCTTCCTTTGCCAAGTCATCAGCTGATAATTGGTATAACTTGGGGTAAAGTCTAATTAAATCTCCAACAACTGTTGTTTCAGCTCGATTCCAGTCTTCAGCACTTTTAGTACCTGCGTGCATTAGCGTTGGCCCCCATACTGATGATAAATTTTCTACTGTCATCAAATTCCTTGAACTTTGCTGACTGAGACAATGTAAATGTGCCAATATTCTTCGCAGAGTTTCTTTAGATATTAGACTTAAGACTGGTAGAAGAATACTTCTATATTTATTCGCTCTTTCATCATCATCAGCAACATCTATAAAAAATGAGAACATTTATTATTATTATTATTTCTTTTACTCATTTTGCTCAGAATATTTTGATTTATAACTTCAATTAATATTTTTCCAAGTTTTAATGATTGCATGATTGAGCTTTCTATTTTTTTTTATCTTTTACATTTCTCTCTATTGTTTTCGGTTAAAAAATAAAATCGAGAGAAATCGTGTGGTGATTTCAGTCGTTTTGCAAGGATGAATCATAGCCGGACGACCTCCACTTCATGAGTGAGAAACATCTTTCGTGCTATATCAAGTATATTTCTCTCTCCTCAATATTCAAGACAGTCAACTCGAGTGTTTGAGAGATTTGTGATTGGGTTCAACGTTCGCTTATTAACTTATTGATTCCATTAAAGACTTTAAAGACTTTGAGAATACCAATGATGAAATGCAGGTCATAAAGTAGAGAGAATTTATAGCTTTCAATTATCTTTAGATCTTTAAAGATCACTGAGAAAACCTTCTTAAAATTTTTTTTTCAAATTGTTGAGAGAAAGTTTTTTACTTTTAGTCAATTTCCTTTTTATGCCTCTTTTTTTTTGAAAAAACATGGATTTATCTTAAGAAAATAATCATCTTACCGATATTTCTACAAAGATCATGATGGACACTCTGAGGTATGAGAGGCTCTGGTAAATCTCTTATAAATCTTCTTAGCACTGTAGCAACATCATGCTCTGAATAAGAACTTCTAGTGATTGGCGTCGTCCACGCATCTCTCCTAAACGCCTCCAGGAGTCTTGTTACTGCGCTGCTAGAACCCCCCTTCCTGTAGATCCCTTCAGACATGATTCCTACCAGCGAAAAAAATTTCTTTCATAAAAGGGTAATAAATATCAACAACAAGTTCACATCCTACACATTGCATACATTTGATGTCAATTTAAAAAATTTTGATAGATTTATTGGTTAATCAATAGCTGATTTCAATAAAGGCTGGTTCTGACCCATGCAATCATTCTTTTTTATCAGAAGCGTGTGAAAATAGAGCACGAAAGAACATCCGGGAAACAGCATTGGTGTGTTTACCATGTGTACATCAGCAATCTTTTTTTTCATGGATTCAAAGACCGATTTTGTATACATTTAACACAAAAGGTGATAGAATACATGATTATTTAATTGGCTAAATTTTTTTGAACTCTAAAGTAAAATAAAATTTATTTATCTCCAAGATTTATATTCTGATAACGTAAACTAATTATTAAAACTAACCATTAGACTAAATGTTTTTAATTCACTTATATTATAAAAATAATGGATTTTGTTAAATTTAACATAAATAATAAGCTAATGAGATTTACGAAAAAAAAATGGTGATTTAAAACCATCTAATGATAGTTTCATAATGAACATTGGTAATGGCAGACTCGGTGTTGATTTACATCACATGGTCCTTGTAACTTTACAGTTATTTTACTCTCACTAGTTTATGACTTACCATGTGCATAAATGAAATTGATGCATTTATCAAGGACGACAGGAACATTATCTTGAGTGAGCTGTTGATCATCCAAAGCTGGTCCACAACACGTGGCAGCTTGATGAAGTGCATGACGCCAAGCTGGAGCTTCTCGAGTCCCTGGAGCTGCTAAATGAAGAGCTCCACGTTCTCCAGCATCTATAACAACTACTGGAACATTGCCAGCTCCTTCAATTGGTCCTTCTTGTTCTCGTAGTACTAGAAAAAAAATTATTTGGCATACTAATATGAATCATTTGAACAATTTTAAGATAGAAAAAAATAACAACATTAAAGAACGTGACTTAAAGAATTGACCAAGTCTGTTGTTTAATCTAAATCTTTTATTTGAAGTATATAGTAGGCACTAGAAGAATGACATCCGGTAAACTGCTGGCACGATAAATGTTATTCTCGCATGTTGCGAAACAGTTTTCATAAGTGTGTAATACATCGACATTAAATGAATCACTCGTTTGAGTTGTTTTAAAAATCTTCTTTATCAAATTATCTATCCTGAGTCTTGAGTACATAGAATAGCAGATGTTATATGATAAAATTGATTAAATAGTATTTCTGACTGAGTAGTAGGCAATAAATAATCATGGACTCTAAAAAATTCATTGACAACAGTCATGAGTTCAATTTATTCGAAGAATTACAAAAAAAACTTCCTCAATCAAAAAATATTTTTTCCTGTGACAAAAAAGTACTTATTTAATGCTAGCTTAATAATTAAACCAATTAATAACGAAAAAAAATCACAAGTCAATGGAATAATTGCTTAATTATTTAATAATGATAATTTTTTTACTAGGAAGAGATGAAAGTAATTAGCTAATGCTAAATGAATAAATTTTTAGCAGTGAATTAAATAGAATAATTAATAGTATATATTTACTTACAAATACATCGAGCTTTTCTCAGGTCTAAATGTTCAAGCTCTACAGGTTCTAATGATCTCGTGTAAACTAAAGTCCTCTGTTGAAGTAGAATCCAAGCAGGAAACCACGATCCAGTGATTCCTTCCTGAAATAAATTTGTGGACATAAATAAATCAGATAAAATAAATACCAAATCATTCTTTTTAAATAATATCAATCATATTTTTCATCCAGTCTATTTATTTTGGAGTTCTTGATTATATTTATTATCTTCTATCAGCTACGAATCAATTTAAAACTTAAATAACTTCATCACTCTTCACTCTTCACTCTTCATCTCTCTTCATTATATCATGTTGCAGAGGTAGAATTGATGTCTTGAGGATGTAGATAACGAATCATTAAATTAATCGAAAGTTTCATTTGAGTTTTAAATATTCCTAATGAAGCAAGCAGTAATTTAATTTTTTTTAAATAAAAAAAAAATTAAATAACAGATGTAATTACATAGCTTTCATTGGCTTTTATTTAGACTAATTCTTTAAGTAGATGTTGATGTGTTGGTTAAAATATTAATGATATTGTGTCACGTAATCGCTAAGCACAAAGACTCTTATTTCTTAGCTTTATCTTTATTTTATTTTTATTAATCACAAAACCAAACAAATATACCTTTAAATATGCCCAGCCAGCTCTTGTTAATTCAGCAGTGTATTTAGCTGGAAAAACTGGTGTCAGAGCTTCTAAAATTCTCTGAGCCCATATTCTTCTTTCAGTAATACCTTTAGCATAAAAAACATGAACACTAGGCCTTCCTTCACCACTAATTGCAATGCAATGAACAGTTTCTCCATCAACGGTCCTGGTATAAAAATAAAAAGAATTTAAAAAAATGGTAATAAATGAGAAAAAATGACAGTTGAAATGTCAGTAATGAGTAACAATAAAAGTTATCAAGGGAAATGAAAATATTTATTAAACTTTATGACGTAGAGAGACTTTGATCGATTACTCAATCTACTTTCCTTGTCATTCTTATGGCAGTTATGATTGATTTGCAGCATTTCCACTTCAATAAAGTCTCATTAATTACAAGCATTACACTCACTTGACATCTTGAAGTAGATGAACACTCTGGATGTTTTCAAGCAGTACGGTTTCTTTCAAAGTTGTCATACTTTTATCCACATAAAAGCTAATTTTCTGATCAGTAAGAACAGCAGCTCTTTGAACTAAGTCTCTGGCTCTTTCAATTCCCACACCAGTTTTAAAAACAATCCCTCGATGACAAACAGGAATAATTTGTCCAACAAGTTTAGGTCTTTCCATTTTTCCCAAGACGTTAGATTTTTTTTTAGCATCTCCATGTTCACGAGTTTTCAACAACTTCTTTCCCTTCATAAAATTCATGACGTTAGGCTTGACATGAGCAGTAGAATCATGTCTTAGTTTTTTTAATTTAGCCATCATACCAATTTTTCGTTCTTCTGATGGTTTGCTTGGAAGCTGAGGTCGTTCTTCAAGGTTAGTAGGCTTGGAAAGCTCCTCAGATGGCCTTGAAACAGTTAAGCTGTCCTGAACTTTCGGTATAAACTTTCTCGGTGGCGGTGCAGGTTGTTTTCTCCTAGCCAAGTGAACCAGTTTGGGCAGCAATGGAGGATTTTTATTAGCAACTTTCTCTAGAGCTTCCACCATTTCTACTTCGTCATATTCATTCTTGGGTAGTGAATCAAATCGTTTAGGAGGTTGTGGAGGTGCTACAGAAACTGGTCTTATCATGCTATTACCATTTTCTTCGTCAAGATCATCATCATCAACCTCTTCATTACGTTCTTCAGCATCTACCATACTTCCACTGCTACTTGGAGTTTCACTGGTAGCTAAAAGTGTCTCCAACAACATTAAATCATTATTATCATAATTACCATAAGCATTCTCATCACTTTTAGCAAAAGGATCAAATTCAAATAGCAATGATTTACTCTGAACTTTTCTTTTATTATCAGTAATATTATCCGAACTTTCATCAACTTTCCACGGTGTCCAATTTTCATATAAGGAGTTTCTTACTGATACAGAACTAGAATTCATTGAATTTTTATTGATATCAGAACTTTCAGAAATATTTTCCTCAATTGGAATTTCTTTTTCTTCTTCTTCAGCACTAAGAATAGGATTTAAATCTTCGCCAGCATCGTTTTTATCATTTTTCTCTGGAGTTGAATCATAAAAAGTCCAAGAATTCGAACGCGAATGTTTTTTTGTTTCAATCAAAGTCGGATTATACACGTCCGAGAGATTTAAACTCACATCAGAATCACTTGTGCGGTTTTGAGCAAAGTTTAACAGACTCTGAGCATCAGGAAAGTCAGTCAATCTGTCAGAGATGGTTGATGACAATGTGTCATATCTACTGCCACCGGAAGTGACGGATTGCAATTCGTCATAAATAGATTCATCAGGAAGTGGAGGCGGTGGATAAATTGGAGGTGGGGGACTGTATCGACTTTCTGTTAAATCTTCTTCGTTTTTCATACTTTTTAGATTGGTAGTTAAAGGGCTATAAAATGATATAGAACTGAATATATTATCACATGCTGGCATAGAAACGCATCTTTCTTCTTCTTTTTTACTCTTATCTCCGTCTGTTGTGTCTTCTTCATTGTTTGTTGAAGCTGAACGTCGAGTTAGCAGATTTTTCACTGATTTTTCTAATCTGATACTCGCATTTCTTGTGCTAGATATCATTGCTCTGCCCTTCACAGTCATCTTCTCAGATATTTCATCTTTTAATTGACGAGATGTATTACCTAGATTCCTGAATAAATTTTTTTCTGAGTTTGAACTTCGTGACTCTGATGATTTCCTATCGTCACTTTTTTCTGAATGACTCGACTCACTTGGACTTAAGGATCTTGGCGAAGGAACCTTCAGAGCCTGAAGGTTTCTCGGTGCTGGCACTGGACGTTCCGGAATTATTGAGCGTGGTTTAGGAATTGGTTTAACATCCATTGTATATGAATATAAATATTCAAGATCTTTAAATATTTCTTTTAAATAATAAACATTACGTAAAAATAGTCAACTTTGTTTACAAAATATATTTTTTGCTCCAAAAACTTTTTAATCTTAAAAATATATTTCTAATTATTTACTCCATTGTTCTCAATATTATAATAAAATTTATAAATATATGAATTTATTATCAAGTTTAAAAAATAGTTATTATTTTTTAAAAAAATTTTAAAAGTCATTGATAATTAACAGCAATGTTAACAGAAGGCATAGAAAATTTTAAAAACACTTAAATATATAAAGTAATTTTAAAGAACTATTTTTTCTCAGTCAATCAATCAAATGACAAATAAACAAATATAAAAATCTTTCATATCTTTTGAGTTCATGTGAGTTTTCATTGCACGACTGGCCTCGTATTTACAGCATTACGACAAAGAACCCATAAATATCAGTATGACTCACAACAAAATTGTTTTAAATGGATAAATAAAATAAGAATAAAATATATATAGAACTGTACAATTCTTTTTATTCATTCATTATATAAGTTTTCATAACTTCCTAGTGATTTATTCAAATAACACTCTTGACAGTTCATCATTTCATTATTTCTAGGAAGATATCACTGAATTTCTTTGTATGCATTCAAATACTTGTGATAAAAATGCATTATGATAACAATCGAACTTCATGACCTACAGAGAGAAGCACTCACTTTGTACTCTTACTCAGTAATCATTCCTTGCTCCAATGATCTATCTATGAAATAAATACACAAAACAGTCTTTTCATGCTATAACACACAAGTCTTTCTTTATTTCATTGAAGCAAAACACTCTAAAATGATTAAAAGAGTACTGAAGTTTATAAAAATCATTTTCATAAGTCGTGTTTATCTACCAACATGTTTTATCAACACATCACATCATACCACTCGTGGAATTCAAATTCAGAAAATGCGTAATAGTTCTTTCTTCAGAAGTATTATTAACTTTAAAAAGTTTATTTATTGGTATAGATAATTTTTAGTGTAAAATTGATAGTAAAAAGTTCACTGACATGTAGTAAAAGTTTTGATGATTTCTCTTTTAAAGTACAGTGAATGAGCCTCTCGGTGAGGCTTCGCCCACACGAATGCCACTTGGTAACTTTTCCTTCTTTCTCATTTATTCCCCACTATGAGAGTACCTTCCACCACTCTCCAGTTCATTTTCTACTACTCTTCACAAAGCTATAGTCAAGCTAAACGTCACCTCTGTATGCATTTAAATGCTTTTGCGCTGTATTTTTATTCCTGTAGCTACTTGTTGCTGAAAAATTAGATTGATGATGGCATGGAAAAAGCAGAAAAGGAAATAAGCAGAGCAAGTTTATTAAATTGATGAGAATATAAAATTTTTCATGAGAAAATGACTCATATCTGAATGACGATAGTTCTATACGTAAAGTTCTTTTAATAATTTTAAAATTGAATTATCAAATAAAAGCCTCAATTCTCCTCGTTGTTGAAATAATGATCAGAGTAGGTTTTTTGATATCATTCAATTAAATTCTATTGCTAATGGAATAGAAGAAGTTGAACTTCGAAAACTTAGCTATTGTTGATAAGATTAGATAGTTATTGTTTAACATTTTAAAAATTTTCTTTGTTGTCATGGATTTTATTTTTTTTTTTATGTATGTTACAAAGTTTTGAGTTTTGGTTTATATTGATATTTTTTTTTTATTACTCTTTACAGGTATTACCACCTGCTTATGAGCTTTATGGAATAGAATATAAATGAACAATAATTGACTTTTATTGCAAAACATCAAATAAAAATAAGTCATTATTTCAATACGGATGGAGATCAGAGATACCTTTTTTTACTGTCAAATTTGATGAAATCAGCAAGAGAGTGAAGAGGTGGATGTGAGTCATTCTGAATTTCAATAGAGACAATTATTTTGTTGTAAAATTAAATTTCATTCCTATTTCTATTATTAGGCAAGATAAAACTGTCAGTTAGCTGAAGGTTCTAGGGTGATGACTGGAGCACCTGATAGACTGCAATCATTACATCAAAATCTACAAAATAATTTTTAAAAAATTATCAATCATAATAATGAATAATTAAGAGCTTAATATCTGATTAGTAAAGACCAAAATTAATATTAAATTCGGTTGGAAACTGATATTCAACAGAACAAATCCCTTTCAATCTTTAGAAATGATTCATCTATTTTATCATAATGTTATCACCTAAATAATAGTTAGATAAAGTTCAATAAAAAATGTCTATTTAGAATAATTATAGACAGGTGAGTGAAACAAAATTGAAAAGACATACTTTCCAAAGGAATTTATTATGACTTAATAGCCTTGAAGTCAAATAGTGACTTTGGCTATACAAACAAGTTATCACGAACTGCTCTAACTTTGTTCAATGCACATGTACAAGAATTCCATGAATATCACTATGTTTAAATTTATCTATTCCCCAAACTCTAGTGTTTGCTATGAATCATTGTTCAAATAAACACCTCAAAATGCATTGAATCAAGGAGAGCAGTCGAAATACTTTAATAATAATACTTCAATAAATCACAATTGTCACGACAATATAATTTTTTGTTTTTCAAGACGGTTTTTTTTTTCGTATACATATGTGGAAGCATACATGCAGTCGCAATCTGCGATAACGAGTCGTCGAATAATTAATAATTGTATTGGTATTAATACTAATTATAATTACAATGAATTATAATACTTTGAAAGACATCAAAGACGGATAGAAATGTAGATGAAACAAAATTGTTAAATTATGCTTTTTAAATAATTTCAAGTGCCAAAGATGATTTTTTAAATACAGTTTCATAGTGCACAGTAGTAATACAGATGAACAAGAATTTTACGAAGCCGAGAAAAAAAATTCACGGCACAGAAGGAAGACAATACTCAATAAATTAATCGGGCATACTCACACACACACCCACACACACACATCAATATTCACATTAATAGTAATTATTCAAATAATTTATTCCATCATTCGGTAAATAATCTGTAATATTCATACGAAACAATAAATATTTGTTTAGAGTGTATTTATCAGCATAGTATACGATTTGTTCTTTTATTAAATATATTATATTATATTTAATTATCAGGTATTGCCTGACTTTATCGGTCGGAAATCAATCGTTTATCGTTATAGTTAATATTATTGAGAGAATAAATTTGAATATAAAAAAAGTAATATTTCAAAATGATTGTATTGAACAATTGAATATTTAATCATTAATAATATATTTCTGCTCAAAAAAAAAAAAAATGATAGAAAATATTAATTACTTGTGAACATGAACCTCATTTTTTTCTTTGTTAATTAACATAAGATGTTTCTGTGAAATTAGATTCAATTAATTTAGAGTTTAAAATATTTCTATTTATTATAAACAAATTTTCTCTCTCTTAGTAATTAATTTCTTACTATGAAGAGTATTTGTACTCATAGTTATTAATATCTTGTGACATTAAAATAATTTAATATATTCCTAATATTACTAAATAAAAAAAAAAACTATTCATAAACAATCGGCCTGTTTTTCATCTTTTCTAATCATTTTTTATTGTTTCTTGACTATCATATTCTAGCGGTTACTTAATTATTTTTAACGACTTTCAATATCTGTATTAAATGCGTTTCATTAAGATTCAATATTTAATATTCAATTAATAATTAATTAATAATTAATAGCAAATATATTATCACATTTAGATTGTATTAATTCATCAATTCATAAATTCATTAATTACGAAGTATTTGTATTTTTAAAATTTTTAATTTTATTTTTTTATTTAGCTACGACTTGTCGATTTAATTCTCATGGAAGCTTTTTTGCATATACGTAAGAACTCAGAGTAATCGAAAAGTCATATTATTCAGACTCGAGTGTCTTAAAAATATTCCTAAATTAATATCAAAGAAGAAATTGGCACCATTTGGTATTTTCTCCCTGTTTTCATCATTTTGTCAAACGAAATTATTATTTTTTTTTTTTAATTTCTTCGACACTCGAGTTATTTTAAAAATTTTTTTTTTCATTTATTTTTAAGTTTATTATCTTAAATCTAAGAAACATTAATATAGAATATATTGTGTATAGTTATGGTATACATCAGGACACTTATGACCTACGGCAAAAATTCAACAGTTAAAAGACTTCTTTTCATTAACAATTAATTAATAGTACTTAAATGTTGACAGCTTATGTTTCAATGATGATTTTATGGCAAAACATTTTTTTTCTATATTTTTATGAAAAATCTTTTCAATTCAGTATCTTTAAATAAATGGTTATTTTTGCTAGATTGGCACGTATTATTTATAATAATTGTCTGTATTAATAAATAATATCATAACTGTACACTACAAATATTTTAAATATTTAAATCAATAAAATATTCAACAGATTACAATAAAAATGTCTTCATATTGTTGAAATAAATATTTGCTTACAACTACAAGCAAAAAAAAAATATAAATTTTTATCACATAATTTATAATAATATTAATAAATAAATAATTTAAAAAATATCTTCCCCTAAGCATGTAATTACTACAATGAAATATCGACTAATTTCAAATCCTATACAGACTAATATTTAGCATTATCGAAACTTGATTAATGCAGAATAAATGTATATGCGATGTAAATGATTGTATAAAAATGTTACTGAATTTGGCATATAATACATGACACTAATGTAATTAATTAGTAAACCGTTTAATTAACATGTGTTCATGTTGATCACAATTAAAGATTTTATATAAATATAAATCGTAAAGTATTCGTTAAAATACAATGTATAATATCAAAAAGCAAAAAAGTATATATATTGGACATTCATTAGATAAATAGGCATAATATTTAGCAATAATTTATCATCAAATGCCTTTACGTTGTAATAATACCATCATTATCATTGCAAACGGAAGCGGTTTATTGTGTCCAATGGTATTACTTAACTTGACAAAATCTTATACACTTTCAAGATTAATAATCATTCATTGTTTTATATATATTATTATCTTCTATAATTTCGTACTGATAAATACCATATATCTCAATTATGATAAAAAATAAATGAATATAAAATAAATCCACATGTGCAGGCTGGTTAATGGGTTAATTAATTAACAATGAGCATTAACAGTGATAATTATTATTACACGAGTGCATTTTAATTTCGATAATAAATAGCACCGACTACTTAAATTTTTAGCCAGAATCCTCTGATAATTTTTTTTACAAAATAATTCGTGATTTAATTTTATCAAATTTCCATTTCCCCTTTTAATCAGTCTTTAAATTGCCAATCACAAATGTCGCTTAAATTAAAGAATTAATTATAATTCAGTCTAATCCTTATGCCATATAATTTATTGAGAGATAATTGATTTTACAGATAATCTTAATTAATTTAATTATAATTATTACCAGTTTACTAATTTCATATTAATAAATATTTATCTCTCATGATAACAATAAGAAATTTTTTTTGTCTGCATTAAAATTAAATATTTTTCAAGTAATTGTGCTGAAAGTGATTATTTTAAAATCATTAATCTCTCAATAAGATGAGGATTCTAGCACATATATCAGCAGTCTTAAATGACTAAATATGACCATATCATCATTCCTATCACGTTAGCCATAAAGTATATTTATGGACTCTTTCAGTCTTTCTTCAAACACCAGTCTAAAATTGCTAGCACCATACGGCATATTTCCTTTAGCAATAGAAATACATCGTGCGATTAAATGAATTAATATAATATTTGATGCAAGTTTGCATTTAAAATTTAAAAATAGATGACAAGTATAAGATGATAAGAACATGCAGTATTTACTGATTGACTTTCGATTAATTTAAAAATTCTTATCAATTTAAATTACCTAGTAAAGGGAGAGGTAATTATGCCCCATGGATTTTCAAAAACTTTGGAACGGTGATGAGCTTACTTTACCATAATAGCAATTATATATGGTCAATAAATGATCAAATAATTATAATTAATAATAACAATATTTCTGAGGCAACGACTTCCATCTGTCTCTCCCATTATAGATTAATTGATTTTCTAAAATCTAAATCCCTTATTGACGTATTTAGGACGTAAACTGATTGCTCGTACGAGCTAAAAACTCGCGATCGAGCAATCTTTTCGTTAGTTCGCCAGGTCTGAATTAGACGATGGCGAAGAGGCCGGAGATTGGACGTGTGTAGTTGCTGAATCTTCACTCTTAACTGGGAGACTTGGCCCCATCAGCATACCACGTGGACTGAACGTGTCACAATAAAGATTCTCTTTTTTATGGACTCTACGGACATGACTACGTAGATTGTCACGACGAGCACTTCTGTATGCACAATGAGGACATAAATGAGGCTTCTCACCAGTGTGCATTCGACGGTGCTGAATGAGCTGTAATTGAAAATTTACATAGATTAACAGAGAAAATAATTTACTATCATTAAAATAAATATTATTCTTTAATTAACTCTGAATGATTATATGGAGTGAATTAAAAATATTTTGACCATTTGAGTTGGTACAAAAAATATCTCCAGTTCTAAAACTACTTATTCTATGCCAGATTTCAAGTGAAAAAGTTGGATAAAATTGGAGTATTTAATTCATTTGATTGATTACTCAAGTAATTGGATTAATTAATTCGCATGCTGAAAAGAGAAAATCAATTCAGCTAATGAAATAAATCGAAATGGCTTTATGGGCACAGTAAATTTAATCAATATTTTAGAGTTAGAGAAATTCATTAATATTTCACGATGTATTTGTTGTTGTTGTTTGAGAGTTACAAGTTACCAAGCAGTAGAACATAGATGAATGGAAGTATTAGCTACCAATCCTAAAATTTATTCACTGATTCTATCTTTTTGTTTAATCAACCATGAACAAAAGCTACATTCTGGCATTAATCCAAAATCCGAAATTCAATCAAGAGAAAAGGAGGACAACTTTTAACAATATTTATATTTGAAGTTTATTCCTTTTTATTCATTTTTATGTTCATGTTATTATTTTAAATTATATTAATAAAAAAACTTATTAAAAAATATTATTTAAAACTGCTTTTTGACTTACTTTTTTGAGCTGAACCGTGCGAAAAACACAAATGTCACAGCAAAAATATCTGTCATCACGATGCCTTCTCATATGTCTACTTAGATCCACTTCAGATGATCTATCAGCTCCACAAACTGCACAGCTTACTCTAGTTTCTGGAGCTGTACCTCTAGCATGAGCTCTTAGGTGTCTTTGAAATGCTTTTTCTATCGTGCAAGCGTATGAACAAAGTGAGCATCGGTATTCCTCTCTTTCATATCTAGGAAATAGAAAAAAATATATCCATAAAAACTGAGTTCATTTTAATATTCAAATACGTTTTTTTTTGTTAAATAATTTTCCAAGTACCTATACCTGACGCGCTGAAGAGCCAGCGATCTCTTCTTACCCGTCGGCGTCATTCCTTGAGCAACATGAGCAGCAACATGAGTTTCCATTTCACATCTGGAGTTGCTAGTAAAATCACAACCAGTGGAGGGACATCTTCGAGCACTAGAACTTCCTTCGGATCCTGAAGATGAGGCTGGATGACAGTCGATTATGTGTTTTTTTAATGCTGGTCTTGTAGCAGCAACAACATCACAAGAACCACATGGATATCCTCTATAAGCACCAGCAACTGGACTATTACCCCTAGATCTTAATAAAAAAATTTATAGCATTAGCTAGAGCTTTAATGAGCATTAAAATAATTGATAATGATGATGATGAAAGTACTTTTCAGTATATGAAGATTGATCACTTTCGTAATCACTTAAATCAGATGGTAAGGAAGGTACTTCCATGGCTTCTAGAGCTGCAGTAGCTGCAGAAAGTCTCTCCAACATTGCTCTAGCATAAGCACCTAGAACCCAGCCATTGAGGACGGGAGATACAGTTTCTTCCTTATCAAAACCAAAACAAGACATGAGATCCACAGCATTAGATAAATTGTTATTTCCTGATGGATGAGAACTATTGGTGCTTCCAATATCACTTTCATCACCGGGATCTTCATTATCAATCCCTTCTACATGACTCTGAAAATTTTTCCCATTTAAAAATGTATTATTTATAAATATTGTTCAACTAACAATAATATTTTTCATTGATAAAAAATGATCAAGAGTTATTTTTTCATATTTTATCAATGATTAACTATTTAACAATATTATTCTAACAGCTTAAAATATTCAAGAAATAACGTTTAATCGTTTATTGATTCATCTATTTTTGCTATATGTAAATGACTGAGTTATCTATTAATCTTATCTTGCTAAAAATGATTCAAATAAATTTTCCAATTGTATTGGAAAAGGGATTCCCGTTTTACTTGAGTTCATTTGTAATTTTAGCTTATTTGTTCCAGATGTTAAATTTAAAAAAATAAATATATCAATATAAGACTGAGCAATAAATATTACTTGATTTATTGCAAATAGTTGCTTGTTTGATTAACATGATTGATAGGTAAAAGTAAATTTACCTGGTGATCATTCTCATCATCTTTTTCGATGTCATTTTCGTTGTCTTCTAATTTTATTTTTTCTTCTGGTATATTCGAATCTCTAGAGTCGTTTTGATCATCATTTTCACTCTTTGGTTCAATTTCATTCGATGACTTGGTAGTTAGCTCCATAGCTTGACACGAGTTTTCTCCACCTAATACGTTAACTCCTAATGTAGTGGACTGTTGCGCGAGTGAATTCAATGCAAGAGCTGCACGAGGAAGAATCTGTTCCACTCCAGGTGGTAAAATCGGATGTTGTAAGAGCCGCGGATCGCCCCAGAGTCTGCTGGCGGCATGGAGATTCCAGATCCCATATTCCATCTGTTGAAAAAATGAAACAATACGAATAATTCTACTTTCTAAATATTTTTTTTAAATTAAATTTTTTCCATCAGTCAATAGCTCCTTTGAGAGATTTAAGTAAAAAAATCGGAAAAATTCATTTCAGGCCCAATTAACAGTTGAAAAAAATTTTTTTTTTTCAAAAGGATTTTTGTATTATGAGGAATAAAAGAGATTTTGAAAGCTGAAGCTGACGAATGATTATAGACAATACCCTAAAATAATGATAGATCACAGCTTCATCTTATTCAAAGAGTCTTCGATCTCGCTACCGGTGGAATGATCGTGACGATCGAAAGTGATAGTGTCGAGGGATTCGATCATGACACTGTTCCTTAATCCAACGAGATCCAAGATTAGAACGAACGTTAGAATAATAAAGAACACGCTGAAGATAGCAAAAAAAAGGATTCCCGAAGAGTCTGGTGCATTGGACCGGTTGGATCGTGACTCGCGTACTTGCATGCTTCAACATAACTCCGTGTACATATCAAGGGAGAGAGAATTAAACTGGGGATAGGAGTCCTTCCTTAGAGAATCCGTTATCCCAGCTTGGGGGCTCTTTGTCTCTTTCCTATTTTCCCTTATCTCTTTTGCCCGCTTGCTGCTCTATCGCGAGCTCAGTGTCCCAGCCACCGTGGTTGACCCCTTCCCATTGCCCTCAGGAATCGATTTGTTATTGTTTTTGTGTCTGCGGTTCAGGAGTGTAGGAAAGCGGGTTGAGGGTGAGAGGAAGCTCGAGGTCCGACCGGCGCCAGGGTGCCTAGAATGGAAGGGGTGATGATGAGAATGTTGAAGAGGGGTGGGAAAGCATGAAGAGAACAAGAGAGGGTGGATGAGGGAGTCACAAGAGGTCCAAGCTGTGAGGAGGGAAGAGGACGCGTTGAGGATAAGGGTGGGGAAATAAGGGAAGAGAGATCGCTGGCTTGACAGGTGACAACCGATTGGACCACTGACGTCACGGATCACTCGCTCGACCGCGTGCCACACATGCTCTTGCTCTTCCTATCACTCTTGCTCCCACCACTTGACACTTCCAGTTGCTTACATAATTCAAAGGCCGAAAAAATAAATTAAAATCACCAAAAATTACTGATATTTACGTGCTAACCCGGGCTGATACCCTCGCGACGCCTCTATCTGGTTACCATTACACTCGGATGTATGAAATGCGCCAACATACACTATCCCCCCACAATAGCCCTATTTATGATTGGGCAAAATTGCTTTCCATGCGCAGAATAAAATTGCGTGGCGGAAAAATCCTGTAAGATAATATTGACAAATTGTTAGGATTGTTTTTTTTGTCGAATTTTTATCAGATATTGGTATAATAACTGATTTAGGTATAATAGAAGGTCAATAGATGCTTTGTAAAGCTAGAATTTCGATAATTTAGTTATTAAAAAATTGTAAAAATTAAAGAAAAATTAAATACGATGTTCTGATGAGCATGCGCCATCCCCGGGGGTTGATATCAGCTTGAGAGGGGACGCTACGAGCAAGAAAATTGTTAAAATAGAAATACCCATAGTGGAAAAAGCATTTACAATATGGCGATTATATTTTAGGAGAAATAAAGCATATACCATATTTTTTTTGATGATTATCCAAAAAAGTAATATATTCTATAATCTTGTATACAACATCATTTGATATCATTAATTAACAGCCTGATGAATAATTATTATTTATTCATGATTCAGAAGCCTTATTTAATATAGACGAGAAAGCTTTCAGCATATTAAAATGTACTTGTTCCAAGCTTTCATGCACCCTGAAATATCAAAAAATCAATATTGCTACTAATTAAATGTTTTTCTTCTAATTTCATAAGTAATCTATGTATTTAATTAATAATCAATAATTAGTATACTTACGATTCCAATTGTTTTTCTACTTCAGCTGAAGTATTTTTAAATTCTGTAAGATTTTTACTTATAGAGCCGATTCCATCAGCTGATTCAGGGAAGAAATTCGTCATTGAATTGAGTATTTCCGTAATCTCATCTAAAGTTTTCTTTAGAGTGTTTAAGTCTTCCTCTCTCTCTGGAATGATTATATCTTTAACTGCAAGTTTATCAGAGGATTCCAATACTGAGTAAATCATTTCAAGATTCTTCATGATTTTTTCTTCATGAGTTTCTAAAATATTCGAAATATTTATAATTATGCAACTTCATTAAATAATAAAATAATGCACAAATTTCTTTAAAAATTAATATAATTACCAAGAAATTTATCAACGTCTTCCAACTGCTTTTTGATACATGTTTCAAAATGATTCAAAGCTTTAATATCACTAATTCTGCTCCGAACTGCATGAAGCATGTATTCACATTCTTCCTTTTTTTTAGCCAGAGCGGCTACTTGATGCAATAAAGTTTTTTCTCTTTCTTCAACTTTCTTTTTCATAATAACTTCTGCTGCAAGAGATAGTAAATAATCATCATAAAGAATATCTATTTCACTTAATTCTGGTTCAGGTTCACTTCTAACTGTTTCTGATAATGAAGCAGGAGGCATCACAGATCTTCTTGGATTTAATACTACTCGTCTTGGTGGTTCACCTATTAAAAAAAACCAAGGTAAACTTCAAATACGAATTATTATAAACTTGTCTTGATCAGTCCAAAAAAACATTCTGATATAAAAATGAATATACAAATTATTGTGAATAAATTTAATTACATTAATTGAATTAAAATTTTATCAATTATATGTAGAGGTGAGTGGCTCGTGATGCAAGTTCAGAGAGAAAGAAATTGTGAAAGCACAGAATTATGATTTAAATTAATATTGTGTTGTCAGTCTTAACATTATGAGATAATACTTCATTCATAAAGAGAAAATAAATTTGTATGATTTTATTCTCACTTCTAGGAACTGTTGTGGCATTAAGTCTATTTACACTACTAGATCTGCTGGCAGAAGTGGCACGTTTCGGAGTAGCTGGTCTAAAAAAGGAAAATAAAAATATAATTTATATTATAAATAATCAAATTGCCAATTGTCTATTATTTTTTCTAATAATTATTTACTTTGGCGGTCTATGCATTGTTGATGTTGTTCTTAACCTCAATTTAAAGAATTTAGAGTGTGACAGAATAAATTACATCGTAAATTTCACTTCGCACAAAATATAATAATAAAACACTAATGCCGGTTAAATGAAATCAAAAACAATTGGTTATGTTTTACTTATAATACAGCTTATAAAAAATCTGTAGGATGGCGCTACTATCAACTTGTTTTGGTTGGTACCACTGCTTAGTACCGAAGTCAGTTGGTAGGAAGGTTGGTACCCTTGTGGTTAAACTATCCCAGTGCGTATCATTTTTTCATGAAGTCCAAAATAGCTTAGCTGTAACAATATCATATTTGTTACTTACTCTTTAGAAATAAAGTTGAAAAATATACCGGCAACATCATGGAAAAGGTTAGAGTACAGAGTAATTTTTATATAATTGAAAATATCTGATTTATTTTCAATCATTACAGAAAACTAAATCGAGAGAAATACCAACCGTCTTAAGTAAAATATTATCAATAGATGTGTACTTAACCAATACCTTTGTAAAAAAAGCTGAACATTTTTTACCTTTCAAACAATTGAAGATGCATTACAAGGCTTTAGAGGTTTTTATTAGCTGAATGCAAAATTTTTATTGATGTAGATTAAGTTGATAATTCATTTACTAAAAATATTTTAAGATCTCTGCACATACGATTACATGGTTAGCTGGATGGTTAGCTTTCATTTGGATTTTAGGAAGTAAAAACTTGTATCAAATGCAAGTAAATTTATTCATAGGTGAGTTTCTCAATTTTGATGACACTTACTAGTGACATTATTCTATTCTATCAATGATTATGGTCATGATTATTGAAGATACAAGACTATATAGCTCAAACATAGAGACATTGAGAGAAAAAATTAAGAAATTTCATATTCCTTAGGCCTTTTACTGGATATCATATGTATTGCTGTTTTAAAAGCTTTAACAAGAAGAAGAAGGCCAGCAAAAAATGACGACCCTTTTGAATTTGGTCCTGATAAATATTCTTTTCCATCAGGTCATGCATCTCGATGTACATTTATTACGTATTTTCTGCTCAATTTATGGCCTATTTCTCCTATTTTTATTCCCTCCTTATTAGCTTGGACGATTTCCGTTTGTCTTTCTCGACTTCTCCTTAAGAGACATCATATTCTAGACATTTTAGGCGGTGTCGTACTCGGCATTTTTGTAGGATTATGTGTTCAACTGATTTATTTAGAAGCTGAGACATGCGCTGGTCTCATTGCTTGGCTTACAGATGAAAAACTTGATGGTGGAGAATATCATGTTTAAACTTATAATTGTTATTTTGATCTCGAAAAAAATTGTGTGAATTATCAAAGATAAGAAAAAATTTAAAAGATAAAGTAACTTGAAAATTTTGTAATCATAGATGAAAGATTTTATATTATAATAAAATGGTTTGTTATTTAGTGAGTGAAAGAGAATTAAATAATTATATTAAATGGTTTCAATACTCGTAAAATTAGTATACTCTAAATGTTAGAAGCCAATGAAAATTTTATTTTTTTATTAAAAAAAAAAATTGGAAAAATGATAAATAAAATATATTTGCATTCTTTAAATGGTTCTTTAAATAATTGTAGAAAGGTTTGTTATTATTTAAGGTTTTATTTTATTGTATAAATTATAAACATAAAGAAATGTATTTTTGACACGTAGCTTTTGTATATTGCATCGAATACTGTCTTTCAAGTCTGATTACATTATCTAATACCAAATGATTTTTATTGTGTAGAGAATGAATAAATTTTATAATTGAAATAAAATCAATATTGTGTCTAATTATAATGATTACAATTAATAGTTTCAATTATTATATATGTATATAAAGTTATTTTGGACTTTTTTTCATCCTTATGCGAAGTCTTTATAGCAGAGACAGAACATAGCCCTCGAATTACTCATCCTGAAAGATTTATCAGTGATTGATGAATAAACAAATCTATTGAAACTAACTAACAAATATAATAGAGTGTTTATTTAATAATTTTTATACTTTATATATTATATTTAATAAATTAAAACTTAAATAAATATATTATCTACTCAACAATACTCTAAATGATTCCTAAAGGCTAGAATAAGTAAGTTCTTTTCAATTAGCATATTTGTGCACACCTAAAGGTGTCTGTGCTTTGTGAGTAGTTATTAATAAATTAGATAAAATGATACAACTAAATATAATTTATAGATTCATTTGATTATCAATAAATATTTTGAATTACACAGCCAGAGTTAGCGACCTTTGCATCTTTTATTAATTAATTAATTAATCCATGAGCTTTATGACTAGTGATTCAATAAAGCAATTCACAGCTTAATAAATGGATTAATTAACGAATAAGTTTGATTATTGAATTACAGTGGGTGTTAGTTCATTACTGCATTGATCTGTAGTTTCCGTTGAATAATGTAGAACAGAAAATCACTGATTAATTTTCACGAAGTAAATTCTTCTACACTTGGACTTAATTGTTCTTTATTTGTAATAAAATCTACCACAGTGGAGAATGATAAAATTTCAGATCCAAATGGCCAGATTGATTTCCAGCAACTTCTTGAGCACATGAGGGACTTGGCTTGATACTCGACGACGTTTTTTGCTCTTCTGAATGAATAGATATCAAGCTTTTATTTGATGCTGATTTACTGAGTGCTGAATGAGATTTTTTCGATGCTGATTCTGGTGGTTTTGGCGTTGGCTGACGTTCTGGAGGCGTCGGTTCACGTTCTGGCTCAGGCTCTGATGGAGGTTCTGGTTCAGGCTCTGGCATAGGTTCAGTTTCAATAGAGATTTCGCGAGTTATTGGTGTTGGCTTTGATTCAATTGCTGGCGTTGGGACGGTTGATATTTCATTATTACGTTGATTCTGCTCTGGTTCAGAATAAAGACTTAAAGATCGTGGGCGCTCCAGTTTTGGACCAGGTGTTGAAGGGACTTCACTAGAAAATTAGCCCGTGGAAATATTTTTTTATGATTTCATTTATGAATTATTTAACACCATCACAACACAACATTTATAGCTTATTGCTTTTATAATTATTCTTTTATAAAAAATATGAAATTTATGGTTAATAAAAATTAAAATAATGGAGTGAATATTTTAAAATCATTTTTATTTGACATTGATTTTGATGATAATAATAATTAAAAAACATTACTGAATTTTAAAAAATTATTTATACGTGATCTATAGACAATGTTTTATTTAAAAAATCATGGAAAATAATAAATTTAATTAAATAATAGCATCAAATCGAAACAATACATCCTAGAATAAAAATAATTATTGCTATATAAACGAAACAATATAAAGCACATCAATTCTATAATACTCAATCACAAGCTTTGAAAAATAAAAAAAACTTATGTACAACTCGTAAATAAATAAGCGATTGTGCAAACAATGATTTAATAAAACTACATCATATAAAATATACATAATGTTTATAAAAATAAAATTAATTTAATAAAGTATAATATAATTATAATAAATAATCCTAATAATTGCGACATCATTATTAATAAAATGATATAAATATTCTAAATATCATCATTCTCTTCGTATCCGGTCTTTTTAAGCAGTCTTTATTATAATACAAAATTTAATTATCTTATAATTTTACCAGTTGTAAGTTAAAATTTATGGAAGCTCAAATATATCACTTCAGACATGATACGAAGCAATGAATCTTTAAAAACAGAAGCTCTTGGTGATCATATGTGGAAACGACATGTGGTGTGAACTTAAATACTTTTCATTCTCATTAATTACATCTATGAACTGAGTACAAAAGCCAAGACATTGTTCATTTGCTCGTTTAATCTTCTTCTACTCACCCAGTTCGTTCGGCTGCTTGGCCAAACATTGGAGCGTTATGTATTATCTAAAAGAAGAAGTTATGCGATCAATTAGTACAGTAGTCTAGTAAATAATATTCCTTTAGTCACTCTAGCAAATGAATGAAATAAATCTATATAAAATTAATTCCAAGCACAATAAATATTAAACTAATTTAATAATTGGAATTTTGATTAGAGTTTAATTGACTAGAAAATTTCATAATAAAATATTTTTCATTACATTTGCCATTGAGCAAGGTGGCCTTGCAGCGGCATATCGTCCGTAAGAGCTTCTTGGTACTCCTGAATGAAGATTGGAATGTCCATTGCTGCAAAAAAATTTTTTCAGTTGAATAAATATTGAACAACTTCAAAAAGAGTAAATAATTTATAATTGAACAGTTTGAGCTCGGAGTTATTCATTTCTGGTGAATTTTTTTGTCGAACGATGATTCAATAATTATTTTTATGGATGACCAATTGGATGTAATTTTTTGATCAATAAAAAATTTTTTATCATTAATGTAAATAATGTATTGAATCAAGCATTAACAACGAAGCGATTCAATTGGCAAATTTAATAAAGCATGAAATATTAATTTTCACATTACATAACATGATTAAAATAATTCTCATAAAGAATATAAGAATTATGCTATTATTCATTTATCTAACTATCGTATTTACCTTGTAGCAGATGAAGGTTTACTGTTGTTATTATAGCTGTAAGAGGAATCTATAGATCCTCTAGTCGGCAAAGAATATCTACTTCCTCTGACGTCCTGACATTCTGAAAAAGTAATGAAGTTATAAAATAAATTCAATTAGCATAAAAAATGAAGGCAAAGTACGTTTATCATTAGTTTTTAATACAGTATAAGTAATCGAGCTTGGGAACGATTATAAAATCGTCCATGACCAACTGACAACGTCAATTAGCCATGGATGACATTGACCGGTTTTTAACTGGGCCAGAGTAAAGCTACTGGTAAGGGAACATGTCGACCTTCGATCTTCGTGTAGGGCTAAATGTTTTTTTTTGTTCTTTACCAGCTAAAAATTCTCTTTTAAACTTAATTAGAACAACAAAAAAATTTTCAAGAATATCAGATGGTAATTACAAAATAAAATAGCTTTCACTAAAAAATGCTGACAAAAAAGATCTATTTTTATGATTTAAATTTAGGAAAAAATTTTACTATTCCTTACCGTCATCAAAGAAACCTTGGAAAACAACAAATTTATTATTCTGAGGAATGATTCCATCAAGTCCATAATGTCTTCGAAGAAATCGCAAAAACTTTTCCGATGGTCTATCGATCGCCAACTTAACTGGCCTAATTTGTTCTTCCTAAAAAAAAAAGAAAAGTCAATTATACATATATCAGATAGTACAACACCTAAAATTTTTCAGCTGAAATTGAGATTGATATCAGCATTCGTGATAAAATGTAAGAAGAAATAAAAATGAGGGTGTTATGTCACGAAATAAAAATTGTGGCAAGAGGTATCTAGTAGCAGCATGACTTGAGGTTCATTCACCTGATCACTATCTCTCCGTGTCTATGCTTCAGCTTTTAAAGTCTACTGGGTTCAAAAACTTTTCACAAGTACTTAGTCGACCTCTCAAGCTAATTAAGATCGCTAACGATCCATAGCTGAACTGGTTTACTTCACGCGATTAGTCAGACTCGTGGTAAGCAATTGAAAGGGAAAGATAAAAATAAATCATTACACTGGAATAATTCTTTCCATTTGAATAAATTTAGAAGAAAAATGTGTATTTAAAATATCATTAGAATAAAGCTAAGAATAATTATTGTGATAATTATCTTTTTTGTTAATTTTTTTTCTGAACTAAAGAAATGCATTTTTTTAATTCATAATTTATTTGACTTTAATGAAGAATAATAATTATATGTTCTATACTGGAATATCCAATTTTATGAATAGTTATTATCATTGATTATGATGCATCATTGAATTTAAATCATGAAAAAAATTTTTATAGCTCTAGAAAACTGAGATAAGTGAAAATTTAATTCTTTCATCCATTAATGACTTTCTATTCTAATTGAACGGTTGTTTAATTATTATGAGTAAAATCTGATAGAAGCCGGAAAGAAAGTTAATTGACTATGTAAGCAAGCTGATAATAAATCAAAAACATTAAAGTAATGAGAAAAAGAATTTATAATAAAAAAAAAAACATCATACTGCAAGCATGTATTGGTAAAGATCCTTTCCAAATCCCATCCGTTGTTTAGTTTCATGTACATAAAAATCAAGAACACAACGAGGTTGTAGTTGATAATGAGCACCAGTTTCATCAAACATAAAAAGGTTTTTCGATCCAGTCTTCAAAAGTCCCACAACAGTTCCGAAACCTCTGCAAATGACAATGAAACCATTTTCTTTAGTATATAATTTTTTATAAGTAGCACACAATCTAAGCTTATAGACTATAATTTGTCATTTTCTTTGCATTCAAAGGCTTAATTCTTCTAACCTCTTGTGCTGAATATTTTGTTCTTTTCTATATAAAATTAATGTATATAATAAACTAGGTCATTAATCGAAAAGCATTGCTATATTATTTGAGCAATTCTATTTAAAATGTAAGAAAGCAACTTCTTCAAGGAAATTCTAGTGAGGTCGGTAGCAGGAATCGTGTCTTGGCTAAGTTCCCAAGTTCCTGAGATATCCGCAGTCACAAGTTACACTTGAGTGCTTTTCCCTTTCTTTGGATACCATTCATGACCTCATTTGGGAATTTACTTGTTTTTTTAATCACCCCAAAATCGTCTAGATTTAATCGTTAAATATTCTGATAACAACTTATTTTAGACTATCTACTATTGATGATTTCAATAATGATTAAATCCAATTTTCATTTCAAACAAATCGTTCTCTAAAACTACTAAAGAATGGTATAAATATAAATTCACCGATTTCCATAAATTTATACCAAATAGAACCAAAAATAGTTTAATTTACATTGAGATATTTTCAGCATTTTCTTTGTTTATTGTAAATTTATAAAATCACTTAGTCGTGACAATCTCTATGCTTCTATTGATTAAACAGTCACGGTGAGTTCAATTGACCATTATAAGTATGAATTATCTTTCTAAACTAAAACTTTCTTCTGGGTTAGCAGTCTTTTTACTCCATCAATATTCATAAATTAAAGTTATCTCTACAGTTTCCAAGAGATCAGAACTTCAGGCTATTATCTAATAAACAAAATTAATATGAAATTAATTACTGGTTGCCTGCGTTGTCTACAAGAAGATAAACGATGTGATCAGTATCCCTGAGCTTCGCTGCGCTTGTGATAGGTTTACTGAGTCCCTGAGCTTGTGCTGATGCTTCTCCCATTTCATCTATGATTCTCGACAACTGTCTTTGGGATTCACTGAAATTAAAGTCAATTATTAATTATTATTTCTTTTGTTACTTATTAATACTTACTATAATTAAATTAAACAAGCTAAGATTAATCTTTGGAGTATCAGATTTCTTCAAGAGTAAACCATTCTATTAAATCAAAGCATGAAGGTATTCAACCTCTGCATGTTGATGCCTAAAACCGCAGCTTTCTTAGTGTTGAAATAGTTGGATAATAAAAAAATACAGAAATAAAGGAAAAAGATGGGCCAATTAAGAAGTAGAAACCGTTAGGTAAACAATGAAGAAATGAATCATTGTGAGCCAAGTGTATCAGAGCGTACTGATGGAAACTTTCAACAACGCTATTCGTGGCTTTCACGAAAGTATACAATTTCGTGAAGAAGGAATTGATTTTTATATAATGATTGTAATTATGAGAATACAGATAAAGATAATAAGAATAATAACAATAATCATAATGCAATTTATAGCCACAATCAAGTCAAGACAAGTGCATAAGAGAACACGTATCTACTTAAACTTGTTATGCAAGTCATATTATAACGTCATTTGAGAGCTCAGTGCACGATAATTTGTCTCTACAATCATTCGTTTCCATGTAATAATTTATTTTAAGCGGCTGAAGATTTTCTCTCATGGGAAGACTTTTGTTTAAGAGTAATAGTGATTACATCTTTAGGAAATTATCATAGTCCATTCTAATCCATAGGAATTATTTTTAACAATTATTTAGCTATTATGGGATAAAGATAGATTTAAAAATAATTTAGTTATTTTAATGCTTAGAAGTATTCATTAATAAATGTTTTGTAATACATTAATATTAAGTTTCTGTTGATGAAGTGATAATTGAAATATTCAATACTATAATTATAGATGATTAACTAAAGCTAAAGTCATAAAATTTATTAATTCATAACCCGGCATAGGTAATTAAAAATTTTTTGAAGCAAACAAATTAAATTTTACTGTTTACTGTTTATTAATTAGCTTTCAGCTAGACTAATTATCGATTAATTGTGTTGATAACGTTGGGGGAAAATCAATCAATTACGTAATTTGAAATTTTTTTAATAATAAAAGAAGTTTATGTGCTTTATATAAATAGCTAAAAATAAACTCATTCTTACACCTCGTCAATAGTTAATTTTTCCGGATTTGTGTCAGAAATGTGTACCGTTATAATGCTAATTTATGACTTTTTAGATATTCAGGCCAATCAATATATCACATGTGATACGTGAGTACACTAGAGTCAGTTTATAGTCATTCCAATTCTGATGGTTTTCATTTTTTATTATCAAACATTTCCATGAATATTGATAAACGTGTTTTCACACCAGAAATTCTAGATAAATCTCTAATGACTAATTTTTCATTTAATCTCAAAAGGATCTTCATTGTCATGGCTATAATTTTTTTAATAAAAAAAGGAAGAATAATAATAATAAAAAAACGGATGTAGGAAATGGCTACATTCGTCATGCTTGGTCGATCGAGTCTCATCGTTTATTCCGTTACTTGGAGCAGATCTTTAAGCCTACTACAAGTGTGATTCACCTGACGCCAAGAGTAAATTTTTAGAACATTTGTAAAGCAAATAATATATTCCTAGCAAGTGTATAGAACTGCTATATGCTAATAAATTTTAAGAATTCCTTTTAAACAATCTATGAATAAATTTCACAAGCTTTTCCATTTTATCATTTCAATTTTTTTCCTTCAACATTTCCATCAAGTATTTAACACTTTTTAATAATTCTATGTCATGAATTAACTGAATTTTTTAAATTAATTTTATAAAAAAAATTAAATCGCATTAATTAAGCTGAGGTAAACAATTTTTATCATGATATCAACAATAACTAAAAAGCTTACGAGGATAATCATGATAATTACACAACATACAATTCAATTAGAATAATACCCAACATGTGATGAATTCTCTACACGTCATTCAATAAAAGATGTATTGCTACTTTCTGACGTAAATTTTTTAAACTTCCCACCATCTTACAAGTCGTCTTGTCCGCCCACCTGCAGAATAAATGACTTGAAAGGAGTGTCTTGTACCTTGTAAAGATCACAAGTATCATAGTCACGTCTTCTTTTGATTTACACTTACGTATTCATGTTAAATAAACTTTCTATTACAATGTTCATGTAAAAAAGATTGCAATTGATCGAAACGATTAGGGTTATTAGAATCATATCATGGAAAAGTGATGACTAGTATTATCTGATAATTGATATTGATTTGAAGTAGTGAAAGTATTCTAAATGTCAATAATTTATTCAACAACCACGTAATGATAGATCAGAATTGAAATATATTAGTGACCTTGTTTTTTTTTTCCTTCTTAATTCCGTATTGAAAAATTTGAATAATAGATTGGCGTTTATAAGTTGATTTGAAATCGTTTCTTTTTCTTGTGCTGAACTTCATAATATAAATATCAAAACATAAACAGGAAGTATTTAAAAATGTTTAAATAAAGCTTAAAAATAATTTCCTGTATAATTAAAATATTATAATGTTATTAAATTATTTAAAATAATAATTATGAATTATTTAAAAAATTCTTACTTATATTCTCTTCGATCTCCAGGCCTAAAATCCTCGGGAATCAATGTATGCGTTATCTTGTTAATCTTACGAGGCAAGAGTCTATTTACGTTGAACTTGAAATCCATCTTGACTCTTTAGGCTTTCCCAGCTAGCAGAATCCACTATCACTTTCCGTAGATGTTTTCAACTCAATAAATTACTACAAAATAACCAAGCTGTCAGACGTACAAACAAAATACATTAATGATGTAAAACAAAAAAAAATAAACTAACCTTTATTAATAAGGATTAATACTTCTTTCTGTTATTTAGAAATTTAGGAACACTAAATCATACTAAAGTTGAACTGTCAACGTCAGGTGCACTTTAAGTGCCGCCGAAATACAATAAAACAACCCTTGGTTCATTCACTTCCGTATTTAAGCAGAAACTAGATACACAGAAATGTAATTAATGACGTAAATTAATACTTCTGATGAGTTAGAAACTTGATTAAATTCTTTATTTACTTTTAGACGGTTAATAACCTAGACTTGTCATGAAACAATTGTCTTGACGGATCAGAGTGATGATTTAATGAAGGATGAAGAAAAGGAGGGTGTGGAAAATGCTTCTTCTCGATGTTGACACTCGGAGATTGCGTAGTGATGATGCTCCAGGAAGAGAGGGAAAATTTAGAGATGTATTGTATTCGCGATTGCGCAAAAAATCCGGAAATTATTACGTGAATAAGGTAAGAACATTAAATGTTTGAATAACGTGAAAGATTCAAAGGAGTGATCTACACTCAACAACACTCAGTACACGACTGTTTTATTTTTACGAAGGTCGCGCGCCATTCGACTGAATAATTGCGCACGCGTACTGACGCCTTGCCTACACCACTCTTTTTACCATATGATTTCAAACACCATTTTACTATTTTCTGGCACGAGAATTTATTGTTTATACTCGTCTTAGTGATTATTATCGTTTTCATAATTTTTCACTGAGATCACTTGACTGATAATCTATATCAGTTTCTAACCTCAATAAATATTTAATATTATATCATTTTCTATCTAGTATTTTAATCTATTGATAAAGGCTATCTTTTTGAAGTTGTTATCCGAATATGAAATTAAATAGAGCACAGTAAACAACTATATGTCCATATCAATGTTAAATAATGATTATGATGTCTATTATGAATCATATCGTGGTAATTTTATAAATTCAGTATCTTTTCCTGGTTTATAAATAATGTTAGTCTCTAGTAAACGTTATTAGGTGAATAACATTGTAATAGTCAACGTTAAATAAAAATATCATCAATAATTAATAGTGAGTTACTTATATTATTTGAATATATATTTTTGTGTTGATTAGAAGAATGTATAACCTCAAATATTCATTAGAGTGTAACAATAAAAATTTATTAACTTGTTTTTCTGTGCTCTTCTTTGATATAATCTTTAATAGATATTTATCACTAGAATTTTATTTATTGTCTCTAATTTTTTCATGCTTAAAACAACATATTTTATCTTCTGTTCTACTTATATAGATTAACATCATCAAAATATTTGTTATAGCGCCAAATTGTGGTCCCTTTATGATTGATAAGATTAAAAAAAACATATAAAGAAAGTAACAATCCAGTGAACATCATAAGAAAAAATTAATCAGTAGCAATAATGTTACTAACATTAATATTTTCGTTATTTATTGTTACTGTACAATGTAGTTTTGATCAGATATATTCTATAATTGATAGAAGTGAAGATGCTTATGCAAAGATAATTAAAAATCAATGCGAAAATTCAGTTTCATGTGAAACTGAATATAAACCAACATGGGACAGTTTAGATAAACGCCCTCTTCCTACATGGTATGATGATGCAAAATTTGGAATTTTTATTCATTGGGGAGTTTTTAGCGTTCCTAGCTTTAGTTCAGAATGGTTTTGGAAACACTGGACAGGTATGCATTAGTTACAATTAATTCAGCTTATATTATTAAATTAATTCCAAATATTTCATTAAAACAGATGAAAAAGGCAATGGAACAATTAGTGATTTTATGAGGAAAAGATATCCACCTAATTTTACTTATCAAGATTTCGCACGTGATTTTACTGCTGAATTTTTTAATGCTACACAATGGAGCAAACTTTTCGAAGCAGCTGGTGCTAAATATGTTGTTTTAACAAGCAAACATCATGAAGGATATACTTTGTGGCCATCTAAATATTCTTATAGCTGGAATTCTATGGATGTGGGTCCACATAGAGACTTAGTAGGTAAGATTAATAAAATATTCTATTAATTGATGAAGTATTTTACTAATTATTTGCGAATTATATTAAAGGGGAATTGGCAGAAGCCATTAGAAAAAATACGAACATAACATTTGGTCTCTATCATTCTCTATTTGAGTGGTATAATCCTCTTTGGTTATCTGATCAAAAGTCTAATTTTTCTGCTGATGAATTTGTGACTTATAAAATTTTACCCGAGATGTTGGAACTGGTGAACACATACAAACCTGAAGTTCTCTGGTCTGATGGAGAATGGGATGCTCCGGATACTTACTGGAAGTCAAAAGAATTTTTAGCTTGGCTGTTCAATGAGAGCCCTGTCAAAAATACTGTTGTCGTAAATGATAGATGGGGACATGAGATTATGTGTCATCACGGAGATTTTTACACTTGCTCAGATCGATATAATCCAGGTAATTGATTTTTTAAAATCATTTTTTCAAACCAATAGATCATGTTCTAAAAAAAATTCCACTAGGGGTTTTACAAAAACATAAATGGGAGAATGCTATGACTATTGATCGACGTTCATGGGGATATCGACGAAACGCTGCTTTAAAGGATTACATGTCAGTAAACGAACTTGTTAAAGAGTTAGCAATAACTGTCAGCTGTGGAGGAAACTTATTAATGAATATTGGGCCAACTAAAGATGGAATAATTGCTCCTATCTATGAAGAACGTCTCCGACAGATGGGTAAAAATTTAAACTTACATAATATCATCAATATAATCAATACAATACTCATTTGTGAACTGTTATAGGAGAGTGGTTAAAAATTAATGGTGAAGCAATATACAATACTAGACCTTATAAAATTCAAAATGACACTCTGTCGAACAATACCTGGTATACTGCCAGTAAAGATCAAAAAACAATTTATGCTATTGTATTAGAATGGCCAAACGATGATATTTTAACATTAAAAATAGACGAAGCTGTATATAAAATATCACTGCTTAATTATAATGAACCATTAAAGGTAATTAAAGACAGAGTAATCGTTAAAATTAAGAAAAGAATAATATTTATAAAAAAATTTATAATTCTAGTGGAAAAATAGACAACAACATATATCTATTAAAATGCCCGTAGTAAGTCATATGGGTCAACCAGCATGGGTAGTGAAGATTGAAGTACAAAAGTCGTCTGATGATAAGGACGTAAAAGATTAAAGGTTATTTACCTGTTGTTTTTTTTTAATAATTATACTTAAATTTACAAAGATATGGATAAGCTTTTTTATGAACCATAACAATATCTTGGTTTTACTATTCATTTTTTATATTTTTCATTCTTACACTTGATAAAATTTATAAATCATAGTATTACATACGTGAAACTTCATATACATAAGATCCAAGCAACTTGGTCTGCAAAAGATATTTGTATTATTAATTATAAAAGATTAAATTTGGAATAATTATATTGTCACAATGGACTTACCCCTTCAATGTAATTACGAATATTGAGCTTTTCATTTTGAGAATGCGCTCCATCATCTCCACAACCAACGGGGAGAAGTAAAACATTTTTTCCTGTAACTTCTTGGAAGGTCAAAGTCACGGGAATCGAACCGCCTTCTCTGGAAAGATCAGGATCAACTCCATAAACATGTTTTGTTGCTGTTCTTGCAGCAGCATAATGTGGATGATCAGGATTTTCTGTCCAAGCTTTTCCTCCATGAAGCATGTATACTTTCATATCATTAGGACTTTGTCTGCTAGCCCATTGTTTTTCAACATGTGCTGTGATTTTTTTAACAACCTCATCGGGTTCCATATTAGGAACAATTCTCAGAGAAAATTTGCCTATTACTTTTCTTGGGATTACTGTCTTCGCTCCAGGATCACTAAAAGCGCCTTCAATACCATGGATGGATAAGGTTGGATAACGCCAGCGGTGCATCAATAATTGGATCTAATAAGTGGGAAAATATAGTTATTCAAGAAGTAGCAAATATTTTTTTTAAAAGGTATGTTATAAAAAATTTAATTACTTTATCTTCATTATGAGCTAATTTGCTAGTTCCTACAGTTTTCTTAAACTCCTGAACATCGAATTCAATGTCTCGATAACTTGCTAACTCAGCATCAGTAACTTTAGTAACATTATCATAAATTCCATCTACAAGAATGCGACCATTGACATCCACAAGTGTATTAAGTAAGTATATTAAATCAGCCATAGCTTCATGAACTGTTCCACCAAAAGTCCCACTGTGGAGATCGGCTTTGGCACAGCTAACTTCAATACCAAAATAACATACTCCTCTTAAACCATATGTGATACAAGGTTTTGTAGTTCCAAGCCAATAATTATCTGAAATGCAAACATAATCGACGTCTTTCAAAAAAGTATCTTTATGGGCCCAAAGAAATTCATCTAAACCTTCACTTCCACTTTCTTCCATTCCTTCAAAAACAAACTGAAAAAAATAATTTTGTTATTATTCTGAAAAAATTAAGGTATCCAAATTTACTTAAGCAATATAATATTGATATTTTACCTTGATATTCACTGGAATATCTTCTCCAATAGCTCGGTATGCTTGAAAAGCATGGAGCCAGCATAGCACTGGGCCTTTATCATCAGTACTACCACGTCCAAATAATTTGTTATCTTTTTCTACCAAAGTGAATGGCTCAGTATCCCAACCATCCTCTTTCAGGGCAGGTTGAACATCTAAATGCCCGTAAATGAGAACTGTCTTTTTTTTAGGATCACTTCCAAGAGTTCCAAATAAAATTGGTGGTAAAGGAATTTCTCTACCATCAGCTAATTTTTCTTTTCCTACATCAGCAAGTTCTGTAGTTGCTCCAAGAGCTTTTAATTTAGTTTCCATCCACTTCATCATTTTTACAATTTCATCTCGCATGTCTGGCCATGCTGATACCGATTTAATCGCTACTGCTTCTCGAAGATCATCGATATATTCTTTTTTATGTTGATCAATGTACCTACAATATTTCAAGTCATATTATATCTTAATAAATTTGAATAATTACATTAAAACAAAATTGAAAAAGAGAATAAATATTTACCCATAGAGTTTTGACAATGTTGATGGAAGTGATGCCATAATTTATAACAATTATTACTTTACGAGTAATTTAATGTAAAAATGCAGAACCTGAAAAATCAGAGACTTACAATAACGCTTTGTTAACAGAATTTAATACAATTTTTATCATTTACAGTAAGAGTTTGATATGATTATCTTGAGTACCAGGCGTGAACATTGGAACTTTTGTGCAATGACTAATAGCAACTGGATTTTAATTATCAAAGAATGAATGTCAATTGCAGTAAATTATATGGAAAAAAGGTATTAGAATGAATAAAAGTACACATACGTTCTGCTGTTACCTGATAATATGAATTTTACTTTAGCTTTTATCAAATATTTTTAATTATTCAACGAGTATTATATTTTTATAAAAATGAACTCCGTCAAATAAATCAACAGTGGAATGTTTTTATCTGTCTATATTTACAATGTTTGGAAAGTCTGTAGTCACAATGTAATTTTTTTCATTTTGTAGCTTGAAGGTGTCGCCATCTGTTTCATTAATTCAATTTTTAGCACATTATTATTTATATTTTGCATTTTATTTTTAACAATTATTTAAAAATTAATAATTGATAAATTTTTTTAAATAAATGAACATCATATTCTTATAACACAGAATATTTTGTATAAATTTATTTGTTATAATAATATTAATAATATACAAAAATAATTATAAAGAGAATATTTTTAATTCTAAATTTAATTTCTTAAAACAGTCTAGAAGTTAATTTAATTATAAATTAAGGCACTTAGATATTTGTTAATTACAATAAAATATAGAAATACATCAACAAGTTTTCATTGTGTCTACAGTTTAATTGAGACTCTTATATTTTGTGAATAAATTATATAGAACCCTGAGAGTCGATTTTAGATCGTGATTTACAATGTCCTCCGGTCGTGCTTTGGGTTTAGGTAGTCCAACATCTTGCATCAGATCAAAGGCGAAAGAAACATTATGAACTTTCTGATCATGTGTCTTAGGTGTTAAATGGAAACTACCAAGTGGTACGAAAAATCCTTCAAGAAGTCCAAGAAGTAAAGTGAGAAAAACTCCATCGTGAAATTGTGTATCTAGATCAGTAACTTCTAAGTGAACTTTACTTAAATGTTTGTTAACAAATGACACTAATGATTTCTTAACAACTGGCAGTTTATCATGTGGATGGTCGAAGAGTGTATCAAAAGCATCACGCTCACAACGCATTCCTAAGTCATCGTATGTGGAAGTTATTTCTTCTCTGACTGTTCTGTGAATCAATTGACCATCTTTTTTGCGTACAACAACGAGTTGAACAGCAACTCGTTCTGGAAGACGTACTGGAGCTCGATATTGCCTAGCCAATCCCACTAACAAGTGAAGAATAGGTACAATATTCTTAGAATGCACTGACTCAACACTCCATTGGTATGGTGGATATCGTCCTAATATGCGGTTTGCTGCTGATAAAACAATCTCAAGTTTTTGTTTTTGGCCTTCTTCTGATTGTGTAACTTCTGGTACATCAAGTTTTTCTCCAGTAAGTTTTTCTATGAAATTAAAATCACTCAATTATAATCAATCTTCAAGGAAATAAATTAAAATTATCATAAAAAGTTTTATTAATTATTTCTAGATATAAATCTTACCAATTAGCTTTTGGAGTACTTGTCCATCATATAAATCTTCGACAATATCTTTAACAATGATCCTCTGATCTGCCAATTCATCATTAATCCACTCAATTAAGATAAAAATAAGCTCCTGTAATTTAGAATCTTCTAAAGAACCGGGTTGAATAATGGACCTCTCTTCATTTTCTTCAATAGCATACTCCTCTGGTGGCATATCTGGATTAGCTGCATATCCTGGAGAATCGATGGCATATTTACCTTCTTCTTGGACTTCTTGAACTAAAAATAATAATTAAGGTAAAATTTTATATGTATCAGCTTAAAATTGAACAACTAATAATTTATATAAATAAATAGATGTATCAGTTCCAGTATCATGGAGACGTTTATTATAAGCATGCATTCATCGCCTACTAATTTAGACATGAGCCAAGCCTTATAAGGAGATTGTTTATGATGTTATCGTGGTCTGAATGAGTGAGTTGACATTAATTTTCTTTTTAATATTAAATTTGTCATTTTAAATGAATGTAAATAAATCAAACCTTCTTTAATCCTCTTTTTGCGACCTAATGTGCCAATTTTTTCCCAAAAACTTTCTTCTTTATCTTCTTTTTTCGCAGATAAAGGAGGTCGTGGTGATTTTGGTCTGGGTGACGCCATGTCTGCACAAGAATTACACAAGGCACATGAGTGTGATCAGTAGTATGGGAGTAGCGTAAGCAGATGACGGAGTTAAAGTGGGAACTCGTACAGCTCAGAAGACCACATCAAGACGTCATCGTTTCAGAATAAACTTGCCTTGCCTTCTGGTTGTACTGTATATTACGCTACAATTTGTGCTAGAGCCAGCTCTTCAAGGCAATCAAGGACGTTCTCCACCAATTCAAATGCAGAATAGAGCAGAATTGGATGAATTTTTTAAAATATTCAATAAAACTTAGATAAGATATCAATTACTTACTTTAATTACTTCAATCAAGTAATTATTTGTCTATTTTATGCTTTTCAGATGATTTGTTATTAATTATTAAATTTACCTGCATTCTCTTCTGCTGGATTATCTGATTTTCTATCAAGATTTTTCTTCTCTGTTTCGTCTTCGATAATATTTATTTTCTTTGGAATAACTCCAATGATCATTGGACACTTTCCATCATCAATCTCATCGTAATCATCAGAATAATACGCTTTCGCTGAATATACGTCATCTGTTTCTTCATATTTCACAGCAAATGATTGGTACTCGCCCTTCTCCATATTTCAGGTAGAAATTATGCTCCTTATTTGAGAGTTTTGACTGTTTTTAGATATTTAATGACTGATATACTAAATGTATTTGTATGACTAGCAGTTACACAACGTTTTAGTAAACTAAAAAGATTTTTCACTGCAGTCTTACTAATCATTGTAGGGAAATATCACGTCCGGAGATGATAAGAAAATGATAAAAAAATTTTTCGAGAGGAGCAAGTTAAAAATAACTTTTAAATTTCCCGCTAATTGGAAATACTAATTTGTTAACATTTATAACGATTTTTATATTTTTTTCAATATTATTGCTGGGAAAACTACTGAAATTATGGATGATTTATCAAAAGTTTAATATCTGCTATGTCAATTATGATTTATGATAAAATAATAGGTGAAAAGCTTGAGCAGATGGAGTACTAGTTGGTAATTATTTGAACTGGAATTTTTTAAATCAAAAGTAAAATATTAGATGTAAAAATGTTTATTAAAACATTTTCTAAAAATCACAATTTGGCGGACATAATAACAGCGCAGTCTTCAGGATAATTATCGATTTAAAATAGTCGTTAGCGCGTACGAATAGATTTTAAAAATGTAACATTCTACTAAACATAGAATTATTGACATTATTTTATTTTTTTTATGAATTCTCAACTGTGTAATTATATCTAACTGCTTAAGAACAAAATTATTATTTATTCATTATTAATCAAAAAAATCTTACATCAAAGATTGTTAAAGATAATAACCTATAATTTTTGTCTCTATTAATTAAATGAAATTACTTCCAGATCAACATCTCGTTAGACAATAAGTCTGTTATTAAATGTTTTAAGGAATTAAAGTTTCATGATCTTTTTCGACTACACAGGAAGAAGTGCATAATTAATCAATCCTTTTATGCTTAAAAGGATCAATGTAAATGGTGGAAACATTTTAAACTGGAGTCACAGCACCTTATCTTTGTAAATCTCTATATACCAATAGTAATAATGAAAATTTTTACAAGAGTAGAATCGACTCCAGAAGTTTTATTTCACTATTTTATAGATTTTGGCAAATTAATTTGTTTATTGCCATCATGCCCAGAATCGACATTTATTCGAAAGTTATTGAATGGAATTGGATCATTCATTTCGATCATAAATCTTGGTGGAATTTTATTATCTTTCCTCGCAACTGCTTATAAAATGTTTCACGAAAAAATTCTGGTCACGGAGATTCTAGGATTTGCTATGATTTACTTAGAGACATTTTTAAACATAATATTATGGAAAGTCAAAATGACAGCATTTTATGTGAGTATATTAATAAATTCTTCAATGTATATTTAACAATAAATAATTATTCAAATTATTTTTAGAAATTTTTGCAAGAATTTGAAGATTTCATTAAAACTTCCAAAAGAAACGAACGAAAAGTAATAGATAAATACTTCAACCGATATAGATATTTTTATATATTTATAGCAATATTCGCAACTATATCTTTCTTACTCCGTGTAATAATTGCACCAATCCAAGGACGACAGAAACTCCCTTTTGCAATTTATTATCCATTTACAATCAAACCATATTCTAGTCTACATTATCTGATTTATTTATCACAATCGATAGCATCATTCCAATGTTCCGCTCAAATAATATTTCCAATCACAATTTCTATGATTATGTTACATGTGTCAATGAAACTAGAACTACTTGCTGATGAAATTGAACATGCAGAACATTACAATCAATTGATAATATGTATACAGCATCATCAAGAATGCATTAAGTATGTTGAAAGAATAATTTATTCTATGATTTAATTTTTGAAGGTTTTCTTTGAGTGGTATAGTTTTTTATTTATTATTTTCTATTTTGAAGACTTGTAGAACGAATAAACCGAGTATTTGGTGCCCATATCATGAAATCCTACATTATTCCTGGATTATCGATTATTTTTGGAAGCATGAAATTCATTTATGTAAGTCGTTAAAACTATTAATTAAAAATTAATTAAGGAGAAATACTCAAATTATTATATTCCCATTAAACTTCGATCAAGAAACCAGATTTTTTCACCATCGGAAGATCTTTTCTAACAATCACCAGTTGTTTGATTGGAACCTACATATACAATGGACCAGCAGATGATATATATGAAATGGTAATTTAGGAAAAAATATGTATTGAAAGACATTGAGCAAATACTTAACTTTTAAATACATCTTCAGAGTCAAACAATTGGCAATTCATTATATGGCATGAAGTGGAGCAACGATCTGATAAAAATGCAAAAATCTGTAATGATTGTTATTCAGCGAGTACAAAGGCCCTTAGCTATTTCTCCTCTGAAGGGATTAATGCCATCTCTGAATCGAAAAATTTATACATCGGTAAGTCTTATAAATTTTTTCATATACGAAATGAATATTTTTATTGAAAATATTTTTGTTATAGTTTTTATCGTATTTGATATCATACGTGATGACATTACGAGCAGTCGTAAATACTCAAGAATAGTAACTAAATTATTAACATAACTTGTACCAATCTTGTTTTTATTCTGAAGTATAATATATATTTTAACATTACCAATAATTAATTAGATAATTAATTAATTTTTAAAAACATGTGTTATTAGTATTTTTTTTAGTCAATAAATGAGGTCACTAAGTTTAATGTTCATTTATTATTGTTCATGTAGAATATCGATAACTATTAAAATATTTATTAAATTTAACAGTAATTATAATAGGAATAATTATGGATTATATAATGATGTAGGAAATTTATTCAAAAATACTACTTGCTGTCGGGAAAAGTATCAATTATCGTTAATTGTAAATGTTTCTGAATGGGTCAAGGTCATAAATATTCATATTTATATTGATAGCCACAATTTTTAAGCTTCAAAAGTAGAAACTGTAAAGCTTGCATTGCTTTTGGATTTTAATATATTGAATTCTAGCATATTATTACAAGTATGAAATTCTGGTCAGAAACAGTATTTGGTTACCTTATAAATTTTGGAAAACTACTCTGTCTTTTACCTTTGGATTCTGGATCATCATTTACACTCAAAGTGCTAAATAGAGTTGGATGTTTTATTGTATTTATCAATGTCATTGGCATGGAATTATCTTTACTATCAACCATTTACATAAATTTTCACGACAAAATATTAGTGACCACACTTTTAAGTATTGTGATGTTATTCTTGGAATTACTTCTGAATCTTTTAATTTGGCAATTCAAAAAAGCCAAATTGCAAGTAAGTCGCATTAATTGACAATATAATAATGACTGAATATTATGTGAAGTATTTTTATTGCAGAAACTTTTGCAAGAATTTAAAAATTTTTTATCAGCATCAAAAGAACATGAACGAGTTATAATTAATTTATATTTCAACCATTATAAATATTTTTACACATTGTTTTTTATTTTTGCTTCTGGTACTGCTATTATACGAGTCATATTTGCACCAATGCGACAATCTCCGAAAATTCCTCACGCAACTTATTATCCATTTCCAATTGAACAGCCTTCTGTCATATACTACATGGTTTATTTATCACAATCGATAGCATCATTTTATTGCGGGATTCAGACAATATTTATAATAATTACTGCTATGATGCTCACATATGCGGCAATAAAAATGAAAATTCTAGTTTATGATTTTAAAAGAGTCGAGAACTGTAGTCAGCTGAAACTGTGGATATATCAACATTTGGAATGTATACGGTGAGCATTACTGTTTTAATATAATATCCAATGTATTTATTTATATTAATATGTTACTATTTTCTTTTATATATATTTGAAGATTCGTAAATTATATAAATGAAGTCTTAGGTTTTGTGATCTTGAAATCTTATATCTTTTTGGGATTAACAATTATTTTTGGCACCATGAAATTCATTTATGTAAGTAATCAAATCATATTTTATTATTCCATACGTAATATCCACTATTTCTTATTGTTATTTTCTTCCTTGATTTTTATTCATTCATTTCAACTTCAAGAATCCTGATTTGTATACTATTGCGAGAACTCCTCTAACAATCCTCAGTTGTTTAATTGGAACCTACATATACAATGGACCAGCAGATGATATATATGAAATGGTAATTAATCATCATAAACTTTAATAAAGAAATTTAATTTTATTCTAAAATTTATTGTTTATAGAATCACGCAATAGGACATATGTTGTATGACATGGAATGGAACAACGAACTGATGAAAATGAAGAAAGATATCATAATTGTTATGATCCGAATTCAAAAACCAATTTTCATTTGTCCACTTAAAGGACTTATGCCAGCTTTAAATCGCAAAATTTATACCAATGTAAGTCTAGTAATTTTTTGAATACTTTTTTGTATAGGACGGTATAATAACTGTATTTTTTCTTTCAGTTTTTGTCGTACCTAATATCGTACATCATGACTCTACGTGCAATCGTGAACACTCAGTAATGACATCCATTATTTTTAACGATCCGTTTCTGCCTCTTGAAATATAGAACTAATATCATTTGATGTCTTGTAATTATATCTTCCAATTTTTTGTACATACGATTATTGCTTAACATTAAAGGCTCATTTAGTTTTTACAAGTTCGTTACTTTTTTCTAAGAAAAACATTTTATCGTATGTTCACTTATATCTTGTATGAAATTTTCATGGTGATCTTGTATTATTAAAGATCTATTAGATTTTCAATAACTATTATACAAAAAGTGTCCTAATATAAGGCCATAAATATTTGCTTTACTATTCATTCATCTATGAGTTTTCTGACAACACGACATAAAAATGAATTTTACTCCAGAAAAGTTTATACGTTATCTAGAAAATTACGGCCAAATTGTTTGTATTTTGCCAGTATATTCAAATGCGAACAAGATATTTTTGGTCTTAAATCGAATTGGATCTATTTTTACAATCATTAATTTAGCTGGACTTATATTGAGTTTCCTTTACACAGCATATATAAATTCTTCGAAACTTATCCTCATGACCAAGTTTTTAGGCTTGGCCACACTCTACTCTGAAGCGACATTCAATATGATAATTTGGCGATTAAGAAAGTCACAATTTCAGGTATGTTATTGATTCAATATAGAAAAGAAATTCAGATAATAATAATCTTTATTTTATTCCAGAAATTACTCAAAGAATTATATGTTTTTCTTCAATGCACAGAAATTGAGAGAAAAACAATCATCCATAAACAAGCTGCTCGTTATAAATATTTCTATATGTTCCAAATTTTTTTTGCTTGTCTAGTATTAATAATACGATCAATAGTATTTCCACTATTTCAATCAGCTCAACTACCACTTTCTGTTCATTATCCATTTTCCGTCACGCCTTTCACGCTAACATATTACATAGTTTTTTTATTACAATTTTTAGCCATCATTCATTGTATGTCTCAGATTATTTATCCACTATTAGTAGCGATGATGTTTTCACATGTGACGATGAAATTAGAAATACTTGCACACAATCTACAGAAAGTCACAGATGGTCGTCAGCTTATTAGATCCATCAGAGAACATCAGAGTTGTATTGAGTAAGAATCAGCTTCAATCAAGTAGACTAAAATAGTGATAGTCCAACTCTTCTATAGTCAATTATTTTTAATGAGAAAATTGTTATTGTTTTCATTTTATATAAAAATCAATATTCAAAGAGATGTGAACAACATCAATCATGCTTTTAGAAGCGTAATTATGAAAACGTACATGCTTGCAGGGTTAACAATTATTCTTCAAAGTATAACTTTTATCTATGTAAGTATTTTCTGTAGTTAAACGTATATTTTAGAAAGATAAAATTGAATTTTATTTTCAAATGATATGCTTATAGGAAGTTCGTGTTTTTGCAATTTTCCGAGCTGGATTCACTGTGATAAGCTGTTTACTTGGAACTTACATTTATCATGGAGCAGCAGACGACTTATATATGATGGTAAGAGTTTTACAAATTTACTCCAATATATATTTTTCATTAATTTCGAGTTTTGGATGAATTTTTTGATTTCCAGAGTCAATCTATAGCAGTTATTCTATGCAGTTTAGAGTGGAATGACGAATTAATGAAGATGCGAAGAACTCTGCTAATCATGATATGTCGAGCTCAAAAACCTCTAGTTATTTCTCTTCTTGATGGATTGATGCTAGCTTTAACACGAAAAATTTATGCATCTGTAAGTTGCACAAAATGTGACGTTAATTCTTTCAATTTCCAGCTTTAAAATAACTTGAGTGTTTTTTTCCAGTTCTTATCATACCTTATTTCATACATAATGACATTGCGAGCTATTGTCAGCTCTCATTGATACATGTCGTATGTGAAATTAAAAACTTTTTATAAGTAATTTAAGAGCTTAAATACAAAATACTGGGAAACAGAGGAAATAAATCTGTTGAATAAAAAAATACAAATTTAAAATTATTTCCATGACATAAAAATTCGTGAAGTTCCATAACCTATTTGAAAGACGGTAAAAGATATCATAACAAGTATAAATATTTACTAACCTCACGTCGTTGGTCTTCTTCTAATTATTTCTTTTTCCTGTCTATCAACCACAGTCAATCGAATAATTTTTTTCTTCCATCATATACTAATTTAAATGTCCCGCGTAAAATATCGCTTACAAATGGGTGTGTCATGTCAATGTGTTTGTGCATGATATCTACAAAGCAGTCATTTTCAGAAGAAATGTTACCGCTAAAGGATCTTAACAAAATACTAGCATTTCAATTTATTGTTCTATTTAATTATGTATTTTCTCAAGAAATCCTAGGATGTGGTGGTTTTATAAAAAGTCACGATCTTATTGATTATTCCAAAGTACAAATTAAATTGTGAGTATAATTATGCAAATAATGATAAAGAAACAGGTTATGACACGATTCTCATGACAAATTTCGATTAATTTATCACATAAACTCATAACATAAACATTCATTATTTATTTCAACAGATTTACTAAAAGTGGAAGTCTCAAAGATCAAACGGAGTGTGCCCCTAATAATGGTTATTATTTTTTACCTTTGTATGACAAAGGAGAGTATGTACTTAAGGTATTATTTATATTCTCTATTATATATTTTTTTTATAAAATTATATATCGAAAACTTAATCTTCTGAATAATCTGTAGGTCGATCCACCTCGTGGTTGGAGTTTCGAACCAACAGAAGTCATTTTAGATGTCGATGGTACCAATGATGTTTGTAGCCAGGGTAAAGACATCAATTTTACTTTTAAAGGATTTGGAATAACTGGCAAAATCACCAGCAGTAATTCAAAGAATGGCCCTGCTGGTGTTACGGTATCTCTTCACGAAAGTTCAAATAAAAAACTATTAGGAACTACTATAACTGGACAAGATGGAATATTTTCATTTACTCCAATTCAACCAGGCAAATATACTTTGGTTGCGTCTCATCCAAAGTGGGTTTTCATGAAAGATACAACACAAGTAACAGTAAAAGAAGGTAATACTGAATTACCAGATAATGAACTTGTAGTTTTTGGATATGACGTAAGTGGAAAAGTAACGAGTGAAGATGAATCTACTGGGGTAAATGGAGTTTCATTTATTTTGTTCGGTAATGGAAAAGTTATGAATTGTAACATGCAACCTATACCAGGCTTCGACAATCAGAAACCACTATGTTCTGTGAATTCAGATAAAAGTGGTAAATTTGTATTCCCGGCTGTTTCAATAGGTGAATATAAAATAATTCCTCATTATGCAGGAACTGAAACTAAATTTCATGTTCAACCACAAGAAATGAAATTCACTGTTCAACATGGAAGTGTAATTTTACCAGAAATATTCAAAGTAACAGGCTTCACAGTTAATGGAGTAGTAGAAATATCAAATGGAGTACCTTTAGCAAATGCTAAGGTATTTTTGTCAGGCAAACTTGTAGCTACAACTGATGCTAATGGTCGATATTTTATAGATAAAATGAAAACTGGACAATATAGTTTAAAAGTCGAGGCAAATGATGTCAAATTTGATGAAAAAATAGTTAAGATATCACCAAGTACGCCGGAGTTGCCACAATTGAAACCAAGTTCTTATAAAGTTTGTGGCTCTGTAACTCTTTCAGCTAAAGAAGCTCTTGATTGTCGGAACATTGTAGTAACCAATGCAGCAGGAACTTTTAAACAAGAAATAAATACTGATCCTAAGACAGGTAAATATTGTTTATATCTTCCACCTGGAAAATATCAATTAAATGTTGTTGTATCAGCTAATGAAAAATCCAAAGGATTACAATTTTTCCCACTTGAACAAATAATTACGGTGGACACTAAGCCACTAAATGATATTAATTTCTTACAATTGAAAGCTACTGTAACAGGAACGTTAGAATGTTTAGAAAATTCTGATTGTGATAAAGTTTCCGTCACTCTCAAAGTTGTTGATGGAATTACTGTTAAAACAGTTGAAGCAAGTAATGGATATTATGAATTCACAGAAATTTTACCAGGTAATTATCAAGTTCTGATAGATACTGATGTTTATTGTTGGGAAAATCCAACTCATCGTATATCAGTAACATCAGAACATGCTCAAGTTCCACCATTTAAACAAACTGGGTTCTCTGTTACGTTTATATCTTCTCACGACACAGCTGTTGAATTTTATGACAAGGTAAAATTAAAGAAAGTTGCATTAACACTTCCACGAGGTAGTACAAGACACTGTGTATTAAGTCACGGTGAATATAAATTTGTACCAAAGAGTTGCCATATTTATGCCAAAGATTCGTATGTCTGGGATACTAAAAGTTTGACAGCAATTATATTAACATCTAGACAACATCGGCATCGGGGTAAAATAATTAGTAATAATAATTTAGTTGATAGTGTGAAAGTTAAAATTGAAAGTGATGGTGCACCAACTATTTTTAGCCCAGTTAAACATAAAAAAGATGAAGATAATAATAAATATACGTTCGAATTTAATGCTGAAACAGATCAGACTTATGTTATAACGCCTCTATCTGATATCTTTCTCTTCACTCCAACGTCATTAAAAATAATAGGTGGCAATGATTGTGATAATAATGCAGCAACATTCAATGCTGAATTAGGTAAAATAGTTGAAGGTCAAATAAATCCACCTCTAAATGATTTTATTATTCGAATCTATGGAAAAGACAAGGAAATTCCAATCTACACTGTAGTGACACAAGCTAATGGTACATATCGTGTTGGACCTTTGGATGGAAAAATTGACTACACTGTGACTGCTGAAAAAGAAGGATATGCAGTTATTGGACCTGATAGTAATGGAAATTTTGCAGCTCACAAATTAGCTGAAGTTATAGTCCAAGTGACTGATGCTGCTAATCCTAATGTACCACTTCAAGGAGTTCTTCTTTCTCTATCTGGTGGTCAAGCATACAGAAAAAATAGTATGACATCAGAACAAGGCAGTTTAGTATTTAATTCACTCTCACCTGGTGAATATTATTTAAGACCTATGATGAAAGAGTATAGATTTGATCCTCCATCAAAAATAATCACTGTAAGTGAAGGCGCAACTTTAGAAGTTAAATTAGCTGGCAATAGAGTGGCGTTCAGTGCTTATGGTTCAATAATATCTTTGAATGGTGATCCAGAACCTGGTTTAGTTGTTGAAGCTCAAGGGCAAGATAATTGCGAGCAATATCAAGAAGAAGCTACCACTGAAGATAATGGTAATTTCCGAATTCGAGGATTACAACCAACATGTACATATCATATTCGTTTGAAGCCAAATGTTGATTCTAACACTCATATTCACCGAATCTCACCTGAATATATTCCGATAAAAGCGACTGAAGACGTCACAAAATTACAGTTTATCGCATTTCATCCTATTCCTCGGACTGATGTCTCTGTACATATTTTCTCCAATTCACCTGAGTACTATCGGACACTTCAATTGAAATTATGTCGTGAAGATGAACCTGATTCTTCCATTTATGTCGCAAAAATTGATGCACAACAATCAATGAAATTTAATAATCACAATAATAATCCTGGATTCCTAGTTCATTTACCATCACTTCAATCGAATGGAAAAAAGTATTTCCTTCAATTGGATTCATCGTTATCACAAGATTTATATAAATATAAACCACTTACTGTTCATTTTGTTGCAAATACATCATTTAAAGCTATAACATTAACATTCAATGCAGAAAGAAAAACTGACCAAGGAGAAATGAGTCAATCATCAATGATTGTTTTACCTGTAGTAACACTTTTGATCTTGACATTTATGAATCGTGATAAAGTATTGAGTTTTTTAAATATTGCCGCTGAACAATGGTACAAACCAGCATCATCATCTAGAATGGGATCACCAGTTTATTCAATCGATTCACGTGGTGGTGATGATATTATCGTTGAACAAATTATGAATGTAAATAAGAGAAAAGTTAAAACTCGAAAGACATAATTAATTAGAATAATTAAAAATACACTTAAATGTTCATAATGAATCAACTTTTTACGACGGTGTTAATAAATATACGTAAAAATTTTTTAATAATCATATTTATATCATAATGAGTATCATCATTGTTAATGACACAATTAAATTAAAAATTCATATAATATTATTTATTCAAAATGAACATTGTGTTGACATAATAAGGTTTTAATAAAATCATCTAATTTTTTTTTTAATTTCATGTGTTTATTTTGTATATATTACAATTGAATTTATCTCTACATCTATTTATAACATTTATTTTATTTATATGTTATGCATATAATAAATGTATCAATTGTAATTATTATATTTGCATTACATTACAAAGTAAAGATCACCAGCGACTTTACGCATGCACTTATTTATCTGGAATACTAAGTCACACAAGTCACCTTCGGTTTCAGCTTCTGCAAATATTTAAAACTATGTTATTACGATTTTTATTATTTTTAAATTTTAATTATTATTATTCGTGACAGTGCTTGAAAGAACAATTGATCTATGTGTTAATATTTTACAAACTTTATTTGATATGGATAGAAATATAGAGAAAGAAGGCTACTTACTTGTATCACGGCATTCTTTAACAATGTTTTCTGCAACTTCCTTGTAACTTGGTGGAGCCAACTTCAAAAACACATCAAAATTAACTCCTTTCTTATCGTTAACTAATCTGAATTGATCGAAGACACATTTTAAATAACATTTGAGCTTATTATCAGCAGTTAATTCACCATTATTTGCTTTCTCAATTAAATCTGTTCAAGAAATAATCAAATTAAATTATCAAATTACAATATATTTCATTTATTTTCATTTATATTTACCAACTGGAACACCTGTTTCTGCCACACAAACTTCACGAATGCTTGGAGCTACGTCTTTAAATTCATCTGGAATTGGCTGATAGAGAAATATTTATATATTATTTACGAAGTTAATTATTGAACAATTTATGAAAAAAATTTAATAATATAATATAAAATTATATTTTATATACCCCAGCATGAATGCTGATGACGAGAAGGCATCCAATAACAGAAGTTAACAAAAATTTAGTCATTTTGATGAAATAGATGCTGATCGTCAAGTTATCGATAAACTGTACTGCTTCTTAGCAAAATGATCGACTTTATAAAGCATCACCAGGTTTATAGTTGGAGTATACATATCATTATTAGTGTAATTATAATTGTCATTATCTCATCACCAAGGAACAAAAAAGACGTTTTTTTTCTAGTTAATTATAACGATCTTTTTTTATTGACATTCAGAAATTCAGCGGAATATTAATTCACATATTGCTTAATTATTATCAAGAATTTTATTTATTCATCTATTTTTAAGGTATACCAATGACGAGTGTTTTTGGAATATACTTGATATCATTTGATTATAGATTGAATCAAGTTTTAAATCAATTTATTAGAAAAATGTCAACTAAAGTGATATTTTTTGCATATAATTATATTTTTCACGTGATTTCTTGAATTTCTTGGTACAAGTAATATTATTTTTTATCGAGCAACAACATGATATATCAGCAATACCTAGTTATTTTGCATCAAGAGTTCGACAAAAAAATGGTCAAAAAACATTAAACTAATCAATTGAAAAATATGTTGATATGTATATTTATTATGATTAATCATTCTTATTTCTGTTAGTCATTGTATTATTTTATTATTCTTATATCAATTATATAAACTATAGCTAATATATAAATTCATAAAATATGTATAATTTTTTAAATATTATTTACGATTATTGTCATCGATTAATTATAGTTGTCAATCTTAATTTTTTTAATTATCATTACCAATGTTATATCATTGTAGATGATAGATCAAAACAGGTAATATGTCTGAAAAACAAACGAAGGACATTAACTATTCTAATATTTGCATATCAAATAAATAGGAAGTGGAATTGTTGAACACTTCTTTGTAACTTACTTTTGGTGAAAAATTAGCATAACACATGTTGAATGCATAAGCATACTGACAGTTGTCTCCATTTGCTAACACACATCAATTTAATGTCAATAAATATAGGTAATAATTATTTATTAATCATAAACAAAAATATATATGCTTACCTAGATATTTTCCTATTTTCTTACAATCTTTTATAGCTTTCTGTACTTCATCTCTGTAAGCTGGTATTCTTTGAAAGAATGTTAGCATTCCATTTAGACTAAGTTCTCCATGATTATCAATCAGTCCAAATTGTTCCCACAGACAATACATGTAACACTTGATTCGAATATGAATAATCAAATGAGTTGATATCACTAGGCGACTATTTTATTGTATAATTATTTTTTATTTATCAACTTACTTTTAATGAACGAGTTTCTGGCCACTCTCCATTTCTCACAGCTTCAATATCAGCTTTAATAGAGTCATTTAGTAAAATTAATAATTAGCATTCAGAAAAAAATATTCGATTGCAGTTTATAAATTAAATAAACTAAATTACCTGTCGCCACGCCTGTCTGCGTTTGACATGCATTCACCACGCTTGCAGCAATAGCTATTATTTCATCTGATACAAAACTGGGCCGTGTCTACGGATTTATTTATCATTAATCTTCAGAAAATCAATTCGTTGTCAATAATAATTTATTTAACACTTACCCCACATGAAACGAAGGTAATTTTAACAATAAAACAGAAAATTATAATAAACTTTTTCATGTTTTTGTTATATTAGTAATTATTCTAGGCTTTTTAAAAATATAATTAATCGTTTAATTATATTAAATTTTTTTTAAAAATATTTTAATAATTACTTATCCTAAAACTACGGAGATTATTTGATAATAATAAACAATAAATTCAATAATATAAATATAATAATAAAGTGTACGACTCAGCTTCTATACTGGTCAAGCTAGAAGTGATGATACGTTGATGGTTGGTACTTGGTTTTCGTTATGTATATGACCTATATTTACATAATTCTTTAGCAAGGGTGAAATTGATAATTTAGAGAAGTAAAATAAAATGATATGTGAGACAAGAACCATAAAGACACAGTAATAATGTAACTAAAAGTGAGACATTATGATCAGAATCAAACATCAGGAGACAAATTAATACAATGATTCTTTGTAAAAATTGCTACAAGTGACTATTTAACGTTGAGTGGGTATGAATGAATGAATTAAATTAGATTTGTGTACATTTGATTAATAAAAAAGAATTTGAGATAATAACATGGATACGACTACATATTGCGTTTCGGGCATTGACGCATACAATTTTGATTAGTAACGGATGCTCCTACTTTAGATGAAGGGACCCTAATTCATTATTATTTTTATTACTAAGTTTTTGTTTTATTTCTTTTTTTTATACAACATTGTAAAATGTTTAAATCTTTTTGTTGTGATTATATTTTTAGTTTGTCCATTATTGTATTTGTATCATACATTTAACCTCTTACAAAGAATCATTATTATAAAAATTCGTTAATTATTATTTCATCTGTAAATAATAATTAAAGTTTATGTTATAATATTTAAATTCAATCATTTACAATAATGACTATTGTACGAAAGCGATGAATTAAAAGAGTTGTTTAGCTTTGATCTCATTCCATGTGAATATTGCTTTAAAAAATATTAAGACAGTTAATAATAATGATAACAATAATTAATTCAATATGTATATCATTTATACTTGTTAATAATAATACCATGTATGATATCGTTAACACAACACTCCAAATTGAATTTCGTACAGTCAATCAAATAGACAGTACTATATAAATGTCTTGAAAAAAATTTTTTTTTTTTTTTTTTTTTTTTTGAAGTAAAAAATTTAGAAAAGTATAGAATTATATATTTATTAAGAAAATTATTAATAGAAAGCTTATTGTAATTCAAATAAGATTGTTTATAATTAGGTCTAAACAGCTAGACTTTGATAGAATGGAATGGTAAGATTATGGTCGGAAGAATTTCTACAGACTGTACAGCTGGAGTTTTATTGACTGGAGCATTTCACTTCGGCAGTGCATTGAAATTTCAAATTTATTCATCAATTAGTGTTTATTGACAACAAATGGATTTTAATACACATATTTGGACTATATTTTATAGTTTAGTATTATAAAAAGTAGAAAAAGTGCCTCGGAACAAATATTTCACTGTTGAAATGTTAAGGGAAACTTGTACATTTTCTCTATTATGCTTTGAAGGTGAAATATTTATCAAAAGATTTTCAACTTTTTTAAATAATTATATATGCTGATATTCTGAAAATATTTAACAATGTGAGAATTATCAGGTTTGAAACATGTAATGAAATTATAAAAATTTAAAAACCATCATATACTGCTGTATGTTTATTTAACCTGTAATGGTTGATAGGTGTGCATTTAAAAGGTGATTTGGGAGCCATATTGGCTTTTATCACGTGACTGAAAATGTTATTAAAGCGGAAATTTTAAAAATAAATTATTGGTATAAAAATTAACATTGAAGAAAAAATGGGTAAAACAAGAGGTGTACATGAAACTACACCGGAGCTGAGAAATCGAATGGTTGGAATGTATGAAGCAGGTCTTGGTTTACGAGAAATAGCAGCTGCTGTGAACTGTTCTGTAAGAATACTTTTTATTTTATTTTTGTTTATTGTTTCATTATGAATAACTTATTAAATTTATTTATTCAGCAAAGAACAGTAAAAAGGTGGTTGAATCGTTTTGAAAAAGAAGGTACTGTTGAAACAAGAGAAAGGTGTGGTAGAAAAAGAGCTACAACCTCCGAACAAGATGAAGCGATTGTTCGTTTAGCAACTCAAACTCAAATTACAGCAGCTAAAGCTGTTCTTCCAGCTTTAGGTCTTACCTGTTCTGTTGATACGGTGAGGGAAAGATTGCATAAAGCTGGAATACATAATTGGAGTCCATCGAGGAAGCATATTCAAAAAATTCCTCTAGGGTTAGTTTCAATTTGAATATTTTTTAATAGCTGTATGTATTTGTTTGTATATGCATGAAAAAGACCTTGGCATGGTTTTGATTATGTTAAATCTTTTTTAGTGATGCTGATAATGTTGTGATTCAACAAGCAGTGTGGCGACCAACTGGTACTCAACTTGGTAAAAAAAAGAACCAAAAAATGATGGAAAAATCAAAAAAAGCCGTTAGTTCTAAGAAAAAGTTTTCTATAAAAAAAACTAAATCTCACAATCGCCATAATGAAGATGAATGTATAGCAGACCCTTCAAAACAATTAGAACCAATTAATTCGTCTTTTGATTATCCAGCATCGCAAAATCTTCCTCAACCACAACATTCATCATCTCAACCTCCACCAATACCATTACTACAACCTCCTCCACCACCACAACCGCCTCTACCAGCTTCGTCTTCATCACCGCCACCAGCATCGTCTTCATCGTCACATATAACAAACAGTGAGATACAATCATCTCAATTAATTGATAATAATCAGTCAGATTTTAATAGTGGATTAAATTTAATTGAAACTTCTCAGCCAATATATCATCACCATTCAAATATTGATTTATCACAAAATTGGTCATTAAATTTAGGGCAAAATTTACATCATTATTCTCCAAATCATCAAAATCCTATTATACCGGAGCAATCACTTCAGCAACATCATCTACAAGAACTTGGTGCACAACAAGAGTCAAGTCAAGTGAATCATCAAGACCATCTTCATGGACAACAGAAACAATCTTCAGCCACTTTTTTTGATCAACATCATCAACAGCAACAACATATGAATCAAGTTGAATCATCTCAACTGCAGCAATTAGATATTCAAACAAATAAAGAATCTACTAAAATAGTTCGATCCAATAGTTGTTCTGATTCCAGCTCTGATAATCAATTTTCAGATAGTAATAATGAATTAAATAGAGATGAATCTCAAAGTGGCAAAGAAAAAAGAAGAAGTGGTGAGAGTTCTAAGCGTAAAACAAAGAAAAAAGGTGGAAAAGCTAAGGGAACATTAGAAACATCAGTTGAGATAAGAAATAGAATGATTGGTATGTCTGAAGCAGGATTATCAACTTTATCAATTGCATTAGCTATTAATAGATCTGAAAGAACGGTGAAACGATGGCTTGAACGTTGGAACAAGGAAGGAAATGTGTTAACAAAGGAGAGAAAAGGTCGTCGAAGAATAACAACAAAAGAACAAGATGAAGCAATTGTAGCTATGGCAACTCAACATCCATTAACAGCAGCGAAGCATGTTGCACCAGCACTTGGTCTAAATTGTAGTGTTGATACCATTCGTGAAAGACTTCATAAAGCAGGGATCCACAGTTGGAAGCTTGGTAAGAAGCATGGTGAAGGTAATGCTGTTCATACTGTTCATCTTTGGCAACCAAGTGGCAATCGGCCTAATAAAATTAAATTTCCAAATGAGAAAAAGAAAAAAACAGTTTCAGATAAAAAATCATATGAAAGTACTAGTAAACGAAATGAGCACAAAAAGAAGACTGATGAAACACCAAAACCTGTCTCACAATTAGAAAACATTTTACCAGAGCAAAATACAATGCAATATCATAATACTAGAGCACCAGTAAATTATCCAACATCATCGAATACAATGCAACCAATTCATATATCAACGATACAACCATTAATGTCAACTACTTCTGTATCAGATATTTCATCGAATTCACAGTCAATTCAACAACCCCTTGGTCCAATCGCAATACAACAAAGACCAGATTGTCGTATGATCGCACCGATTTCAAGTCAAACTAATCCAATTGTAAATTATTCCTCTTGTATGATTACTAGTAATAGTCATATGGATCAACCGGACTCTCTTAATTATGAACCATTTATATGGACTTTTTAAATGATTAGTTAGTTTTTTTTTTTTTTTCAATCGAATTTATCTTATTTTAATATTTATTTTTATCTATTTCGGATATTTATGTTATTTTTTGAAATTTATCAAAAATACATTACAAAATTCTATTATTAAGTTATCGTACAAAAGTTTGTATTCTCTAAAATATTTCAAATAAATTTATATTAAGTTTTTTATATTTTAAACTAATTAATGCATAGCTTCAAATAATTTGATATGTTATATCATTTTATTTTAAAACTTAATACTTACATATCATTAATAATTATAAAAAAAAAAAAAAAATACAAAAGGAAATAAGATAATTCTTTTTTTGTAGTTGTACTTATGAAAATCAGTTAGATCTTACATTTTTACTACTGAATTTATATCATAAGACGTAGTACATACTATAATAGTATTAACCAGTGATAATTAAGTACAAGTGATAATAATTTTTATATTAAAAAATAAATAAATTACATCATTATAATAAACTTTATGTATTTTTTTATGTCTAATTTAAAATAATTAATCATACATTTAAAAAAAAACTTCATCATAAAAATCAAGTGTTTTTATTTTTTTTTATGTCATTTGCCATATTTTGGGAATATTATTCAATATCTTTTCAGGATCATTTTTGTAAAACATAAAAAAACCTTGTATTTGAGCAGGACTGACATTCTTCTTATGTTGCATGACACTTTCTGCGAATTCTTTTGCTAATTGTTTAGTTGTCGTTTCATCTGTACAATTGTAGAATCGTAAAAACATTTTTTCCAATTGACTAACACTACACCAACCGATATATTCTTTAACATCGACTCTTCCTGGTCTCACAAGTGCAGGATCAAGTCTTTCTAGGTAATTCGTTGTCATAAATAAAATACGAGCTTCTGTAGAAGCAACCCCATCTAGGCAATTTAGTAATCCACTAAACGTTACTCTATTCAATCCATCATATGCAGATTTTGCTACAAATGAAATCAATTAAACCATTATCACCTATCATTTTTTAAATTTAATATTCCTACCAAATATTACTCACTCTCTTTAGACTCTTCTCGATTACCAAAAGCTGCATCAATATCTTCAAGAAGAATAATTGTTTGTTGTGGTGCCACAGCAAGAAGATGATTCAATCGATCATCAGTAAGTCCTCGTTCTGATAAATTCAATACACATATTCCACGTTCTAATTCAGCTGCCAATGCTGTAATAAAAGAAGACTTTCCACATCCTGGAGGGCCATAAAGTAAATAACCACGTCTGTATGGAATCCCTACACAATAAAAAACAAATCATAGTTAAGTGATATTGAATGAAAATATCTCATTATGAATTAGCTGATACTTTACACGAAATAACCTCTATCACTATACCATCCAGGATTATTGATGAATTCTTTACAGTCATTGATTATCTTATCAGCTACACCATCATCTAAAATTACAGAATTAACTGGTCGTTTTTTTCGAGGATGACCAAATTGTCGCCATTCACTACCCATTGCAGTATACATAATCGTTTTCCCTTCGTGCTCTTTTAATGCCATTTGACGAGCTAATAAATTTTAATAAATTTTATTATAAGTCAATCAGTTGGATATTTATATTATTTTTAAAGTAAATTTAATTATTACCTTCTTCGAGAATATCAAAGTATATGTTGCGATCATTACCAAAAGCAGTAAGTTGAACAGTTTCCCAAGGTATTCCCATGTGTAAATCTAATGTCTGCTGCTCTCTCATTCGATCCACTCGGATCCAATTACCTTTGTATCTATTCACACATATGATGAATAGAATTATGATGAATTAAACATTGATTAACTTTAAAACAGGCAACATTCAATTGGGATAATTGTTGCAATAGAAATTGAAATAGAACATGTCAGATATACCTGAAAAAATGTGTTCCAATACTCGGGATAAAATCATATTTGGTTTTAACATGACCTGTATCTTTTAATTCAAAACTAGTTTCTACTGATAAATGTTGAGTTTTTTTGGCACCTTTGTGAGTTATCCACTGAAGTAACCATTGATAACTTTTATCTCTGCATGGTACTTCCAATGTAATCATGTAATGACGTCTAAAATGGATAAAAGATAGTAGTATTTATTTTTGTGTTGAATTGTTAGAAGAATTTATGATAATGAAATAAATATATAATACTTGAAAATAATTGTTCCTATTTGTGTTCCTTTTCTGAGTAAAGCAGCTCCTGCACCCAAACCAAAAAGTCCAAATCCCGCTCCAAAATAAGGATTGTCACCCAAAGTTTGAATATATTCCACAATTGTCATCTTTTAATTCAAAATATTTCTTATAATTTAAGTAAAATATTTATAGATATATTATTTTTCTCGTAACTCAATGTGTTCAAAGAACAAAATTAAATCTCTCAATATAATATCAGATTGGTAGTACACTGAAACTGTAGATAATAAATTACAGTATGTGTTTTATTTCAAAATATTAACTCTAACCTAACTAAAAAAACAGTTGTATATAAGGTGTTGAATTATCCACGGAATCCCTGGATTTTATGAATGACATCATTTCGAACGCAAGAAAAGTAAAAATTATTTAATATTAGCGAAAAACATACACTTAATAATAGCTTAAATTTTTGTATAAAATTTCAGAGTTAGATATAATTTGACTTAGGCCGTGTATTTCTGTTTAAAATTTTTTTAAAGTGATATTATACATCACAATAACAACATCAAAATATTTCCATAATTTAATTTACAATTTTACATGTCATAAAAATTTTTAAGTTTTAATTTGATAAAAGGATGATTACAGTACTATTGCCAAAAACACGCATTTCAATCAAAATAGTCATATTCGAAACTAGTGTAGTTGATATAAATCTCTGATATTAAATTAAAATGATTATTTACAAGAGTGTTTTTTATACAAATGGAATGTAAAGATACAGACCTTAAATTATTAAAAATATTGAATTAATTTTTAAATTATAATCAATTACAATTACTTATTGCAACGACCTGTTACAGCATCTTTGAACAATAATATATCTTTTATGTCGAGATAATAAAAAATGCTATCGACACAACTGTACGGCATACCCTTAAAAATACTTCGATTCCAACAATGATATAACTGAATAAACTTCATCTGCTTGTTCCTTTCTATTCCTTGTTTGAACCGGAATTTTATAATATTTTGATACAAAGGAAATATTTGTTTTTTATCAAACAAGATAGACTTGACTTTTTCATTCTTTTCAAATTTAGCGATATCGTGAATTCTACAAGTCAGTAGACGATACCAACTTATATCACAAATATATGATTGTTTCATCGCCAATAATTCTAGTGTACATTCATCTTCAAATTGATTCATATCTTTACTAGGATAAGCCTGAATTATTTCAACAAGTTCCGGATCAACATACAGATGAGCTTTATGCAATTGAATGCAAAAAGAATAGAAACATTCCATAATTTCTATGTAATTATTAATACTAAAATTCAAACAAAAAAGTCTATTGTCTAAAAAATCATTAAGCCGTGAATTATCACGATATTTCTCGATTTCGCATTGAATTAACGTGATCTTATCCCTAACAACATGAACAGGAGTTTTATTTTCAGCATTGAGACAGTTCATGTCTGCTCCATTATAAATAAGAGAACGAACTACTTTACAAAATCCATTTTTCGCAGCAATATGAAGAGCTGTATTTCCGTCGCTATTTACGGCATTTATATCAACATCTATTTGGTCAATTACATCATCAACATCGAGATTATTAGCAGCAGCTGCGATGTGAATAATTGTATTTTTATTCATATCAATAAAGTCAGTACTTGCATTGTTATCAATAAGTAATTTAAGAATTCCTGTATTTTTTGCTGCTTTTCCGGCAGCGACATAAATAGGTGGTCTATTAAAAACATCTCGTTGATGTATATCTGCTTTGTGTTTTAAAAGAACCTCTATAACTTGTTTACAACCATACAAACAAGCAGTGAAGAGTGGCGATTTATTTTCTACATCTCCTACATTAATATCGGCGCCCAAACTTACAAAACGTTCACAAACTTTAGTACGATCTTCACCTATATCGTACGAATTCATAGTATGGAGTTTAGCTAAAATATGAAATGGAGTCTGCCCAAATTTATTTTTAATATTTATGTCGGCTTTATAATCCAAAAGAAGATTAATCAGTACGAAGTTGCCTGTTTCACATGCGATATGTAGTGCAGTTCTTCCATACCTATCAACACAATTAATAGGTACGTTTCTTGATAATAATTTTTCAATGATTTGTATATCAGCTGAAATGCAACTTATATGTAAAGGTGTACTACCGAATCCATTCTTGAAGTTGATGTCTATATCTCTTTCTAAAAAAATATCAATGATAATTTTACGTTTCTTGAGTAGAGCAAGATAAAATGGTGTAAAATTACTCGAATCTAAAAGATTCATATTCGCATTATATTTTAAAAGAAGCTTTACAATATTCGGATAATCTTTTTCTACTGCCGCATGAAGAGGTGTGATTTTTCCTTCATTCGTCTGAGCATTTACATTTGCTCCATGATCTAATAGCATTTCTACTATCGGATATTTAGTATTATCACTATTGACATCTGTTTCCGATTCCCATTCAAGTAAGCCAAGTTTGTAAAACTTTGAATAACTTACGATAGAATAATGTAGTGGTGTAATACCTTCAAAGTTAGGTTCATTGACTTGTATTCCACATGATAATAAAAGTTTAATCATTGTTATATTTTTCTTTTCAACACCAATTTTCATAAGGTCTGGTTCACTGTCAATAAGAGCACCAGCATCAAGAAGTAGTTTCGTTATATCAACATTCGAATTATTAACAGCAATATACAAAGCCGTTCTTCCAGCCATTGGTAGCATTTCTTCAGAAGGATCTTGATAGAAGCTTTTATCAGTATCATGAACTTCTAAATTTACATTAGCTTTGTGTTGGATCAGCAGAGTCACCAATTTCGCATTTTGTTTAAGGCAAGCAAGATGAAGCAATGTCAATCCTGTTTTAGGATTGTACTCATCAACATTAATGTCTAATTTAAAAATTTGTTCAAGAATTTCTAGGTTTTCGGATTCAGTAAAACGATAAGCTAACTCGAAAATTATAACGTTGCTGGAAGGATGCACTCTATATCCATTTTTAAGGTAATGATAAATACATAAAGAGGCTTTTTTACTTGTTTGGAATAATAATTTTGTAGGAATCCATCGAGGTTCATACTTCAGAATAATTTGCACAAGGTCTGGGTCAACCATAGAAGTAGCTATTTTTAACACTTTATTAATTTCAGTAGATTTATAATTTCCATGCTTCAAGAGTAATGCAAGTGCTCTTTTGTTTTTGACTTTAACAGCTACATCGAGGGGTGTCTCCCTGTATCGGTTTTTATGAGTAGTATTAGCTCCTTTTTTTAGAAGCAATTTTATTATTTTAGAATTCATAAATCTTCTAATCGATAAATGAAGAGGTGAGTCATGGGGATTTCTTGATGGTAAATTTAAGTGAGTACCACACTTTACCAATTTTCGAATAGTCTCTTCATCTTTCTTTTTGATAGCTCTACACAATGTTGCATATTTTTGGGCCTTAGCGTTCATCTTGAATTTTTCTTCTGAATAAAACTGCAACCATGAAAAGTGAAATATTTGATCTATGAAGAATATTTAAAAAAATACAGTAAATGAAAATTAAATGATTGAATTATATAATACAATAGTTTGTTAAATTTGAAACTATTTTTTGCAGGTTAGAGACAAAATTTTGGAAAATATTTTTCAACTTTTTTGTAATTCAAAAAAACTTACCACTGAAAGTAACACACTAAAAGAAAAATTTAAATAATGTTATTAACTAAAATGAGAAAATTATTCTGTTATACTTTAATTGCACATAATTAGTAACATTAGTTGATGTATCTTCACACCAGAATGGGCGAAGAACTGAGCCCAACGGAAAAAGGGGGAGCATCAGCAGAAATTTGGGGTCAAATTTTTCCGAGTTATCTCCTATACTACATATATATATATATATATATATATATATATATATATAACTATTATATGTACCAAAAATACATGTAACATGATTCATGTTACTGAAAGGATATTTGTTTGTTAAAAAATTAATGTTTACTTCTGCAGTAAATCTGAAATATGAATTAAAACATGATTTGAAGATACTTTGTGAAGAGTTCCATATTTTTTTTTTTTTAAATAAGTAATATAGATAATAACAAAATTAACCTATTTATTATTTTTCAAAATTCTCCATCTCATATCTTGCCCGTAAATCTTTCTGCAAAGGTCAGGTAAGATTATTCGGTCATCATCATCTGCCTGCCAGGTATAGAAGTGAATAATGTCGTACTATTATAATTCAACAATACTATTATATTCAGTTGATTGGACTGGAGAGTCCAATATTGCATTGTATTTAATTGGTTCAATAGGGACGGAGAAAGAAGATAATTTACTAAAAATATTACAATATAATTTAATTGATGAAAAAAACTTTAATTGGTTTTAAAAAAAAGTATTTATATTCAAAATGCTTATCAAGATTGAAATCCTTTCATTTCCATTTTCGTGCGTCCCACGTGACTGTATCAAAAGGTATATAGTTATAGTCGAACTGAGAAAAGAGTTCCTCAGTTGCTTCAATGCTTTCGGGCTCCCCACCACTGATTTTCTACCCCTTCTACCATGTTTTTTACTACTGCGCAAGCGTACAAGAACACATGAAGAGCATCTGAGGAACTCTCTTCTCAGTCCGACTATAGGTCAAAGAGAAGTCTTTCTTAAACGAACACTAGAGGGCAGTTTATTTTTACATAGAGCGCCTCTAGTTGTGAAATTTGGTACTTTTTCGGGTTATCCGGGGGCATCCCCAATAAGAATTCTTCTGACATGCGTATTACAGTCTACAAAATGGTAGCCAAACTTTCCGGTGTGTCGTTTGTAATCTTTTGCTGCTTGTAAATGTTATTGTTTTGTATGATAAAAACGTTTTAGAATGTAAAAATATGATTAAATGTTTACCATAACCTAAGAAAAATAAGGTAATTCATTATTCATTATCTAAAATTTATTAAAAAATCAAAGAAGTGTCAAAACGTATAATCGTACATCACGACCTTATGATTTTTTTTTATTTCTTCAAGTGCTCCTATTTTAATAATATATAGCTTCGTGAATATTTATTTACATATTTTTTTTCTTGATTTATATGTAACCATATGAATTCATTTTAATTATTGCACTTTAAGTTCTAAGTAGTTGAAGATGTATGCCATTTTGAGTCATGGCGTCCTACTTTAGTCCTGTAACTTGATTAAATGACATTTTATCATTTTGTACTTTAGGATAATTAGCTTCTAATTGAAAATGAGCTCGAATAACAATTAATGATGGTAACGTGTAGTTTATTTCATGAGCTTTTTTTGGAATAGTTTGTCATTGACATACATTGATCAAAGTTAACCTACAAGAAAATATGTATAATTTAAATAACTTTCTTTACTTTTTCAATAAACAGAGTAATTTATTAGAGAGTGTTAATTCACACTCTCTAATAAATTACAAATTATCAGATGATAGAGAAAAGATTTTCCTAAATTAATTTAGATAATTAAAAAATTTTTCATTACTTTCTAGCTTCAATGTCTGGAAACCAGAATTATTGAGGTGTAATAAATTCTTACACCTTTTATTCAAATTATAAATAAGGAAGGAGGTGATAAGAAGAGCTAAGAAGATTAATAAACAGGATGGCAGAGGAAAGTAGTGAAGCAAAAACTGGTGGCCAGCCATCACCACGTAGTTCCCAGAGCTATTTAGGAAATAAACCCAACAGCCCACAGTCACCAAAACAACCCCGAAAGATAAAATTAACTGATCAGCAGCTAGAATCAGTAACAAAGGAGGAGTTGGCGGCCAAGTGGCGTGAACAGGACTTATATGTGGAGTGTCTAGAGGCACAGGCGACAGCCCAGGAAGGTACTGAGATAAAAAATGTTGCGAGGCGATGTTTCGTTCTCACATAAACCTTAATTAATTGCAAATTAATCGGGTGTTTATGAAAATATTCATGATAAAAACTATTTCAACTAAATTAAAAAACTGAATTTAGAGACGTTTAAGGTTTTAAATTAGTGTATCGATTATATTTTCACTTGCTCATTCAATTAATTCGATTAATTGATGACATTTCAATCATTATAATAATTTACAATTTCATATAATATTTATTCCATTTTTAAAAGTTTATTTATTCAAAACTCTATATTACACTCTATTAGTTGGTTAATTAACTACTAGTTAGTTATAAAAATATATGAAAATGACTGCGATCAAAAAAATTTTTATTATATCAACAAGTGTTATGTTTTGTGTGAATTGAAACCAAAAATTTTTTTGTGATTATTTGTGATTTCTTTAAGTGATTTTTGTGCTTTATCAAGTGCCAAAGTGGAATTTTTTTTTCTCTTTTTTTTAAATAGTAATTATAAAAATTTCATAAAAATATTTCGTTCCTGTGGGTGCTGTGATTTTATGTGATTCAATCTATTGTTGATTTATTTATTTATTATCACATAGTCTAATTAGTATTTAATCAAAAATTATTAGAATATTGATATCAATTTTCATGAAAATAATTAGAAAATCAATCATTTACATATTGATTGATTTGTTGGAAATGTAAATACAATCAGTGTAAGAGCAAATTTATTTTTATTGAAAAGTAAATTTATTTGTTGGAATAAATCAAAATGCCTGGTGATCGCAGTGATTGGATTAGAGAAGAATCGTCGTCTCTACTAATATTAAAAGCATCTGAGAGCCTTGGCGTATATCTTCAAGTTTGACATAAGAGTTTTACCGTAACAATTGAATTTTAAAGACGAGGAATACACCGCAGGTGTTTCAACTTTTGTTAATAAGTAACTATATGATCTGAAAAATAACTAAAAAAAAATTTTTTTTTATTTTATTTTTTAGGTGAAATAGCTAGTTTGAGAGAATCAGAGGACAAATATCGGCAGCAGTATGCTGAGGCTTCGCATAGAGAGAAGATTTTAGTTAGGAGATTAGCTTCTAAAGAGCAAGAATTACAAGAATACGTAGTAAGCTTAAATCTTATATTTAATTACTTTGAAGGAATCATAGGAAAAATCATATTAAATTAAAAACTTTTCATTAATTTTTAGAATCAAATCACAGAAATGAAATCATCTCAAGCACCATCATCGACATCTTTAAGATCAGTTCTATTAGATCCTGCCGTTAATATTCTTATTCAAAAATTGAGACAGGAATTAATAGCCACAAAAGCCAAATTAGAAGACACGCAGAATGAATTAAGTGCATGGAAGTTTACTCCTGATAGGTAAGAAAAATGAAGATAATAAATGTTAGAAATTTCTACATAAATTAATTACTGCAAAATTTTAGCAATACTGGTAAGAGACTGATGGCAAAATGCAGACTTTTATATCAAGAAAATGAGGAATTGGGCCGTATGATTGCTAGTGGAAGGATTGCAAAATTAGAAGGCGATCTTGCTCTTCAAAAAAGTTTTAGTGAAGAAGTCAAAAAATCTCAATCAGGTAATTAATTAAATTTTAAATTACTGTATTGCAGTTTTCATAAGTAACCGAAATTTGTTTTCTTCAGAGCTCGACGAATTTCTTCAGGATTTGGATGAAGATGTAGAAGGAATGCAAAGTACGATTTATTTTCTTCAACAAGAATTGCGTAAAGCACGCGAGTCAGTGACGTTGCTGCAACAAGAAAATGCAGCATTAAAAACAAGTTCAAGTGAAAATAATTTATCAAATGGATTATCGCCACATACACCTCCAATAAAGAAAGAAGAGGAATCCCAAGATGAGATGAAGTGTGAACTAAATACACTAGGAATTCATGTAGATAATGAAGGTAAAGATTATAATAATGACGGTTCAAGGACTCCACCGTTAATTCCAAAGAGTTTAAACTCAGAGGATTGTAAGACAAGTGTCTCAGACTTAAGAACTCAAGTTACTGAACATGATGAAAGTTCAAGTGATTCAGCCGCGTTAATCATAAAAGTAGAAGAAAATGAAGAGTTAAGCGATCGCGAGGATGATGATGATAATAAAGATGGTAAAAAAAAATGTGAAGGACAAAGGACGTTGTTGAGGACTAAAGGTGGAAGCAATAAAAATACTAATAGTAGTGGTGGTAAAACGAATGGTGAAGATTCTTTGCGGACTAGCTGCTGCAGAGTTAGGGATAAAAAACGAGAAAAAAGTGCTCCTGGTAGTGATGATGACGAGAGAATAAGTAAGAAGAAAAGACGAGAGAGTATTCTTTCAATTGACTATAATGAAGGTGATGATGATGCGCTTCTGGTTCTTACTAATGGAGAAACACTTCAAAGCGATCCCGAATAAAAGGGAAATATTTTCTTAATTTTTTCTGTCTTCTTTGGTGTTTAATTTCACTACAGACTTGTTTGTTTGATTGACGAAGGACGATGCTTAAAGAAGTAAATTTAATGATTGACAAAAAAGTAATTCGTAAAATTTTGTAACAAGAGTGAGCAGAAGAGTTAATGAATTTGTTATAAATAGGCATTATAAGCAAATCATTATAATTAATTATTTAAAATTTGCTTTATAAATTTATAAATATTCACTATGATAAAGGCGAATAAAAGAATAGTTATGGGTACATTTTATTAATGTAAAAATGCTTTTTCGAGTTGAAAACTCATTTCATTTAGATGCTAAAAATTTATATATTTCAGTACACTTCTGCTCTATCTTGTTATAATTATATCCATTTTTCGATATAAAATCAAAGAATGTACAAAATGTGTAAATGTATCGAAAATTTTATAATTAAAACTGTATTATTTCAAACAAAAAAAAAATGTATTAGAAATAGATAAATCAATAAGTTTCTTTATCAAAATGCCTGGTATTTAATATAGAAATTTTTTACAAATATTATTTTACTATTTTATTAATCACTTTTTCATCATCTTCTGTAAATATGTTGATTATTATATTAAATACCTATGTTATTTATTAAATTCAATTACATAAAAAATTTAAATTTCGCAAAACATTAAAATTGATTACAATGCCATCTTGAGGAAAGTGTTATCATCTTGTCATATAAAAAACATGTTCAATTCGCTCCCATCCTATCAGTTCACGTGATGTATTGAAGCAATTGTTTTACATATTTTTACTCATTTTATTGCATAAAAGATTTGCTATTTAATATAAAAATGGCACGACATGTTAGTAGTTCGTTACTGAATATTATGCAGCATTTAACCAAAAATTCAATGAATCGTAATTTTCATCAATCATCAATAAAAAATGGAAAAGCTCTTGTTTATCAAAATTATGGTGACCCAGCGAGCGTTCTTAACCTCATTGAAAAACCAGACCAAAAACCTGGAGATAATGAAGTTGCTGTAAAATGGATGTTGTCTCCAGTGAATCCTGCAGACATCAATCTCTTACAAGGAAAATACCCTGCTCGAGTAAAACCTCCTACAATTGGTGGAAATGAAGGAGTTGGAGAGATTATAGAGGTTGGAAACAATGTCAAAAACCTCAGTGTTGGAGACCGAGTAGTTCCTAATGAAAATAATGTTGGAACCTGGAATACTCATGGACTTCATAATGCTGATCACGTACTGAAGGTAATTTTGTTTTTTAATGTATAGTAAGATCTAGAATTTTGAAAAATATTATTAATTTGTAGATACCTCAAAATTTGGATATCATAGCAGCCAGTATGTTCAATGTCAATCCTGGTACAGCATATAGAATGCTTAAAGATTTTGTAGATTTAAAACCTGGTGATGTCGTAATTCAAAATGGTGCTAATTCAGCAGTAGGGCAGTTTGTGATTCAGTTGTGTAAAAGTTGGGGCTATAGAAGTGTAAATATTGTAAGAGACAGGCCAGATATTGAAAAACTTAGAACTTATTTAACAGAAATGGGTGCTACAAAAGTACTTGTCGAGTCTGAATTAAGAACAACTAAATTATTTGAAAATAAAGAATTACCAAAACCAAAATTAGCTTTAAATTGTGTTTGTGGAAAAACTACGACCGAACTTATTCGTCATATGGATCATGGTGCAACTATGGTTACTTATGGAGCTATGTCACGAGAACCTTTGATCGTACCAGCTTCTGCATTAATTTTTAAGGTATGTTAATAATCAAACATCTTCAAATCATTATTTTAACAAAAAATTTAATTTTTTTTAGGACGTTATGATGAAAGGATTTTGGATGACACATTGGGTAAAAAAATTTACCGATTCTCAGGTAAGAACAGATATGATACGTGATTTGACGGAAATGTTTAATTCCAAAAAACTGCAAGTACCTGCTAATAAAATTATACCACTTTCTAACTACAAAGAAGCTATGGAAAATACTTTGAAATCCGATGGAATGACAAATCTTAAATACATCTTGGATTTGAGATGTTGAAAAAATTATTTTATTTACATTGATGAAGAAAAAAATTAATTAATATAGTAAGACAACAATAAAAATCCAAATAAATGAAATAATTTAATTAAGTTAGTCAACTAATAAATAGTAATATATTTATATAACTAGAAATGAAAAATAAGTTAAAAACAATTACCATTTTTTTTTACCAAAAATATAACTTGATACGAAGGCTACATTGGTGTTTTTTATTTATCAATATTTGTTGATAAAACTATTCAGTATCATCGAGAAGCTGAAGTAAATTCATTTGTCTATTTACAGTTGAGCTATCCATAAAATCTGCACAAATATCTTCTAACTTGGCTTTATAATCATTATGTAATTTTTCATTCTTTAATTTTTTTACATTATGTTCTTCATTGTCTTCCCCTGAATTAGAATCATTCGTTTTCATTTCTACATCGTCTATAAATATATCGAAATTGAAAGAAGTTGGCATAGATTTATTTTTTGAGTTATCAGTTCCTAATTGTTTAGCAAGTAATTCAAGCTCTATTTTACTTCCTTTATCTCTAGGAACAATTTTATTACTTTGATTTAATGGTGATTTTGGCTCTGGTGGATTTGCATAACTTGAAGAATACCTTGAAATAAATTATTTATTAGATGATATATCAAAATTATAAATAAAAAATGAATTCTTCGAAAAAAGATCTTACATATTTTTACCCAAAATAGTTACTCTATCACCATCGTATGCTAAAGATCCAATTTGAGGCCAGCCTTCAGTTAATTTAAGTGATCCTAATTCACTTTCTCTTTCTTTGTACTTTTCATTATAATATTTTGGATTTATATTGAATGTCGTATCCTCATTTTGAAGACTCAGCCTAAGTAAAACTGATACTCGAACATTTATCGTAGCTAATTTATTCAAACAGGTATTCCTTGCTTCCCAAATATCATTATGAGTTAATTTACTATAAAACTAAATATTTATATAGATTAATAACAGAATTTTAAGACAAATTAGAGGCTTTTGATCGAATTTAAAAGTGATATAAATTGTATCTTACATCAATAAATACTTTGTGAAGTGAAATCATCGATTCATGAGTATTTTTTCTAATAACATTGTCTCGTATAGAGGCTAGATGATTTAAAGTTAATAAAATAACTTCTCGAGGCCCAGTTGCTGCTGTTAATTGATATTTTACTATCATCATCATTAAATCAAATAATTTATGTACACTATTTTTATCTAATTTCATTATTGAACACAAAGCTATTTTTTCTAATGTAGTTTGCATCCAACTGAGCTCTTGGCATGGAGATTCTTGCATTATTATTTCAATTATTTTAGGATTTACAAATGCTGCTGTTATATCTTCTATGACTGCAATGCATAGATAAATAATTGTAAAGTTTGTTTGAAAATTACACTAGTATTATTAAAATACAATAAAAGAATGTAGAATTATTTTAACATGATGGTCTCAAGAAAAATAATTTTTTTTCAAATTAAATTCATAATAATATATAATTACCTTGTCTTGCTTTGCGAATTTCAATTTTTTGCGCTTTCAATCTCTGATGTATCACATAAAGCATCTCTCCTCCCATGTTTAAGAAAAGTAAAGGATTAGCATATAACGACATTTTTAATTTAAGTTTTATTATCACTTTATCAAGAACTTGTAAGAAATAATATTTCTTTGTTGGAGCATTGTTTCTATGGTGATATGCTAAAATGAAACATGCGCAATTTAATTGAAAACTATTTTAAATATTTATATTACGATAACTATTATTCTTTTCAAACTTTTACCACACACGTGGTAGTTGTTACATGGGTAGCACTTCACGATCCAAGAGTTCCTAAATTTAGCCATAAGATTTCTCTAGTTAGATTCTAAAATTTAGTTTAGTTTCTTTGAGTTAGCTTTAAGGAATAGACTAAAATAAGTTTAATATCATGGAAGACGTGTTGAATATTTTAAATAAGAAATTAATCTCAACGAATAATCATAAAAAATGTGTTGAAGAATATTCTTTATTAAAAACTGATCAAGAACGAATAATCTTTACTTTAAATCTTCTTCAAACATATAATATTTCAAAGAATTTTAAATGTAATGAAGAAAAAAGTGTTTGTAAATCAAGAGAATTTAACGATAAGGGGAATAAACTTTTATTAACACCAACTTCGGAATTAAATTTGGATTGTATTATTGATTTTTATACAAAAAGTGTAGCCTATGCACCTCTAGCCTCACAAGAGTTAGCTTTTGCTTATGCAAATAGGTCAACGGCATTGTTTAAAGCTGGATTATATGAAGATTGTATCGTAGATATTAATCGAGCATTGGATTTAGATTATCCTAATAAATGGAAAGCTAAACTTTTATCTCGAAAAGTTCGATGTTTGGTGATTTTAACATCTGATTCAATGCCAAAAACATCAAATGAGTTTATAAAAATCAAAGAACCATCAATAGAATTATTAGAAATACAAAAAACTATTGAACAAACTCGAAAATGGCTTATAGAAATGGATCCGAATGATACTAGTAGAAAAATAGTAGAAAAAACAATCAATGATCCATTAACGATAGCAACTTCTGTTAGAAAACCCTTTAAAAAATTACCTGATGAACGTAACTGTCCAGATATTATTAAAAATAATCCAGAAATACCAGGAGCTTCATCAGCAGTTGAAATAAAATATTCAGAAGATTTTGGGAAACATGTTATAGCAACTAGAGATATCAAGCCAGGAGAAATCTTGGCCATTCAAGAATCTTATGCATCTGTTTTAGTTTTAGAAAAATTTTATACTCATTGCTGGAATTGTTTGAAACAAACTTGGACAGGAATTGGTTGTAAAAATTGCGTAAATGTTGTTTTTTGTTCTGAATTGTGTAGAAAAGTAGCTTGGCGTGAGTATCATGATTTAGAATGTGGATTAATAGGTCTTTTAATTGATTTAGGAATAAATAACTTAGGGATATTAGCATTGAGATTAGCCATAAAAGCATTCAAAGAAGCTAGAAACCTACAAGTCTTAAAAAAATTAGTCACGGAGATTGATTCAAAGTCAGGTAATTTTTTTTAATATATAAACAAACTGTCTTACACTCCGATTTTTTATAATAATTTTAATTTTAGATAGAAGAACGCAAGGTTTTACAAATAATATTTTAGATGATACAAAGTACGCAAGTATTTATACCCTGGCGAAAAATACTAGCAAAAGGTCAGTTCCAGATCTTTTCGGAAGATCACTCAATGCTTCTTTCATTCTTTATATTCTCGCAAAAAATACCAAAATATTTGGAGACAAATTTAGTGATGATTGGGGAGTCTTGAAAAATGATGAAGAAGCAACCTTTTTAGGAGGTTTAATAATGCGACATTTACAAATAATTCCAAGTAATGTTCACAGTGTAAGTAATGAATCCAGCTTATTATTTATTTTTTATTTTTTATGCCATTAAATTTGATTGGAATTAAAGGTGACAGAGGAAAATTTACAAACAAAAGAACCAGTTGAAAGGGCTGCTGCAATGATGCCTTTTTATAGTCTTTTTAATCACAGTTGTAATCCTATGGTGGAACGACTGTCATTTGGCAATAAAATAATACTTGTTGCTGTATCTCGGATAGCCAAAAATCAACAAGTAATGTTAAAAAAAATTAATTAGCATAGATTCAATTTTACTATCATTTTACTTATTTTCTTTTAGATATTCGACAATTATGGCTTCCATTATGCTATAACTCCAAAAGAATTAAGAACACAAAAATTAAAACAACAATATTATTTTGATTGCTGTTGTGAGGCTTGCGAAAACAATTGGCCTCTCTACGGACATTTTGGTTCTTACATTGTAAGCTTTATCATTTTTAATTTAACTCAAATAAGTGTACATAATTCATTCAATTTTATTCATTGTTTAAGGATCAAAAATTGCGAAAAGAAGTTAAGAAAAAAATTAGCAATGCTTTGAAAAAGTTCGATGGTATTTACGCATATGCTAGTAAAGGTGAAGTCGAAAGTGATGATAGTTTAAAAGCAATGAAAAATTTGATACAAATGTTAGAAATTCTGTATGAATGTGTTTCTTTGCCATGTATAGAAGTAAATAAGGTACTTGAAACTTGGAAAAGAATTTACTCTTTACGAGGAAATCGATTATTATCAATTAATTAATTTCTATGAATAAATATTGTTGATTTTTTAAATCACTTTGAAAGTGTAAGATAAATTATTGATCATCGTCTATAACTTGAATAACCGTTTCAATGTCCAAATCAATAAATTGAAGTTCATCAGGATTTATAAATTTAATTCTGCCTTCAACTGATGGAAAAACTACTTTTTTCTGTTGAATATAATTTGCTACACATTCTTCCAGAGTAATACCTGCGATACAATATAAATTGTGATGATTAAAATATCTAATCTAGCATCGACATAACATTAAAAATATTTACCTATTGACAATGGCTTCTCATCTATCAACATTGTAAATCCATCACCACCTGTTGCTATAAATTCATTGATTAAAATAGTGTAATTCTTATCAATATTCCATTGCTCAAACTTGGGAACTAAACACTCAGCACAACGTATCAATAATAAATCTGTTATTACTTTAGATCCTATAGGTTTTGATAAATCATAGTGAACCTAGAACCCAATTTTTTATGTAACAAAATAACTTTTATAATCATAATAAAATATATTGATAAATTAATTATCTAGAAAATTACAAATAATATACCTGTATTCCAGAGACATGTAGAAATCGACCAGATGGATCATCATTTTCAATACCATGCTGCAGTAATGCTACACTATTTTCTAAAACTTCTAATAATTTTTTTCCTGATATTCGGTATTTATAAATTTTATTTGCATGAGGTAAAACGTGTTTAATATCAGCCATGGTAATCTGAAATATATTTAAATATAAACATATGGAATTATTTGAACAAATGATAAAAAGAGCAAAAATCTTACAGTTTCATTAAGTAATTTATGAATACATGATTTAATTGTTCCGCTCCCAACAACAGCAACGGCAGCATCAGTCCAACCGTTATCATTATCTTGAATATTGTTTAAATTCTGAAAGAATGCCGTATGTTTATAAATACTCAAAATATGTTCAATGTTTACTTACATCCTCAATCATGGCATCAGTAACAAGATTTCCTAAGTTACATTCTTTAGTTCTGCATTGCAATGAATGGTCTAATAGAACCCTAGTGTAGCCTACTGATTTATGGCTGTATGCTTCTATTCTGGATTTTAATTCATTTAATGCTTGAACAACATCAACTGCTTGAGGTATTTTATGGTCCAGCAAAACAGGAGAACCCCGGATTGCTTTTATTTCTCCATCAGCATCAAAAGTAATAGAAAGGTTTCCCAAATATTTAGTAAATGCATAAGCTTGAACTATATAAACCTTTCGTTTACTTATTTTCTGTTCGATCACAGTTGGATATAAACCCAGAGGTACATCAGTATCGGGCACATCTCCAGTGTAAAGAAAACTATGGGAATGACCCCCTATTATTAAATCTAAACCTTCAACTTCTTGAGCAAGTTTTTTGTCAAAATCATAGCCAGAATGTCCAAGCCCTATTATAATATTTACATTTTGATTTTGAAGTTTTTTTATTTCATTTTGAATGCATTCTATCTCGCTTGAAAATGTCACCTTGCCGGTTGATGTTGTGTACTTGGTATCAGGCGTTAGATAACCAATGACTCCTACTTTATGTCCATTAATGTTGAAAATAATACTTTTTGAAATGTTTATATCTTTTAATTCAGGTTCCATTGAAAAATCAACATTACAAACTACTATGGGAAAATTAGATTTCTTGAGATAAGGTGCCAATCCTCCAGGACCATTGTCAAATTCGTGATTACCCAATGTCTAACAATCAAACAAATTTATAAATTAAGTTTTAACTTCATGACACATTTATTTTAAATAAATATTAAAGAAACTTAAATTATGAAAAAAAAAATTCAACTTAATTAATAAGAAGAAAATAATCTATGACTTACAGCCACATCTGGTTTCAAAATATTCATAAATTGAGATGCAATTTTCCATTTGTATTCAGTAAACCACGGAGTTCCCGCAAATACGTCACCAGCATCAAGATATAACATAGAATTACTTGCATTTCTTGCTTCTCTGACTAATGTAGCTACTCTAGCAAATCCACCGTAACATTGATTTGATTCTTTATGTGCAGGTAAACACTCAGACATTGGAGTCTTAAACTCATCAAATCTAGTGTAAAAATTGAAAGCATTTAGTATAAAAATAGACTTTATTAATAAAATAATTTTTTTCATACCTCGAATGCATATCATTTGTATGAATAATATTGAGATTCCAATCATTGTTTGATTCAATAGAAACACCTATTTTTATAGAAATAGCGCAAATGAATAGTATAATGTTTGAAGTCATGTTGGACAGTACTGAATACATTAAGTAGTAGATTCTTGACTCAATTATACTAAATTGAAGACGTCAATGAACAAGTGTATTTAAGAAGATAGTCAATAAAAGTTGAAAAATTTGATGATAACAGGAATATATGTATAGATACTACTATTGCTTAATATTCAATGTATTGATGAAGCAACATTTATTGAATTATTTTTCGTATAGATCGAATATATCAATATATTGCTACAAAAATTTTTAGTTATAGCATTTTCAAGATAACGAAATTGATATGTACAACCTTGGTTAAAGTTTTGAAATAATTACTTTTAAAATTAAAATTTATTCCATAATAATATGTTTGTATATGATCAGTTCAAATGCTGATATATCATACCTATGTGTGTACATACAGATCATGATCATGTTTTTAGTATATTAACGCTAACCACTTCGGGGTATTTGTTATTATTATTCTTAGTTGTTAATAACAAATTATGAATTTTAAAAAAATGTTCTGATATTGAATAAAAATGATAATAATCATATAACTACTCATTGGATTCATTCATACATTTAGATATTTCTGTAAAAATAAAAATATTTGACATTTTTATATCACCTAACGAAAGATAATTATTTTTAATTTACATAATGAATTGGTTATAAGTAAATCATTATAATAATATTTATTCTGGAACCATTATTAAACTTAAGTTAATTAGACTTTAATATTTAATTATTTCCTTGACGCCAAGCTTTTTTTTTAATATCAAAAAAATTCTATACATTTTTAAATTATTTCAATGCACATCTAGTCTATATAAAATTATTACAATAAATTCATCCATTTTTTTAGAAAAATTTTTATTATTAATTCTCTTGTTATCTCTATCATTATTTACACCGTAACTTTTTACGGTGTCACACTGTAACATAGCAATTTCATTTTTTCTTTTATGTAATTTCAGAATCAAAAATATCAATCATGAAATTCTATTGATACGATCTATAAAGAAGCGTCCATTACATTTACTTAATCAATTATAATATCAGTAAATGACAATAGTCTACCAACTATCATCGATAGATCTAGATGATTCAGCTATTTTGACGATAATTTTACTCAAAAAACATTCAATAAATTAGTTAAATGTGACATGTTGAGAGTATCAAGAAGTAATAGTAAACTAGACAATTTTCAAACAATTGCATATATAAAAAATAATGAAGTGCATTCGAAAATTATATTGTTCTGAAACATTAATATTTCGTGTTGCTCAAATAATCTATAAAATTTTCGGTTTATGTCCAATGTCGATAACAATTTCTCGTGATTCACAAAACGAGTTTAATGTGAATTGTAATTATTCTAGAATTGGATTATTTTATAATATAGGATTACTTGTTTATATTTTTTATGTCATATGGAACATCAAAATAACATCAATAACAAACATAGAAATATCTGCATTTAGTTTGAAAATTCTTTTAAAAATGATTGAACTTTTAGCGACAGTAAATGTGTTATGGATTTTTACTTTTCGACAGAAAGTAGTGATATCTATTGTCAATTGTATCTTGAACACAGAAAAGGCTTTAAAGACACAAATATTTCATTATCGCAGCAGATTATATCAACCAATTTTGATATTTTTTGGATTATTCATTCCAACTTTAGTTCATTCCGTTATAGTAATTCTTACAAGAGAAAAATTGGATATGAATATTATTCATTACACGATCATACCATTTGTTCTATCAAGCTCTATAATACAATATTCAATGTTACTTAGTTACATTAAAATAAAAATGGATTTTATAAATAAATCATTATCAATATTAATGAACCCTTCGAGCAAGTTGCTTGAAGGGAAGCCGGTGTCTATAAGTAAAATAGCATCTACAGACAATACATTAGTTTTGAAAAAAATAATATTTCTACAAAACACATATTGGAATTTGCATAAAATTCTTGAGGATAGTTCAAAATTTTTCTCAGCAATCCTTCTTCCTACTATTCCTTTTTTATGTTTATGTATTGTCTATAATTGTTATAGTTTAATACGGAAAGTAATAATTCTGAACAATGTTACTGAGGTATTATCAATTGGTCATTTTTTTTGGATAACAGTCTCTACTTTTCCTGTTGTAAGCTTGAGTATTAACGTAACACAGACTAATGCCAATGTAAATTACATTATTTAAATGATTTTTTTTGTTACGTTTTAAAAAAAATAATAGAATTGTCTATTATTTTGCAGTTTAGAAAAACCAGCTCTATTATTTATGATGGTTTAAGAGAATATTCATCACAGATCAAAATAAAATCACAAGTATTCATTTTAATTTATCATACATGTAAGTACTAGAAGCTTTTGCAATAAATAATACTAGTTAATATATTTTACAGCTAGAGCAATTTTCTATAAGTTTATTACATCAAAGTAATGATAACTTTACCGTTTATCAGTTATTTTCAATCGATAATAGTCTTTTAACATCTGTAAGTATATATATTCTAATGATAAATATTAAATATAATTATCAATTGAATTTTTCAGCTAGTTGGGACTGTCATAACATATATGGTTCTTCTATCATTATTGGATAATGAGAAATTTTAATTATACTCACTGAGTCGATAAACTGCTATGAAGTTTAATCATGATTGAGACATTTTTTAAAATTTGTTCTTTCGCGTAACAATGTTTATTAACAAAATTTTAATGTAATAATATGATTCGTCTTTCAGTTCCTTTATTGATTAAATGTCTAATTGTTTTAATATGATTAGCCAGTATTTGATCCATTGTGAAACCTGAAAAATAATAATTAATAAATTAGAACATAAGAATTATTAGATTTATCTAATTAATAATTAAATAAAAATATTTTAATGTAATTATAAATTAATACCTGAATTGATCCATGTTGAGTGAGATGTTTTGAACATATTAAAATTATTTCCACCATTGTAAAGATAATCATGAACGAGGATTGTATAAACTTGTTTATAATTAAATTTCTCATATTTTGGCTCCTTACACCTAGCACATTGAATGTACAAAGTATCTAAAATTACTCTGGATCCAACAGGCTGAGATAAATTATATGTCACTTGAACTCCGGAATACTGTAGAAATTGTCCAGAAAATTGAGTAAAATTTTCTCGAAATTCAGCTGCACTGTGTTCCAACATTTCCACTAGTTTTTGACCAGTCATTTTAGTTTTACCCATATAATCTCCAAATGGAAGAACTGTCAGTACATCACTAAAGGTAATCTTAAATTTATAATATAATATCGTTAATTTAACTTAAAATTTTCTACATTAATAATAATGAATTGTTCATTTATTATTTACTGGTTGATTTCGAAGTTTAGAAATTGAAGATCTAATGTTTCCACTATTATAAACTGCTATAGCTGCATCCGTCCATGCTTTATCATCCGTATACTTTTCCTTATTCTAAAATGAATTTTATTAAAAATATATTAATAAGAAAAATTAAAAAATACTGTTCAACTTACATGATTGATCATAGCATCAGTAATTAAATTTCCAAGATTACATTCTCGTTGTCTACATATCTTTCTATCTCCATTTAAAAATACTCCAGTATATCCCAAAGCTTCATCTCCCATTCTTACCACAGCAGGCTTCATTTTTTTAATTTCTTTTACAACATCAGGAGCTTGATTAATTTTACTATCAAGCAAAATTGGGCGACCTTTGATCTTCCTTATTCTTCCATCAGCATCGAAAATGATTTTAAGATGACCCAAGTATTTAGTAAATGCGTAGGCTTGAGCTACGTAAACACGTCTTCCATCTTTCTTTACAATCTCAGTCGGATATGGACCTAAAGGATTTTCTTTGTTAGGTGTAAATCCGCTATAAAGAAAGCTATGAGAATGACCCCCAATGATTAGATCTAAGCCATCAACTTCTTCTGCTATTTTTTTATCAACATCGTAACCCGAATGACCAAGACCAATTATAATATTTACATTTTTTTTTTGGAGCTTTGAGATTTCTTTCCTAATTGACTTCATTTCATTGAGAATAGTAATAGTATTCATATTCGGTATAATTCCAGGTTCAGAAGTTAAATATCCAATAATTCCAATTTTTCTACCAGCAACATTAAGGATAATACTTCGTTCCATTAAGGCAGCTATTTCGGGCTCACCAGATAGATCAAGATTACTAGTTACAATAGGGAATGTAACGTTTTTTAAAAAAGGAAGTAATCCTTCGATACCATCATCAAATTCATGATTCCCCAAAGTCTGAAACAATAAAAAATAAATAAATTTATTTATCTAGGTCGTTTAGACAGGTATTATTAACTCACCATTGCGTCTGGTTTTAACATGTTCATAAACTTGGCAGCTACTTTCCACTTGTAAAAGTTATACCATGGTGTACCTTGAAAAGTATCACCAGCATTAAGAAATAAGACTGGAGTAGTCGAATTTCTAGCTTGTCTCACTATCGAGGCAACTCTTGCAAATCCTCCATAACATTGTTTTGCATTTTTTTCTATTGATGTACATTCTCCAGAGTTAATATTTGTTTCTTCAAACCTTAAAAATTCATATTTTTCACATTGTTTATTTCAATTAAATGGGAAGAAGATTATGATATTTTACCTTGAATGCATATCATTTATATGTATTATACGAAGTTTCCAGACATCTTTTCTATTGTTAAAATTGAGATGATAATTACTTTTGATGACAGAAAATTCATTACAATGAAAATAATTGATAAAAATTACACCAAATAAATAGTACGGAACCATTGAACTAGATTAATATAATAACTATGATAAGCTTAACTGAATACTTTTGAACGACTAAAAATAAACGTACTATAATATAACTATATTATCAAAAGGTCATATAGATAAACAAAATACTTTCCAACTTTAATCTTTATGGGCCTAAAAAAATTTTTTTTTCCATCAAATTATAAAAAAATTTAGAATACCGCCATGTTGTATGTTGAGTAAATAAAAATTTTCAATAATGTTAGGATCTTAATCCTGATTTATTCTGCTATAAATCAGAAGCTTGATCAATTTGATTATCAAACTGAATTAGATAACTTTTAATATTAATAACTTATTAATGAGTCTGTTTTTATTATTTTAGTTATACTATGGTGTACCAAAAACTAAATTCTCAAGACTTTTTATTAACTGTTTTAATATTAGAGGATATCATTTTTTAGCTCTTACTACAATAACTTTCTTATAAAAATTTTATTAAATTACATACAATGTTTATTTATTAAACATAAGTAAAAATTGTAATTTTCAGTTATATTAATTTATTTACTTTTGAACTCATTGCTTTTTTCTCTTTTATATTTATACAATAATAGTATGGAATGATGATTTAATACTTTCTATTCATATCTTTTAGCAAAACTGTTTACTTTGGCTAGTACTAATATAATACATAAAACTTATCTATCAATTAATAAAAAATGTGTACAGGAGACATTCTCTTAGTCTCGCTAAAAATTTTACTCATCAAAATTATCAGATATCTACAATTATCCTATTAATTATATTACAGCAATTTGGCACCACGATCACCATTTATGGTATAAATATTTCAATAAAAAATTAAATTAAGAATGGGCATTTATATATGAAGTAGTAGCATTTAAAAGAAGCTGTTTAGATTGCTGAAAAGCTGCTTCTTCCTTTTGGGTCCATTTCCATTCTGGTTTAGGAAGGTGGAATATTTTTAATGGTTCTTGAATTGTTTCAATATCATCTAGATAATTGCGGTAATGATTTACCATCCCATTAAATCGTCTAACTTCTTGTATAGTTTGTGGTCGAGGATAATCAATAATCGGTTTAATTGATTCTTTACTAACACGTAATCCATTACCATCTATTGTAAATCCAATGTAGTCTACGCTTTCTTTCGCAAATTGAGAATTTTCTAAATCAACTTCTAATCCATTTTCATAAAGTACATCCAATAAACAATCTAACAAGATTTCATGTTCTTCAGGTGTTTCACTAACAACTATCCAAGTTTCAAGACAGACAAAAATTTTTTCATTCACCGGTATACTGGGATGCGATGATTTAATTCGTTTTGAGACGATTAACTTGATTTGATCTGCCACATAGCAAGCAGAAGCTGATGCTCCTTTTAAGCCATAAGGCATTCTTATCCACATATATACTCCACGACCTTTTACTACAAAAGCTGTGTATTTTCGACTCTCAGGTTTAAGTTCGATTTGATGAAATAGTTCTTTGATCTTAATGGTTGATATTATGTGGGCGTTTGTTATATTGTCTAAAATATCCCACTGACTATGAATCGGGTAAATCCATTCTTGAAAACATGAATTTAGTTTACTGAAGTCTACGTGAAAAAGCCAATCTCCATCTTTATTTTTGATCATACGAGATGTACTCACCCAATCATGGTGGCTATTAATTTCAACTATGTAGCCTTTATCAAATAATCTATCTACTTCGTTATACATGATTCTTCTGATTTCTGGATTTTTTTCATACGATTCTTGGCGCCAAGGTTTCGGCTCTTTACGAATTGGGATTTCGTGTTGGTGTATACTCGTCAAACCCACTTTGGATTCACTCATTTCTGAAAATTTTTCATTTACAAATTTCCTGAGAGCTGTTTTATGCTCACGAGTAATTTTTTTATCCGCCATTATTTTGATTTTTTTTTAAAATTATAAATAATGTGATCAATTGTAATGTTGATAAGGTATTCTGTATTGTTGGCAATTATGTTTACGTATCACTTGTATTTATCAGATTCGAGGTTATCCTTTATATTATAACACGGTGTAACTTTTCGATTTTGTTCCTGCCAAAAGAAATTTGTATGTACAAAAACTGTTAATTATTTACAATCAAATTAACTTACAATTGTTATGGTTGTTATTATGGTATATCATGTTGCACACTCAATACATCCAACATTATCAAAACTGTCGAAGATATTTGGTTTCATGCATAGTTAAATAAGTGATACCAACTTTTGATTGTTAAAAAAGTATAAGCCATATAACGATAGCGTATGAATATTTATTGTTTGTAAAATATTATTATTGATTACATACTTTTTGTAACAGTAATATGTTTATAAACTAAAATAAATTGAACTTTTATAAATACAGTAATAAAAAATTACAATACATACAAAATTTGATTTGTTTATTTGGCAGATGATTTTAAGAATCAATGTTTAATTTACAACTTGAAATTTTTAATGTACTTGTTGATGTGATTAAATTATTAGTTGAATCAATGATGAACTCTTCTTGTTCCTGATGAAGTTTTTGTCGGCCGGTGTTGTCGTTGTGTTTTGAAAATTTTGTTACTTCTTTTTCTTCTTGCATCACAATCTGATCTATTGGCAAATTTAATTCTTCTCTCAGTTCCCATATGAATTAAATATTTAATTTTTTCAAGGTAAAGAGCTAATACTTGATCCATTGGAAGACCTAGAAATAGATCATAAATTAATAATCAATAAATATATTTATGGTATTTAAATCCTTTACATATATTTTTATAACATTATAAATAAAATACCTGAAGATGCCCATGTAGAAAAAGGGGTTTTAAACATATTATAGCCATTTCCACCTTCATAAAGGAAATTATGCATGGCTACTGAATATTTTTTATTCCATTGTAATCGTTCATATTCTGGTTCTTTGCATTTGGCACATCTTACATAGACACTATTAGGAAGAACTCTTGACCCTACTGGTTGTGTTATGTCATATGCAACTTGAAGTCCCGAAAAATGTAAAAATTGCCCTGAAAAGTCTGTTCGACCTGGTCCAAATTCAGCTACACTGTGTTCTAACATTTTGAATATTTGTCTTCCTGTCAATATTGTTTTACCCATAACATTGCCAAACGGAAGTACTGTCAGCACGTCATCGTATGTTATCTTAAATGGAAGAAATAGAATATTTTATTAAATAATTTTTTAGAACAATTATATTTTATTTCAGATTTTTACAGGTTGATTTGGTCCTTTTATGATTGAACCTCTTACTGATCCACTATTGTGAATGGCTATAGCTGTATCAGTCCATCCATCATCTCCTGCATACTCTGTTTGATACTTTAATCAGATTTAAATTTATTGAATTAATTGAAATCGAAGTAAATATAAAATGATATATTTGATATGTTACTTACGTAATCAATCATAGCATCAGTAATCAAATTTCCCATACTACATTCTCTATTTCTGCATAAAGCTCTAGATCCATTTAAAACCACTTTGGTGTATGCTACAGTTCTTTGAGTTAATTCTTTTAATGCTGGCTTCATTTTATTAAGTTCATCCAAAACATCAGTAGCTTCTTTTATGGATTTATCTACTAATATTGGACGACCTTCAATATGATCTATTTCACCATACTCATCAAAAGACACAAAAATATTGCCTAGGTATTTAGTGAATGCATAAGCCTGAACTACGTAAACTCGTCTTCCACTTTTTTGCACAATCTCAGTTGGATATAAACCAGCTGGTACTTCTGAGCTCGGTATCTTTCCAGTATAGAGAAAACTATGTGAATGGCCTCCAATGATTAGATCTAAATCTTCTACTTCTTTTGCAATTTTTTTATCTACTTCATAACCAGAATGTCCTAGACCAATAAAAATATCCACTTTTTGCTCGTTTTTCAGCTTTTTTATTTCTTTTTTGAGTGATTCAATTTCATCATGAAAAATTACGTTCGCAGGATGTGAGATAGCTTTAGTATCAGGTGTTAAATATCCGATTATAGCAATTTTTCTCCCTTCTACATTAAGAACTATACTTTTAGTGACATTAGTTGCTGCTAACTCAGGTTCTTTAGAAAAATCTAAATTACAAGCTACTATAGGGAATGCAGCATTGTTTAAAAAAGGGACTAGACCTTTAGGACCCAAGTCAAACTCATGGTTTCCCAACGTCTTAAAAAACAAAACAATTATTGTGAATTTTTTGTTACAATTCCCGAAATAAATATGTAAATTATTGTCAACTTACAGCTGCATCTGGCTTCAAAATGTTCAAAAATTTAGCAACCACTTCCCATTGATATTTAATGAACCATGCTGATCCTTGATATGTATCACCAGCGTTGAGAAATAATGCTGGAGTTGGTGATTTTCTAGCTTCTCTTACGAGAGTAGCAATTCTTGGAAATCCTCCATAACATTGGCCTAAATTCTTATCATTTTCCGTACATGTTGCAGACATAGCATTTGTTTCTTCAAACCTTTGCAATAAATTATCGAATTTCAATAAAAAAAATGTACAAATAAAGATATATTTTTAAAAAATTATTCTAATTACCTCGAATGCATATCATTTGTGTGCACTATGTTAAGAATCCATTTTTTGGAAGCCGGTTTAGATTCTTTATGAATATTTGACAAAATAAACGCTGCGTCACTTAATAAAATACTGCTCAGTACAGTGAAAATAAATATATTAAACGTCATTTTATTTTTCTTTGGTACTTAGAGAAAGTGTTTAGGAGCTTCACACTCATGTATTTGAGTTTGAAGTACGAATGAGCTGCTTATTCTTTATATGTATCTAATATAACTTTATTGACCTTGGAGACATATTTTGATAGTGTCTGTGTATCAGTACACGTGCCCCGAAATTTAGTAAGGCACAAGTGTTAAAAATTCTTTAAATTAATAAGGTTCATTCACATTTATATTCATTTTAAACAAGTCATTATATATTCAAAAATTTAATTATACATCTATGAATTATTGGTTTTTTATCTTTTTTATGCTATTAAGAATAATTTTACTTTTACATAGTTAGACTTTTCTTAAAATATACTTTTTAATGCATGACATTGTTAGATTTCCGGGAAGCAAGACATTTGTACAAATAAATTCTTTTAATTATGAACTAGATTAATACGGTAGTTGGTAGTTGATGAAATCATCAAAAGGAATATTTTTGATTCAAAATTTTAGAAATATTATTGAAAATTTTTAATATTGAAGAAATCATTTTAAGCTGATGACTGAAATAGATTGTTTATTATTATAAGTTGAACGAAAAAACTTGTAAAAATATTTAGGCGTGGTAATGGTTTGTATTTGATTATAATTTGAATATTATCTTTAATATTTCGTCACAGTCATAAAATTTTGATGAAGAATCAAACCCAGTATGATGCTTCTATATTTTATCGCGAAAAAAATCATTATATTTTAGATTGTTATCACTTATATAATGGATATCTGTATAATATTAAGATTATATATAATTATATACATGGTAGTTTTTTACTTTGATAATAAGTAAAAATAATGACTCATAATAACAATTAATATTCTATCATAACAAAAGATAAAATCGATTAAACTCCCTCCATTAGGATATTAGGAAATTTATTTCTCTCTGCAATAATTTTTGTGTTTACACTTCAGTATTTTTTTTATACAAGAAATAATTTGTTTTTACAACTTGAAATAACTAGTGCGGTTATTATAAACTATTATCAATGAATTTCCATAGCTTCTATATAATTATTTGTTTAATTTTCGGTTACTTTGTACACATAGTTTTCAAATCATCTGGTTTAGCACCATTTGCAATAAACATATCATCAAGGATTCGGAACAATCATCGAAAACTGGCAGTTAATTTTTTTTACTCCTTAAGAGGATCCATTTACAATTTCATCCTTTCATTTTATCTTTTTTACTCAATATATAATTTGGTGAACTTGTCGAGAAAAAAATATCAGGGATTTTCTTCAGTGGAACGTCTTATCAGAGTAACTCTGACAATTTTTGAATCAGCAGCTATAGTGAATATGACATTAACTTATTGTTTCAAACAAAAAAAATTGATAACAATCATAAATCGAATTTTACACATGGAGAATAAATTTAAAGAAAAGTTTAATGAGGCTTGTGGATTTGGAGAACATCAACAGATAATTATTTTTATGGGCTTCATTCTGATTACCTCAATTTTCAGTATATCTGAAGTCATTGATGCTGGTACATTTAGCCCTCGATTTCTTGGACATATTCTTCCAGCATTTACTTTGGGACTATCTGTAATTCAATATTCACTTGTGTTAGTGTACTTTGAAAAAAAATTTTTCAAAACAAATGAACTATTACTGTTGTTAGGAACTCCACAAGCAGTGATAACTAATAAATTTATCTCAGTAACAAAAACTCTGTCAAATAAAGTAATACTGAGAGAAATCGAAATCATGCAAGAGCTTCATCGTGAATGTTATATGAATTTACGTTTGATAATCGATTTCTATTCACCTGTGATTTGTTTACCGATTTCATTTTTTATTCTTGGAACAACATATAATTTTTTCAGATCATCCGCATCAGTTATTTCAGATTCGATGAGCATATCATTAACTGATCATATTTTAAATGTTCTATGGATGATTAAATATCTATATCCGATTATTTGCTTAAGTTTTTACGTTAACAAGACCATTTCAGAAGTAATTGATATTTACGTAAAACCGTTTTTTTTTAGTTTGAATAGTAAACATTCATGAAAATCAACATGTAGATAAGACTCTTTGAGTTTGAATGACGATCATAAATTTAATATGTGAAATGAGTCAGAAAAGCAAGTAATACTTGATAAACTTAAAAACGAAATCAAAGTTTTAAATAATCAATAGCTTTTTTATTATTTTTTTTTAAATAATATTAATGAATTGATCTTTTAATAATTATTATAAATTTCAGATGAGAAAGACTGGAGCAATATTACATCGAGCAATGGATGAATATTTATCTTATTTAGCCATTAGAAATCGAGTAATTAAAATAAAAGAAAAATTATTAAGTTAAATCTGATAACATACTATAAATGATAATTTTTTTAGCTTCACCTTTTTTCGGTTGAGCTATTACATCGGAATACTCAGTTTACTGCTTGGGGATTATTTGATATTGATAAAAGTCTCTTAACATCAGTACGTATTATTTCTGATAAAAATTCTAAAATCAATAATAACAATTATTTTTTAACAAAATAATTTTTTATGTAGATCGTGAGTTCGATGATTACATATATGATTATTTTGATACAACTGAAAGATAGTTTTCAACACTGAAGAGATCAATAACCTAGAAAATACATTTCTAACTTATCAGATAAGCTCATCAACCCGCCTGCTTGTTTTTCACGCCTAGACTCATTGTTCATAAGCTATATGACACATTAATAAATTATCAAAATAGCTAACTATTTATTAAATTTTTTTTTGAAATAGATTGATGATGATAAAAAAAATATTAACATTTCAGAAATATAGACTTAACTTATCAATTCTACTATATTATTTTACTTAGAATAATACCATGTAAATGTATATAATAATATTAATAGAGAATGTAAAGAAGATAAGAAATGTAACCATATTTTTGGTAAATTAAAAAGTACGAACGAAATAAAATTGATACAAAAATTTAAAAATTTGGTAACTTTTGAGAGAAAAAAGTTATGATAAATCTGAGAATTAAAATTAGAACTTTAAAATATTTTCATTCTTTTAGGTTTTCTTCTTTTAACTGTAATAGTAATTTAATTATATATTCGTACATTCGTGAACATACATATTTATAGAGGTGTCGATTGACGCACGTTCAAATCAAATATCTGAATGAATCGAGCCATATACACTTACAAAAATAGTTGTAAGTTAATCTCAAGAACTTTGAAATACAACGAAACGTTAAAATTTTTAATATTGGTTTTCAGATTCATTACAACTTTTCTATCTAAGTTAAATTTATATCATCACAAAGCTCTTGTATTTTTTTTTAAGTTCATTTTGCTCGAATAATTTTATTTTATTTTTCTATTACTACATAGTTAAAACCTTTCGCACATTTATATTAATACCAATTTGTACACTTAATGATAAGTTATTAATATTTATTTTTACAAACAAATCATTTTACAAGGAACATTGACAGAAAAAAATAAACAGCCTGACTAGGGTAATGTTTTTATTAATTACTTTTCTGTTTTAAATGCATGAATGCATACTCTCACAGCTCATGCGTTCATACATTATATTTATTCAATCAAGAGATAAAACTGATTCATTAGATGTTCGACATTTGGAATTTAATAATCTTGGTCCACCCAAATAACTCAAAGGATTTGCAAAAGTACGCATGTCTTCACCCAGAAATATTGGAGTCGTATTGAGCATTTTAAATTTCTGTCCATCTATAATCAGTTAATCAAATTATTGTCAATGATTTATTTCTTTTTTTTTTTGTTCATTTATAAATTTATTATAAATTGACAAAAAAAATACCTGGGCTCAGAGCTTGTGATTTTGAGGATGGTTTAACTCCAAAAATACGAACTACCTATAAAATAACTTGATTACTATCAGAAATAACATTATTATTTTTACGAATTAAAAATAAACAAAGAAAAAGTAGAAGTCCAGCGAGAATAAGGACAGAAAGTCTTGTAAAGAAACAAACATAAATGAATAAAAGAAAAGCTAAGAAAAAACACAATAATGTATGTTTTAATGATGTTTGTGTTAGTATCAAAAAAGCTCACTTACTTCGATATTTTTATAATCGCATGAAGACGTATAAAATTATAAAAAAATCAAAATTACAATCATGATCTGCATTACGTTGATAACCCTGAGTCATATTTTAGTTTGTAAGTTAAATTAAAAGCTGTCGGTGATTTTTCTTCGGTGCATAATAGTATTCAGCAGTTGAAAGCTTAGTAACATGCAATGACATGACAGTTTGCTAATTTAAATTTATTCATTGAACAATTAGTGATGATCAATGTAGACAATTGTGAACAACAAGCATTTTTCATTAATTTTATATTTTATATTATCTAAATTGTCTCATGTTTAACATGCTATAAAATATATTTTTTTTTTGTTCGAAAAATTCTTAATCTTAATATCCACTAAAAATATTTAATGAGTTTCTTACTATTATCACTATAAATATGATTGTCATTATTGATTATTATAACATTAATATTATTTATATTATTGTCAATTCTATAAGTATCAATTATCAATTATCAGTCAATCATTATTGGTAATAATGGTTTCAGTGATACCTCTAAAGTTCAAACGTTGCATTTGTTTCATCTTGATTGGAAATGGAGTTTAATGGTATCACATTCCCTTCTATACTCGTTTTAGACCAAGTTTTAATCTGAAAATGTCGATATCGCGATAACAGATAATTAAATTCCTTTTTATTTTCTTACTTAATATTACGTTCTTGTTGATGAAAATAAATTTTTGTTTAAAATTTGTTATGATAAAAAATGATTTTTTACCACCAATGTTAAGCTCACACAAAAACAATTGTAACTGAATGGAAACCAATAAGCATAAATTAATTGATAACCAAATTATTAATTAAATAATTATGCAGATAAATTTTTAAATACACTAGTGCTAATTTGATAAGCGATAATAATAAATTGACATGAACATTTTCAATTCTTGTGATTTTGATGAATAATAAATTTAGAATATAAATCAAATATAAACAAATTCAAATTATGTTTAAAAAAAGAATAAAATTGAAAAGAAAACTTTTCATATTGTATTTTTGATTCTGTACCAGCCTTATTTTCGCTCCTTCTATAAATTCCATATCTAAATATGTATAAAATAAATTGATTAAATATTTTATAATAAATATTGACGTTAAATCAGTACGTATCAATAATAATAATAATCAAAATTTCCATTTTTTAATGCTAAAAATATTAATCTTATCTATAAGTACAATATTTGACGTATTGTAGAGTTTCTATTTTATATTTTTTCTGTTATGTTTCCATCTTTGGTGCATCAAATATTTTAGCAGTGATTCTCTCCATATAAAAACTCTCAGGACGTATTTTGTGGTCGATTACAGGTTCCTTGATTTCTAAACTTAAAGGCCTCTGAGCTTCAATACCACTTTTTGGCTTGAAAGGATTGTCAATAATGAATTCATTGGTTCTGATTTCATTCAGTCCAGTAATCGAAAAATTTGTCTCCAATAAACGTTTTCCAGAAGGTCCAAATCCTCTAAAATCACGTTTTAATACTTGATTTCTTACCGGAGTTGGTTTTACAAGTGTTTCAGCTTCTGGACTGTTCATCATGTTTTTTCTTTCTTCTGCAACTTCTTCTTCCTCCTCTTCTAATTCTTCATCTTCTTCCTGTTCGCGCTCTTCAAGCTCTGGCTCCTCTGTTAAGTCTTCCATTGACTGAAAAAATCGTTCTCTTTAGAAATTTGTTAACCATTTTAATTAATTATAAATAAAAATTGAGCTTTAGTAGCATTAAAAGCTTAAAATATATAAACATGCGAACTCGAAAATTTATTTCATACTAGCGGACTTTGAATATATCACATAAGCATCGCAATTAATTTAATATGCATAATTTAAAATGATAAAAAGTCTTTACAAAAGGATTCGGTTTCGCAGGTTTCGATACAGTTGTATTTACCCCAAGAAGATCCTTCTTTTCTGCTTCTTCTTCTGCAAAAATTCTTGTATTAAAATTATCATCATAACATAAAATATTATTCGTAATACTCTAAGAGAAGATATTTATAATCATAGTACCTTTGATATTAACTTTTTTATCATTAACTAAATCTTTCTTTAACTCCGAGTTAGGAAGAGGTTTATATTCTTTAGTAACTCCCTTTGCATGCGTTCCATTAGGTTTCTTTTCATCTTCAATAACTGTTTTAAATCCTACTGTTTTAGCCCCAGAAGGTCCGACAACTGAATCTGAATAAGCCGGTTGCCATCTTTGTGATCCTCCAGGCGATCCACTTCCTGAAACTGCAGCAGCAGCTCTTGCTCTTCTACGTTTACGATCTCGTCTTGCACTTCGTATAACTTCATAAGCACATCCAATTACTGCTGACACAAATATACAGCATAAGGCTATAAATATATACGTTGTTGCACCTTGCTCTTCTTTCGTTTCATCATTATAAAGTGATTTATACGGAACTCTTGCTGGAGGATCTTCTACCCAAGCTCTGTCACGGCCCTAAAAAATAAGATTATTTTATTTCCTTATATATCACATTCTAAAATTACAATTTTTATTTTTTTATTTGATATTTACCATACTATCATTTCTAGGAGGATCCAATCCTCGAGGTTGTAAATGAAATGCTGCACATTGCGCACTTCTTACTCCAGCAGGAATACTTGCTCTTACAGTTTCACTTCCTTTTTTTGTAAATACCATGTATTCTTCGAGAGGTTTCATTGTAGCACCACCATTAATAGATACCACAATGTCTGAAATGAATTTTTTAATAATTAATTAATTTTTTTATTAATACAGATTGATCGAATATTCATATTGTTTTACTTACTGCTGAGACAGCCAGTGTATCCTTTATAAGCACTGAACCGATGATCCGTTGTATTAAGTCCTCCCAGTTGAATTTCTGTCGCTCCAGGACTTTCTTCTTCTTCTGGATTATTATCATCGTCTTCACCAATACTCAAGACAGGAATCGGTAATAATTGTACTGGTTCTCGATCAATCTAACAATGTTTACAATTTTAATTCAAATCGTCCATTAAAGTATTTATGAATATTTTTAAATTAACGATTTAATTAAAAATTTACCAATAAAGTAGCAGTTTTATTTTCTCGAACGTAATATACACTATGTCTGGCGCCATTTAAAAAATTTCTATCATTTAATCGAACTCCGTAAGCTGAACCATCTCTATCTTCTTCAAAAATCAGTTGACCTTCAGAGGTTAATGCCACCAAAAGATAATAACTTCTATTCATAATAAGACAATTGCATAATTAAAGATAAACATAAATAAATGATAAGTAAATATATAAATTTTTATTTCAGCTTACTTATTTGCAGCTTGTAATAATAATAAAGCTGATGTTCTTTGACGTAGATCGTTTGTAGAAAATGCTAATTGAACTTTGACCTGTTTCACTTCTCCTTCAAACTCAAATGCTCGTTGAAGCACACTTTCACCGCTGAAATCTGCACCTTTTTCTATAAAAAAAAAATTTAATTAATTAGAAAGTATGCTAATAATGTAATAAATATAAGTTCTAATAGAAATACTAAATGTCTATTACCGTCAGCACAATGTTCTCCAAAATATGAAGTTAATTCACAATTACATGAAGATTCTTGCCTTCCAAAGTCTTCTGTACAAATTCCAAGATTTTTGCATGGTGTAGTATCGCATTTCATTTGACAATTAGGTAAAACTCCTTTACTTCCTTCGTGATTAGCTTCACTAGCTAAATTTGGTAGGTCAACCAAGTATTCTCCAATCATTAATCCTCGAAGACAACCAACGTATCCTTGAATAAGTTGTCCTTCCACTCCAACTCGGAGAAGATTATCAGGATCAAAGCCACCCAAGTTTACCTGAACATATTTTTTTATTATTTTTGTGGCTATTAATTCATTATTAAATAAAATTAAGAAAATAATAAAATACCTGAAAGTAATCAGTTGGAGGTGCAGGAGGCCTTTGAGGAGCCAATACTTCTTTTTCTGGATTGATCCAAGGTTTATTGGAATACGAATCCAACAGTAACGGTACTGCATCCAAAGTGATATTGTGATCATTGACATGAAGGGTAGTTGATGTCTCACCCCTGACGATCGCAATCTGAACCGAAATCCCTGTATTTACACCTGCAATGAGAGGCAAAGAACCACTTGAAAAATCGACACAATTACAAGCTCGATGGGTTTCGATCTTACGTCAGTCAATTCTTCGCGTCTCTTGGAATTCGTCTGGGTAGTAGTAGAAGTAGTTCCTTCGTAGAAGAAAACGGTTGCCCACCTGGATACTGGACGGTGATATTCTTGATCTCGTTCCCGGCGTTAAAGAGATAGACAATGCTGGACCCATTGGAAATATAGAGATGAGCAAAGTTGTTGAGATGATCGTTGGCGTAAAGGATGAGCGAGTGGGTGTCGTAAGTCCTCAGATTTATCAGAATGTTCTCCAGCAGCATACTTTTCAGCAACAATTTCTCTTCGTCCTCACTCGTGCCGAAGTAGTTTTTCTTCAGGAATGCCCCAGGTGATGTAAACGTCAACGCTTTATTGTTAATGTCTAGAAAAAAACATTTTATTAGTTTTTATGGATTTAAAATGAATGGAAACATTTATATTTACTTGTTTCACAAAAAGTTCCTTGATGAGCCCATTTATTTTCGCAAACACACTCGAAATTACTCCATAATTCAACACATCTCGCACCATTTTGACATTTATTTGGCTGACAGGAAGGCTTGCAATCTTTTATAATTTCAGACAAATGAACTGACATGTAGCTGTGAATATCTAAGATCTCTCCATTAACTACAAGGCCTCGGAAGCAGCCAATTAATCCTTGTTGTACTTCTGAAGTCTTCAAATATTCTCTGAAAATATAGTAAAAATTTTTATATTAATGTCGCTAAATTCATATAAATTTATTCCAGTGTCAATATATTTTATTTTTTGCTTACGCAGTTGCACCTCCAATAAACATAGATCCCTCAAAAGGACCAAATTCTTCTTCAGGAAGTAATTCAACCATTTGGAAATCAGTATTAATCATAAACCGAACATGATAATCATTGTAATCAATCCAAATTTTTTGCCATTCCCCATTATTTAATTTTCGTCGACTTTTTACTTCCATTTCTCTATTTGTGCCAGTATTAAGAGTAAAATTAAAAGTAAGTCGATAATCTGACGTTAAAACTACCATGAATGATGGATAATTGCTTCTGATAGGTGGTTGATATAAAAGAATTGCTTTTTCTCCAGTCGTTCGAAAGCTAAAAGCAATGTCACCTTTTCTCCATCCTGGCACTTCAATGTAAGATTGTGATGTTGTGAAAGTGACGACATACTTTTGTGTATCTAAAAATATTTTATAATTAAATAACTATAAAAATGAAGTTTACTATACAATAAAATATATTAATTGATAGATTGTTACTTGTTTCAACGCATTCTAATGGTCCAAGAGTAATCCTTCCTTGAGCATCTTCTTCAAGTTCCTTTTGCTGAAGAAAAACCATTCCAGTGATGCCTAAGGATTCTGGAGTTTCATAATAACCTTCATCTGAAAGCCATTTTCCCGCAGAAACATCACAATTACAACTTAAGTCTGGATTGACGCAGGTTCTGTTCACTAAATAATTAATGGAGATTAATTTTACATTTAAAAATTTTTTTTATTCATACTGATGGTAATTAAAATTATATCTTACTTCCACAAGGACAAGATCCTCGGTTAACATTTCCAATATAATCAACGATGGTTTCCTTTGAACCGAGAAACCAAGTAGCACTGTGAAGATCCAATGGTGCTTTATAGCAATCATACTTGACATATTGACTGCAGTACAATGAATGAGAAATTAGTTCTTGCAGCATTTCAGCAGTGAATTGACGATAAGTAATATTAAATGAGAAGTCATCTTCAGCGATAGACCGAACATCTACTTGAGATGGTAAATTGTGCTCGACAATTGTTTTTGTTGCATCTTCAATTGATTGAAATTCACATTTCACTAAAGCTGGTGGAAATTTACCATTTCCATCAATATCAATTTTATAGACATCATCTTGGGTATATCCTAAAAGAGCTAATTCTTCACAAGTCTTTCGATATTGTGCTAAAAAAAATTTAGAACATAAATTAATTATTTTCGACGGAATTTATTGAATTCATTTATTGGTGATTAATTGATTTACTTACCAAAATGACAATTTTTTCCAATGTAACCAGTATCAGTGCAATCACAAGTAATTTTATTTTCCTTTACGGAACATTTCCCACCATGTTCACATGTATTCGGCCTTGTACAAGGATCAACGAATTGACAGTTGTCTAAAGCAACCTCGCCCACGACTCGTTCAGTATTTATTACGTATCTAGGTTCTATTATTTCATCGTTAACTTTTATATCTCTCATGCAGCCAACTAAACCTGTAATTCAATATCAATTTATGGTAGATTAACCAAATCTTTAGCTTTATTATTTTTCTTTTTAAGTTTACTCATACTTTAATTATAAAAAAGAAAAATCATTTACCTGCATCACTTTTTCCACTTCCAATAATAACTTTGTCACCAAGTTCAAATGTCATCGCAAAAAGCTTTCCCTGTTTATGTCTATAATCCACAATAATATTAAGTTCTCCTTTGGTATAATTTAATTCAACTGCATGCCAGGATGTTCGATTGTTCGGTGGGAATTTAACTGATGCTGATACAGTAATGTTATCTGTTAGAACTGGTATTAATTGGAACCGCATTTCATCATTAACAAGCCTCAACTGTAACAGAGTTTAATTACTTAATAATATAAATCGTTTATTTTAATCAATTATGATTCTACAGAATTAATAAAAAATTTACCTCCCAGTATCCAAGACCTTGATCACTTTTTACATCGCCAGAAGCAACAACAGCGACAGGTTTAGAGCTTTGAAAATCGAAATGAAGTAATAGAGAATTAGTTTTAGCTATTGGCCACCAAATATGACTTCCGGAAAAAGGATATGTGATTGGTATCACATCAACATCAACTTCATAATATTCCGGTTCAAGGACTCCAATGTAATGAACCATTGGATTTGATTTCTTCAATTCGTATATTATGGATTTATCGTTGAAGAAAACATACTTCAACACTCCTAGATATCCACATTTAAAATAAAACTTTATTATTACCTTTCTTGTTACAATAAAACCTCTCTAAGTTCTACCTCTTGGGGCTCTCGATTCTCGAAAGTAGACATTAGATCCCCACTTTTATATTAGAAGGCGTGGCTTACGTAAACGCGGGAAACTAGAATAATACTAATAAGTGACCATATTCAACGAGTTCACACATGTCAGTCATGTGCGACGTTGTTCTGCGCGCGCATAAAAGAGGGGATAATCTTCTCTTCTAAGAATAGGAAGTGGGGATAGTGCAGAGAACTAAGAGAGGTTTTATTGTACTGTTTAATTTCTTTGTTTTGAATATAAAAATTTTTGTTTCGATATTTACCTGCGAAATTATTGTAGGACTTTAACCCTTTCTTTTTGTGCAATTCTGGACCTCCTCCAATATAAATTTCCGGATCAATGATCATGTAATGATTGTTACCAGGTATTTCGAGTACTTTATGCTCAAAATCAAGACTCACAAAGATTTGTGAACCGTTATGAAATATTGTTAAATTACTCCAAAGATTTGAAGACACATCTTCTCCAAGAGTTGTATTCATTTTTGTGTTATGACCAAAATCTATTTCTATATGGATTTTTCTATTGATTATTGATGCAGCTACATAATGAGGAGTACCATCTATTTCTCCAGATGCATAGAATAGTACGGAATCATCCCAACGAGTCTAAAAATAAATTTTGTCTCAGTTCCTAATTAAGGTAAATATGTTTATATTAATAAATTATTGTTAATTTATCTACCTTGAACATTAAGCTTATTCGGTTCATTGATGAATGAACTCTGTCTTTCCAGTCATAAACTCGAAAAGATACATATGAAGAACCTCTTAATGTTAAAATCGTAGCAGCTATAAAGAAATAAAAAATTAAAAATTAGCTTCAATATAAAATAATTTGACTTTAAAAAAAAAATTCTTACTGTAAACATCACATCGTTCTCCTTCGTATCTGGTTCCAAAGCAATCACATGTTAAACTGTTATAATGGTTAACACATTGACTGCCAATAAAACATAAATTTTCTCTTGTCCAGCATCTGCAAAGAGTTATCAATTATTTGTTAAGCTAATTATTTTTTAATTATTTTCTTCTTGCAATTTTAAACTTACTTGTTGATGCATCCTTCTTTCACATTTTCATGTTTAGTTGCTATCAATGGCTGAATTGGTAATAAATCGCTGGCTGACTTTCCTGAACTCAATACCATATCTTTAATACAACCTACAAATGATTCAATAATGTATTTGACACCATGCAATCTTTCCTCGGAGCTTAATCCTGTGGAAAAATAAACAACGATCAATAGAATGAAATATTTTATTACAAAATATATGGTGATAGATAATACATTTTTTTCTCAAATAAATGACTTGCCTCCAATTAGCACAACTGAAGCCAAGTCTTCTGACACTCCATAATTAACAACTCGTTCCAACACCTCGAGAGTTGTTTCTTCCTGTTTATCATTAACTCGAGCAATAAGTTTGGCTCCATGAACATCAATACGAACCAACACGCTGTGCCACTCATCTCTATTAAGCCCTTCTCCAACTGTTAAACTTGTAGAGAACTTCCCAAAGACATGAACAACCTTGAGTTGACCTTTCTCAACGATTACGTAAAGAGCATAAGGGTCTAAACTCTCCGGGCGGTCTTTTACACTGTGATAAACGAGCAGACCATGAGGTAACTTGGTACGAAATAGGAACGATATTTCTCGACACAATCGCAATTGGAAGGTTTTAATTCCACTTCCATCAAGTTGGATAAAAGTGTTACTTTCCGCAAACATAAATGTTTTTTCATATCCAGACTCCATAAATGTCAATTCCTAAAATAAATCAATTATTATTAATTAAAAATATCCAATAATTTATTCTATTTGATTTTTATTTTGTAAAAAGGAAGTATTCAATCTTTTTAAAATATCTGATCTAAAGTGGCTATTGACATTTTCTGGCGAAGAAACATTTTTCGTGTCTATTTTAAACTTTTAATTTTATCTGCTTTCGATCTTAGATGCACTGAAGATACCTATTTACATGTAGACAATAGACTTAAAATTGAATACTTGTTTAAAGTTAAAAATTTTTCTTGTCCAAACAGAAATATTTCATTAACTAAATTTATTCTTACTTTTCCTCGTTGATACTTGGGTACAGGAGGCCTGGTTGGTTCTGGAGGGAATAAAGTGGGTGGAAGAGTACGTAGTGTTGTTGTTGGTGTTGTACTCGTTGTAGTAGTAGTTGTGGTGACAAAAACACTTCCTTTAGTGACCATGTATGCATTTAATGTATCTATTTATTTTGATTAGAAAACAAATGATTTCAATTATTAGTTTTATTTAACAATAAAATGTATCATAATAAAAATTTTTGATAGATCAATCTTAACTTACAGTTGGGTCCACCAATGCAATAGTGGAGACATTCGAGCTGTGAATTAAATCTGTTTTCATTTCCCAAACAACCACCGTAAACGAAGGTCCTACATTTTCCTTCAGCTTTGTTGAAGGTCCACTTGTGAATATAATGTTTACATGGGCCTGAATCTGTTTTAACTAAACAACGATCAGGTAAAATACGCCTAGTGGTTGTGGTGACTATTTCTGTGTCTTCAGATAAATCTAAATCTGATGTATCAGTAATACTAGATTGGACTTCAATAATCACACTCAATAAACTCAGGATCACTAGGATCCCCTTCGATTGGACTGTCATCGTTCTTCATTCGCTGAAGATCTACAAAAACTAATAAATAAGTAAATAAATATTTCATTTTCGCAATAAATATGTTTTATATAATTATAAGATTCAAGTAAAAATATAAACAATAATTTTTCTATTAATTATTAAATTCGATAAACAGAAGCTCATCATAAAACAATGATGACCTTTCAGGATGAAGTTTTCTTTTTCAATATTGTGGAGACAAAAGATAAAGTAATATAAAATAATTCTGTTTTTCAGCCATGCTGATCATCTCAATACATTAGAAATTCCAAATAGTCTCTGGTATTGCTTTCAATTCAAGAAAAATTCTTAACTCATTCCTCTGATCATTGATAAGACCTGCACGTGGTTACCGAAGATATCGAAGAGCTTCGAGAATTTTTAATAAATTCTCAGAACCATCTTTTTGATATTCTCGTCTCTCTGAGCAATCATTTACCCACACAAGTAACTTTAAGTATTAGGATTGAGCCATTCTTCCTGCTACAAAGAGAACTTGAGTTTATAAATGCTCAATGTGATCACCTTCTTTGGATTTACGACTTCTTATTAATTTTCAATCTGGAAGCACGATTTGTATTTTATGGTATAAACGTTCAATACTTGATTACTATCAGCTTCTGTTTGGAATTAGTAATATAAAGAATAGGAGTATTTGATGATAAGATAGCTACAGGGATTTAAACATGAAATTAGGTAATATTTTTTAGTCTGATGATAAAATTCTGTCAGTGATTTTATCATCTTGGGTAAAGAATAAACATGGATAAATTGTTATTGAGTTTGTTATATATGTATAACAAGCCCGCCATTTATGATGTTTGATTTTTAAAAAAAAAGCAAATGGTGTACATATTTGCTATACCATGGATTGATAAGAACTGATAATAATTCCTGACTTTCTGTGTCTGGCTAAGGGTTCAATTCTTCTTGCAAGCTGATGCTATAAAAGCGGAGATTAGTTGAATCCCTCCAGGTGATTGCTTTGATGTTAAAAATGATAAAATTATTTTTTTATATTAAAAAAAAAAATGTCATAGAAAGGCTCTTAGCATTTGAAAACAGGTAGAAAACTTTCTAAAGTTTTTAGAGAAAAGAATGTTGAAAAGTGTACACGACTTTTCTGAACGTGTCCTGTCATCGATATAATCATAAAGGAAATTACTGGCATGAGAATACATAAACTCTTTACCACTCCTTCTCATGAAATCAACATGATCAATCTTCTTGCAGTCAAATGGAAGAGTAGTTGGAACGAAATCGCGACTACAAAGTCAAAACGTTAGACAAGGATGTTCATGGGACAGTCAGCCTCTTGATGGGTTACTCACGAGTCATGTGAGTCAATTTTCTCTTGCTAGGCCCTCTTCCTCAGAGTATTCAATTGAATCTGAGGTTACACCGACGCTTTACACATCTTCATTTCAATCTCTAAGCTGTCCGGAACCGCACTGGACCACCAACTGACTTCCGCTCATTTTTATTTTTTTCAATCACATTCGTAATTTCTATTCAAGGTCGTCCGAGTTACAATATGCATTCATTTAGATTTATGTGAATATCTACTTCTAAAAATCATTTCACTTTTTTTTTTTTGATAAAGGAATCATTGTCTAATAATCAAATCGCAGAGATTAGATATTACTTAATGCTGTCTATGTAAGAATATGAGTATTTTTATTTGAATGAGTTCTTATTTAATCGACTGATATGAGTGAAAATAGAGATATCACTTGTAGCTTGAGATACACAAGTATATATACCTTTGAAAGAAAACACTTAATTGTTTTTGTCAATTCTTGTTTTTAACAATACCAGTCCTTTATTATCATAGTGGGTGTATTTTTATTGATTATTCTAGTCTTGAGATTTACATATTGTTAAAAGATTATTGTTGTAAATTGGAGTAAATTAAAAGTTGGTCTTATAAAGATGTTTGTTTAATGCATATAATATAAATATTTAATATTATCTTTTTTGCTATTGCCGGTACTTGAAAGATATTTATTTATAAGTAAAAATTGATAGCAAAATTTACTTTTGAATATTGAGTTTTTGAGTAATATTTTATGCTAAATTATAAAAGTTTACTGAATAAATATGTCAGGGAACATATTCCCAGGAAAGGACAAATAAGGATCAAGTTCAAGGAAAGTGGTCCGGAAAACCTTGAAAAGCTAGGCAAACATTAAAGAAAGCCGTGCTCCAAATGAGGAATATATCTCAGCAGGATATGACGTCAAAAAGTCATCTGTGAAAGAATGTGTGTACAGATGAGGGTCCAAGCATAGGCACTTGGTATTGTTTTACCAAGTGTTTAGTATTAGACCAAGTTGGCAAGCGTACAATTGTCTTGAATCAAATTCTATGAATGTACTCATATTGATGAGTAGCATATACAACTTTAGATTTGATTAACTTGTAAGCATTATCAATGTAATGTTCTCTTTAATGGTAGCTTGCCTGAATGTTACTACATCTAGAGAGGCAGACAGTAATTTATTAATGTCACTTTCCGACCACTCTACTACGTTACTCATCCTAGTTTATTGACTTTCATTGTGAGATCTCATCAAGTAACCAAAGTCTTTTTGCTTGCCCTTTTTATTTCATCAATGTTTTCATTGACAATCTTTAAAAGTCTCTAGTTATAGGCCACTTCTAAATCTCTGTGATCATTTCAGGTCTAAAGGTCCATTTAATTAGAATCAATTCCATTAGATCACATTCTAGCTAAAACTTTGATTGAAATTTTTTGGTGTTGAAGGGTTCATCTCTCTTTAAAGGCTCCATTTCGCGGCCTCGCAAACCGCATGACCTTCTTCGGAGCTCGGGAATCGATACATCGAACAGTCGACCTGGTTTCTTCGTGGAAAATGGAGTAAGATATGAATAAAGGTATTCTCGTTAATTATATTACTGAGAAAATGAATATGTTGTTATTTTTAGCTCTTTTTATTCAAAATAATTGCTTTATTTTTAGATTACCATCATTTTAAAATGATTAGTAGTTGTTTGACGACATATTATTATTGTGTACATCAAAAATATCAAAAAATTATTATTAAAATCAATCAATAAGAAATATTTTAAATCATTGAAATGATTAAAAAACATCTTTAGAACAAATTGTGACAGCAAGTGACGAGTCAGATCGTTTGTCCAGCGGAAGTTGGCCGTGCAAATTGAAACAGACAACAGTAGAGCACTAAGCACGTCAAGATGACACGTGAGATGAATTCAATCATAATGCGTATGCCTCTAAATTCGAATTTAATATATTTTCTTTCTATTTTTCTTTCATCTTTGTACCTTATACTGGGTTTATTCAATAAACGTGACGATACTTTTAACAAGGATCATGATCAGCCGGTTCTTTTATTCCTGAAGACAATGCTAGAGGCACGCGACACATCATTCGGTAAAAGGATGAAATAAATTGGCTAGATATTTCATATGATTGCAATAATGAATGATATAACGAGAAAAACAATAAATGAATATATATGAATAAGAAAAACGTGATGTGAAAAAAAAACTTTCCTTTCAATACCGACTTTACAACCGATGCATTTTAATTTTTATTTTTATTTTTAAATCAAATGATTCACAGTCATGAGATCACTTTCTTCACATCATTGAAAATATTATCATTCTCTTTTTTTTCATACTTATTTACTATGTATATAAATAGAAATAAAATATATACAGCAGGTTAATCAATTTTAAAATAAATCGCGTGACTAGTTTTAAAAAGCACGTGGTTTTTAGTTGTACTGATTACGATTGGTTTATAGAGAAGAAAAAAATTAATATAAGTGATTGAATAATATTGATTGATTAACGATTAAAACAAGTGAAAGGACTTTTAATTCATTGAGTATCATATTCCATTACATTTAATTATTAATTAATTATTTATTCATTTTTATTGACACGAGAGCGGATTAATTACAAAAAATAACTCTGTGCAATGTCATTAATTATATTTATTAATTGTTTATAAAAAATTGTGAACAATTTTTTTCTTGTTATCCGAGATTAATTTTTGTAGGGAAAATAATAAAAGTAAAAAAAATTTATTATGATTTTGGTGACAGTAAGAGCAGCAATATTTTTTGTTAATTAGGATGTGAAGTAAAATTAATAATGAGTTGATTAATGAGTTAGTATAACGCCTCTCGCATGTACAACGGTGCTATTGCGCGAATTATACGATGTAGAAGATAATTTGTTACTATGATGATGATGATGATGGTCATTGTAAAGTAATTTTTTCATTCGTTAGAAATAAACCAGCTGGATAAATGCATGCTACATCTTCATCTTTGTATATTAAAGGAGATATTTTTTTTTTTAGTTTTATCCAATTTTCATGGCTTAATAATTTGAAAGAAAAAAAAAATCTACATGTTTTATTATTTACTTACGACGTCATACGATTCCGCAAACCCAGCGATATGTTGGTGATAGAATTTAGTCACTAAAAATCAATGAAGCAGAAAAAATAGACACGTCGATGGTTCATATCATAAACTGCTAATTATAATCACTTTTTTTTTTTTAGAATAGTTAATTACTTAATTATTATTATTACTATTTATTGTATAGAAATAATTAAAATTAGTATCACTAAACACTTGTCCTATTTATCTAGTCTTTTGTGCAAATGTTATTTGTTAATAATTTTCATTTTGAAAAAAAATGGTAAAATTATTTTAAAAATATGCATATGAGATTATATTTGTGTTGAGAAATCTTTTTAAAATGATTTTATTTTTTAATATTAATAAAATCTTGAACAAAGATAAAGAAACTTGATCGAACAAACTCGCAAATGAAGTGCGCGGCGCGACGAAATCGCGCTCACGACTGACACATCATTGGAGAGTTGCGTCTGTCGTGTAACTGAACGGATTTTCCCCTCTACCTACGCAAGCTATGTGTGGAGGGTAATAGAGAGGAGGAAACTCCATTTGAGTTACAGCCAGGGGTGCAAAGAGCACTATAATATTTTTTTAACCAAACTGTTTTTCACTTAACATTAACATTTTTTTTTTTATATATTAATTTATTAACAATTAAAGATTCATCTTGTTCAAGTTTAGCTGATGATTCTTCGTTTTTCATGAAATGCTTATAATATTCTTTTAAAGATTCCAACATAAGCGTTGATGTATGATTTATCATTTGTTATCGCTAATTTAGATGTGAATATGTTTTATCAATTTATTGTAAATGCTTGGAGCGAATAATTTCTCGTAGACATAAGAGGGAGCATTCGTGACATGTGATAAATAACGTGACAATGGGATAATGGACAAATTGACCCTTAAATGCATCCCATTCGTTAGCCCGGGGAATTTAAGTCGGAAGGTCGAATGTTTAAGAATCAGAATAAAATGCTAAAAAAATTATGTCAATATTGAATTATCATGTTTTTGGTAATTTAATTAGTTGATTTATCATTATTTAGATAGATATTTTATTAAAAATAAATCATTCTGATTTAAAAACATGCCTGATTTTAAATTCATTTTATTGTTATAATTATTTAATTATCATATTATTATTTAAATGGATGAGCAATAAATATTCTGATAGATCTATTATTTTATTGAGAAACAAATAATGAAAATAATTGAGACATTTTTAAAATTGTTATTCAGACTCCATTTCTTTTTTGAAAAGCTCCTTAGAATTTCGAAAAAAATGTAATCCAAAAAATTTGATCAATAAATCAAATTTATTCGACTTCTTAATTTCAATCGAATGAATTAATAATAATATAACCAAACACTAAAACAATTTATGCTCCAAGTATTGAAAAAAATAAATGAAACGACACAATCATCGTGAAACTTCTAACCGTCATCAATTCATTCTGAACATTATCCACATTTTAAAATCAAGGAAACATTGATAGATAATAGTGAGTAAGATTGTAGTACATACTTGTAATGTCCTCTAGCTTCCTTTTTACTTCTTACCTACGCCTATTCACCTACGCATATTCACATAAGCTTATCCTAATACTAGTATTTCTGGTTCGCCATTATCTTTATCAATATCTCTTCAGCATTTCCTTCAAGAATTAATGTTCTCATTATACCTGTCAGCTCAATGTGTATGTACACATTTGATGCACGCAAAACTCTTGTCGGGTTGGGCATCAATATGTGCATCATGAATAGAGCTGAAGAAAGAGATGGAAAAATAAAGAGACGGCCTAACAGTGCAGTCAAATGACAAATTGTTTCCTGAATAAAGTGCTTGGCCGGAGGAACGTAACTACACTTCTCTCTATCTCTTTATACTTTGCTTCCATAGTCTCAACTCAAACTACCTCTTGGCAAGGCCGATGAAGGATAAGATGTATTTTCAACAGTTAAATTTATGTACATTATTTTCAATGTAAATAATACGCTTTTTCCGCTATTTTTATTGTATCATTTACCTGCAGCAATTGTAGTGTATTAAATATTTATTATCAAGTCAATGAACGTCAAATAAAATTATTGTCTCACCCTTTTATTCAATATTCTTGTCTTTTTCTTTATTTTATTAGTTTTACTATTGATGTGTTCATAAAACGAAGGTGGAAAAAACTGACCAAGTATTGACATTTCTTAAAAAATTCATCTAAACTACTTCAGAGAAATTTCTTATCTGAAAAAAAATTAAAATGCACGCAATGACAATTAATTGATTTAATTTTGTAAAATAAAATACAAATGATAAGATAGTTGTAGGTAATATTATTGATATAATTTATTTTTCTATACTGTGATAAATATGAAAATAATTAATATGTCGATATTATTCAATGATTAGATTAGAATATTTGTTTATAATTATTGCTAACTGTTTTGTATTTATTACAAGAGCTAACATATTTAACGAGTGCATCGGTAACTTGTAAGAAGTAAGGCGTAAAATTGTTACTGTAATGCACTAATCATTGCTAAAATGTGTGACCTATAATGAAAAGTTACGTCACATCATACATATGAGTACCAAGTGTGAAGAATAATCATATGTAGTAACAAATCGTCAAGATAAACTCAATGCCATTCGATTAACTATCATTATTTATTATCAATTGATGAGATAATTATATTTGGTTAAAATTGATTACGATAACTCTATTATATCAAGAAATTCGATTGATTATTTTTAAAAATAATAAAAATTAGTTTTAGTTTGATTTAATCAATTTGTCATTTTCAAAATTTTCAATAATCCCACTAGCGTGATCTATCGGTAATGTTGTAAATAAATCAATTATATAATTATTAATGTCTCTAACAGAGGGCGTTCTATGTCAAATTCCCATCCCCATAAAATGGATGCCGATCAAAGCGTAATTATTCTGTTTTTTTCTGCATAATAATTAATCAAATTCTCGTGTGCAGCTGCAACGAGTAAGAGGAAAGAATGCAGAATGTAATAAGTTACTAAGTTAATATCCGTTGAGATTGAATAAATTATATCAGATACATTTTATTGCGTTGAGTTGACGTTTGCTCCGTTGGTAGACATAAAGTGCACTCATCTTTACCGTTTTTTTAGGACTACATCAAGTGTGTTTTGTGCAATTTCATCTCAAGTGCGTAATGTTCGTGACTTTTATCACCATTTGATAGTGGGGGGTTAGTTGATTAGGCGATTGTTTTATGTTCATTATAACGTACGTCAATGTCGTCAAAGAGGCGGCGGTTTTATGAATGTCGTCACTCAATAGTATCGTTTATAGTAGAGAGAAAGGGAGAGAGTGACGCGTGAGTGTACCGGAGACACTACGATAATATTCATAAACCGCGACGACTCAAAATTTGTCCTCGGCTGTTTCTAGTTTTATGCGTCAGTCGATGAAATCGCGTCAACCAACGTCCAGTGATACCACTCATTGACTGTTGTTTTGAGAGTTTTTAACCTGTAAATAAAGCTGCAACTGTTATCTCAACGTGTTTCATCTCATGTGAAAGGCGGACAAGAGGGTAAAAATCTTATTTTATTTTATTATTCTTATTTGCTGTCTTTGTTACTTTAAATTCGCTTTCCTGATATTTGGTGGTTCATTTGTGTTTTTTAATTACTAATTGAAGAAGATGATATCAAGTTTATTTTTAAATTTATCTCAAGCTTTGTAAAAATGTTTTGTTGATGATATTTGCGTCTTTTCTCTCTCTGCGTACTTTTATCTCTTTCTATCTCTCTTTTACACTTATCTCATATTATTTTTGGACCTCTCTTCAAATGATATATCCATTAAAAAAATTATTCTAACTCTTTTCAAGGTTAATGTATTTTTATTATATACAGATTCATTTATTTTTCAACATTAGGAATGCTTAGTGAATACAATTAATAATCAACGTTTATTTTTTTCATTCAGTGAGAACAGTAAAATAAATTAAACAAGTAGCTGAAGAAACATGTGATGCGACTTTTACGGAGCAGTATTACATGGTTGAGATGCATTACACGTCGATATCCCGCAATTTGTCTAGTGAATCTTTTTCTTCCTACCGCTCACCAAAGGTATAACAAACAATTGCATATTTTAAATTTGTTATATGAATTTTTTATGTGTCATTAATTCCCTTGAAAATTATTTCTACATTCCTTCACGTCTTTTGGTTTTTACCGAGTTATCCATTGCTAATTAATCAATTATTGCTTGTTTCGTTTTTATCTGCAAGTTTGGTTCTTTGAATTGTCAGGATATATCTTTTGCCAATGATACTAACTCCTCCAGTGGTCCCTTGTTGCCTGGTGATATGAGTCAAGCCGATAAAAATTACAAGGAGCGTAAGGAACATAAAGACAAATGTAGAACCTACAGGAAGTATTCAGAATTGACACCACCAACTCTACATTCCTGCTATGATAATTATGGGTTGGTCAATCAATCATTTCATATACTTTCACTATTAATGTATAACCAACACTAATTAACAAGCATGATATTGTTTTCTGCTACATTATATATGCTAAATTATTCTACTTGTAAATTAACTATATGAAACTTTTATGTTCAATAGAAATTCTTTGGCAAGCAAATCAAACTCCTTGCCTGGAAGATGTAATACAAATTTAAATGGCTCAGAGCCACTTGTGGCTACAGGAATTCCTGCAGAAGATCTTGCCACACAATTGACATTGTTAGATTTAAGTGTCTTCAAGGCCATCAGGCCAGAAGAATTGTCTAGTTGTTCTTGGAATAAGAAGAATAAACTTCTCGTTGCTCCGAATGTGGTAGCATTTACTAGAAGATTCAATCATGTAAGTGGCCCTTTTAAAATTAGCTCTTAAAAGATAATTATTTTTTCAACAATTCATTATTATGATTACTATTTTAGGTCAGTTTTTGGACAGTTCAGGAAATACTTAATTTTTCAACTCCAAAACAACGTTCAGAAATGATTGCTCATTTTATTCGAGTTGCAAAGAAATTATATGATTTAAATAATATGCATTCATTATTTGCAATCATATCCGGTCTTCAAAGTGCTCCAATATATCGGTAATAAGTTATGACCAACAACTATACGTTGTTGAACGTATACGAACAGTCTATAACGACTATAGATATTATAATGAGAATAATTATTAAATAATTCACATGATTATCTTTTTTTGTAGGCTTAATAAAACATGGTCATGTCTATCGAAGAAAGAAAAATGCACGTTTGATAAACTTGCTGAAGTTTTTAGTGATAAAAATAACTGGACAAATTTAAGAGAACACATGGAAGTTATTAAATTACCATGCATTCCTTATCTTGGTTTATTTCTAACAGATCTAGTTTATATTGATATGGCTCATCCTTCATCAAAGGTCAGTTTTCTCTTCATTCATAAGTTATAATGTGCTGAAGTAGTATGAATAATTAATTTAAAACTGTTTAATTTTATTTTTAGAATAATGACAACCATCAAAGAGCTATAAAAATGAATACTGTTTTGACTAGAGTTACAGTTTTACAAGCTAGTGAATATCCAGGTATTATTCCCCTACCTGATGTTCAAAGATATCTTAATAGTGTGCGGTATATTGAAGAATTACAAAAGTTTTTAGAAGATGATCATTTCAAGTAAGAATAATAGAATAAAAATAATTATAATTCATGTTTTCGAATAAGAATATTGTATGAATTTCTATTGTTTACTTACAGATTATCAGTAAAACTCGAACCTAATTCTCCCGTAGCATCGTCAAGCAGCAGTAAAGAGTCTGTGGGAGATGTTGTAACGGGTGTGGCAGCTCTTTCATTATCTCCAGCACGAGGATGTGCAGGGTCATTACGATTACATGCAGCCTCTGCTGCCAATAAATTTGTCCCTGGCCATCGCAAGTGTAGAAGTCTAGGAACAAAGTGAGTACAATAATTACAGTTGTGAGAGTTAGATAAGAAACAAAAGAATATAATTTTTAATTGATGGTTAATGTATTCGACCTACTCAACAAAAGAATTACCGGCGATTATGAAATAACATTCGGTTTGAGAGCAAATAAAGAATTAAAAGTAAAATATTTTGATTACGTTAAATAAATATTTATCTGGCGCTGTTTCAATTAATTTGGTTAATCGAATTAAAATCTTGTGGTTGTTATGGCTCTGTCAGATTTCGTAGTACGAGCCTTCCACGCAACTTCCATAAGCAAGGAGGGCGATATGGAACTAGCTTTGGAGCATCTGGGTGAGTCGCGGGATCATCAGTAGGGATCATAGCATATATTATTTAATAAATCTATTGATTGGCTTATTATTATACATTTATACAATATCTGTCGCACCTTGGATCGAGGCATCGTGGAAACATAGGCTCTGCATGTGAAATATTTTTACATCCACAATTATAAGTCATTGATAATAATTATAATTTACTATTCCAACATTTATGTATCATTTGTGTAATCTAATTTTTATTTCATAGGTAACTAAACCATATTAGTAAATGACAATATTTTCGTTTATAATTATTAGAAATATTATATCATTTCATTCTTCAATTAAACCTTGTCACATTTTTTTCAAATTCCACAGCATGTTTTAGTATTTTAACATATTAATTGATGTAAATTATTAGATTTAATCGTTCATTCAATTTTCTTTTTATAAAAAATATTTTTAAATATTACATTTAGCGAAAGTATTGTCTTGAATGTCAAAAATATAAAAGAAGAGAACAAAATAATTCAATGCTTGTTATTTCAATGCATGAAAAAACATCATTTAATGAAAAAAACCATGATTACATAATTAATTATTTAGCAATGAATATTAGTTTAAATTGTTATATTACAGTGTCTTCGGAAAATCAACGGGTATCACTACAGAACCGGGTCAAGTGACCGTGAGACATCTTTTAGATGACTCAGTACTCGAAGAGCCTCATCTCATATCACCAACTATTGATTTAGATCAAAATTCGCCTGGTACGCCTATTGACTCACTCAATGATGATTGTAGCCTATTATCTCGAACAAGGTAATTAACACATGTTTCTGTTGATACTAATTAATCTAAATATTAATCATTGCTATTTATTACAACTATGATCGATTTTGTTACAATTTTATTCAGTACACACCCCATTTTACCATGTGAGATTGACGGAATCACAGAGCCTCGTTGTTCAATGCAAGGTCTTTTAAGACGAAAGGTTGTCTTAAGGGATGGTAAAAAGCCTGCAGTTACGACGTGGCAGAGATTTTGGATTCAATTGTGGGCTACTTCGATAGTTTATTTTTCACCAAAATGTTTCAAAGGGTAAGATATTTTTTACTCGTAAGTATTTATTATCGTATTTTCTTATTTTCTATTAATTTAGATCTTTGTTTTGCTTTAGATCTGATCGATCAGACTTTAAAAGAGAACCATATAAAATAGTATCAATACTAGGGTGGATTGTTGAATCATCAGATAGTATATTTCACCGTGATACTTTTTTACTGACTGATCCGAATAAAGGTAATCATAAAAGCATTCATTATAAAGTTATTTTCTATTCTAATCTTTCTTGACAACTATTCTTAATGTCTATTGACATTTTAGGAAACATATATAAATTTCGAGCTAATTCCGGTGATAGTGCTGAGCAATGGATAAAAGAACTTCGTGATATTGTACGTGGAGTTATCGACAAGAAACCAATTCCGGCAAACCTCATGTCATTTGAATAATCAGTAGCTTTTCGATGTTACCTAATATATACTAATACGGTAAATTCATATTTTTCAATGTATGATGCTTCAAGTTGGGCACTACAAGCAACAGAAAATTTGGATAAGAACGCCAATTCATAAGCCAAAAAAAAAAATTAAAAACAATAATAGGCTTGATCATTCAAAGCAATTCTCTATATTCATAAGCTGCTCAGAGCTTTGCAAAGACCTAATTATGTAACTTCGAATCCTTGAGTTTTCTTGTACTTCAATTTTCTTGATTTGTAAAATATTACCATTTTTTGAAATTTCTACACTGCCATATTTTGTAGAAGAGAGGAAAATTTTTAAGTAATTAATTTTAAAAAATAGAAGATGGTAAAAAATGATAGTTGAAAATTTCTAAGCTCAAGGGTTTTTAATTTATTGCTATGGTACTAGAATTTATAACAATGCAGATGTCACACTACTGATTAGTGATAGGTCACTGATAGTTATAATAGAGCAATAATTTTTTAATCTAAAACTTTAATATAACAACTTATTCACATTGTGCTCTCTATTATTTATGATTACTTTCTAAGATTCTGTTGTTTATTTATTATTAATCATAAATAGAAACATCAGGAAAGAAATGTAACATGGTTGATAATTATAAAATAATTTATTCCAAACTTTGATTTAATTAAAAATTACTTTAATAATTTTATCTGATATTGAACTAATGAAAATTGAACTATCAGAACAAATAGTAATTCAGTAATTAATTGAATAGATTAAATTAATTATTAATCATTAAGTTGCTTATTGCGTGTCTAAGACTGTCAATTATAGATTATGTAATGTAAAGATTGTAAAAAAAAATGAGAACCAACATTAAAATCAACACATTTTTGAAAAACTTTTCAATAAAAAGTCTACAGGCTTTCAATAATTACAGCAAAGAATAAATATCTCTGTCAATTCTGTACATTCTAAATTTTTTAGGTTGCGGAATGAATGAATTATTTGATAAAATTTTAAATCAATGAAGTATAATTATTAGTATGTCACAATATTTTTGTGATAATAAAATTTTTAATGACTTTTTCAAATACTACTAAAATACCAAAGGACTCAGTTTATAAATAAGACGTGATGAAATAATTTTTCATAAATCGGTTTTTTGGCAAAATTTGAATGATATTATATGAAAGCTGAAAAATGAATGGAGTAATATTAAATAATAAGAATATTGTAATGTTGTGCTGTTAGCTTGCCTTTTGAATCGGCATATCATTAGATATAAATGTGTAATGCTAAAAGATATAAACAAACAATACTCATATAACGATTATTTATAAAAAATATCAGTTCCATTTATGACAAAGTGAAATTTTATCAGTTACTACACTTTTTAACTTTAGCTTCAATTTTGTTGATATTTATTAAATACTATGATAAATAGCTATTAATTAATATAACATTTTCTATCTAAACATAAGTTTACATCTATAGAGTACTATTTCATTAAATTATTTTTAAAGTCTAATGTTTACTACACGCTTTAGATATATTGAATATGTATAAATGCTTTACAAATTGTTTATCAACGTTTAAAGCAATATATAGCATATTATTAGAAGATGAACGCCGTGATAGAAAATTCACCAATCTCTCAAGTCATTTCTTACAATGTAAACATATTCATTAAAACATATCATTGACATGAAAAAAATTTTCACTCCAAAAAAAGCAAAACCATGATAATTATTAAAAAAAATCTTATTAAACGTGATTCATTGGACATAGAAAAAAATATTTCTCTATAAAAAAATAACCTTTGTAACCTGTCTTTGTACTCTAAAATGATACTGAATGATATAAGAAGTTGACTTGATTACTTTATAATTTGTTATTGACATTAAAAGGGATATCAATTTCGACTGAATTATTTTGAAAATGTCAAGACTAGATAATAGTAACTTTTCATGTTTTATGTATTGTTTGTGTGCTCTATATACATTTTTTTGTAGCAATGATGCCAAAAAATATGATTATGTAATGTTACTTTGTTTGCATTAACTATATAAATATTATATATTTTTTTTACTTTATTTAATTATTTAATGTAAGTTGAAACCTGAAAGAAGCCGAATTGAAATATTTTTGTTCTGGTTGTGATATCATATCTGCTGTAAATGTTGTAATAAGAAAAAGAAGTAGATTTTTCGAAAAAAAAAAAACAGTAATATATTTTTGTTGCAATTTTTTTAACACAGTAGAATCGTTCGATACAATAAATGTAAGATGATTGTGTATACTCCTTTAGTATAGTGAATAATAGAAGAAGAATTTACTAAAAAAAATGTCTTGGAAATAATTGAAACAAACCAATTGAAAATTTGTATATTCGTGAAAAGTTTGGCCAAATAAAATGTGGCAGGTATAAGAATTCAATGTTCAATACAATAAATATCACAAATCACTTTATTTTTCTAAACAATTATCATCAGATTACACAAAGTGATTATCGTGTATGAAATAACAATGTCCAGTATAAACGAAACAATGTAACGTAATAGAGAAATATAAAAAATACATGATTAAAATTAATGTATTATTCATGATTATTGAATTTCAATCTTTGCCCCATACTGATATTGTGTATAAATATTTTTCTACGGATGAGAAAGTTTATTGTTTATATTATTTTATTCTTATGATTTTCCTCAATTCTCATCTGAGTCTTCAAGCTACTAGATGAATATGATTTATGTTATAAGAAGGATGAGCTGTCAAAGTTCCTTTAAAAATTAGAAGTTTTTTTTGGTTTTAATCATTTTTTACATATTCATTTACTCAAAAAGGACAACATAAGGATCCAACATCTCCCATATCTAGACATTTTCGATTGGGAAAACACACTTCTCGTCGAAGAATCAATTCACGTAAATCCTGATGATCTAAATTATATTTCGATTTAATCAAAGCGTAAAGATTTGTCGTAAAATTTTGAGGAGCTTCCAAACTCTGAAACAATAAATAATTGATTTGAAAATGATATACAATAAAATAATATTAAACATGCTAAAATTTTGTTTGTTCTAACTTGTAATGATATAATAAATGACTTTATTTTTACGTTCGTTGTGGAAGAATATTAAAATAATTAAATAATGTAAGAAATTACTTGAAATTTTCTGAGTAAATCTTCATCGATCCCCAGAGCATCTGGGAATGGAAAGTCAGGATTTCGTGACACTTTTGAAGAGTTTCGAAGATAACCGTCGCCAAGGGAAAAAACTAAAAAGTCTTCTCTCTCTAAAAATAAATATATAAATCAATTATGTTATTATAATTTATTTTTCATTACAAGAACTACTAAATGATACCCTCTTCAGGTAGAGACAAGAAAAATTTTTTTCCTGGAGTGTTTTCTTCTTCTATTATAACTTCAGTAGCACCAAAATGATGACTTATTGTCAATACAAATGTCAATAATAGACAATTCAACTTCATAATGGATGAATTTCTATCCACCACAATTAGTATGTAACTAGTGGTATTGAAAAAATCGATTATTAATATAATTATTTTTGAAATTATTATTTTTAGTATCTCCAAGAGACTGATTAAATACTTACCTCGTCAACTGTTTCTCAATCGTCTTCCAATTCGACTGACTCTTTAAGAAGAATCGATATCGAACTCCACCATAAATTATACTTCAATCTTAATCTTCTCTGACAGTATCTGTGATTAATCAGAAATAAGTTTTTTCACAATTAATTAATATTGACAAATTAATATATAAAATAACACGCTTTATTATTTTTCTTAATAAAAATTATAAATCTAAAATTCTAAAAATCGCCAACTCTGATATTTACAATTATCATAAAATTAATTTTCAGAATATTTTCCATTAAAGCATTAATAAATGACAACTCAAATGTTTACTTGGCATTACTTGTCAAAGAAAAATCATAATTCCCTAAATCCTCGATATCTTGAGGTAATAAATAATGATAAATAAAGTAAGTTATATTGAAAATTATTATCAAGATAAGACATATGTCTCAAGACTGAAATTGAATAAAAAATTTTATCATTAATTTTTTAAAAATATTTTCTAAAACATCTAAAAACAACAAATAAAATTTTCGACAATTAGTTTTTCTTTTGGGGGGAACCGTTTGTACTGAGGTTTACCGAAATTCTCTCTTCTGTTCTCTCTTATAGGTATACCAAGTCTAGTCCGTCCAACAGTGCAAATAATTAACGAATGGGTGAGATAGTACAGTCGTTGATGTTGCTCTTAGCTATATCCTATATCTCGAGGCGCGAGGTTCATCCTTGCGTTTCTGTAGCTTTGAAAAGGGTAGAGTGGCCACTGACCAGAAGAAACATGCGAGTGAATATTCCCGTTATTCTAGCTAGTCTACATTTATTTATTATTCATATCATTCTCAACCTATTTATGCTCTTTGCTTTCTCCCTCCCACTAGTACTACTAGTTTCTTTGTCAGTATTTAGTTTATTTTACCAGACAAAAATGAATTTAATCGAATTAATTCACCGAAAATAAAGACTCTTACTTCGGACAATCAACAAATATCAATCTTGAGTAGATTTTAATCATCTTAAGAAGCAATTGTGGGAACTGGATTGCAGGCAGGTTCATAACATTGAAGAGTTATGAATGTTATGTCGAAGTTGAACACCAAATTCGATCGTAACTCGATTAATTCTCCTTGGAAGCAAACCTAGAGGGTCGAAGATGAGTCGGTTGTGGGAGGGAATGAGAATTGTCGAGGGTGGCCCATAGAACTAGACCAACAAGCTACCTCGACTGTCGGTGTCGTAGCCTTGGTAACCGTCCGCAAACAATCAAGTCGAGCCTCCACACACAAATATACCCAATGTGTGTCATGGTAGCATGCAATGTGGTTGCAAGAATTGGATTCAATCTAAATCCGAAAAAAATGATAACATAATAGTACTATTATCTCATTTATTTATTCATGCAATCCATTTTTTTAATGTTTGTCTAAATTGTAGAATTATTTATCTCTTTTGTAGAATTTGGCAAAATTCATGTGATTACATTACAAATATTGACGTGTCATTAAACTTGACTTCTTTTTTTAATTGTTTGAAAAGTAATTAAAAAATGAAACATGAGATTTTCTTCGTTTAGTATCAAGTAACGAACAATAATAATAATTATTTGTATTAAATTATCATAAATGATTCAATAATTTGTTTTATTTATTAAAAAATGTTTTTTATAAAAATTAAGCTTTAATAAATAATTTAGAAAATATGATTAAAAATTAAAAAAAAAAAAACAGTTAGATTAATTTTTATATACTTGAAAGAAAATTTTTATATATATTAATGTGATTACTAGAAATTTAGTAATATTATTTATTTAACATTTACAAATAAATTTAAAGTAATAAAAACTAAAGAAGAAGAAATCCCAGAAGAAGACCTAGATCTCTTGTCTTTCGACGATGGGTAAAAATTGGAGAGGCTTTGTGTATATTCACACAGTGAAAGAAAACCAGGAGAGCGAAAAAAAGTTGAAAAAAAAAAAAGAAAAAAAGGTCAGAGTTAGAGAGAGAGAGAGAGAGAGAGAGAGAGTTCGAGGTTGGACTGATTTCCCCGTGGGTCACTTGAGTTCGCGTTTCCCTGAAAAAACCTAGCGGATTCGTGAAACTGTTTCATGCATGTATAGATTTATACACAATACACATGTCAATGGTATTCGTTCAAATTCAATTACAATTTGTCAATTAATGATATTTCCCTATCGGAAAAATTATAAAATATCCTCAGGTCACAATTTAGCATTCGATAAGCTAAAAAAAAATTGCACTGCGAATCAATTAATTTGCAACTGACAAATTAATTTACAATTCAAATATCATTCTACATTTGTTTGATTGTTACATAAAAATTGTGCGCTATGAAATGAATCAGTCTCTTGAAAAGTAATCAATGGGTAAAAAAGCGCAATTTTTTTTTACTAGTTATAATAAATATTTTAATGTAGCTATTGAATAAATGAATGTTGTTAAAATCTTCAGAAAAGTTAAAAAAAATATAAAATAAAAAATTTACAAGAGATTTACAATATTGAAAATTCTGTTGAGAAAAATCCATTATTTTTTTACTAATAAAAACTTCGAATACGATGATTAAAAAATAAAATTATTATTCCAACAAAAAAGCTGAGTCTTATAGAATATAAATGTAAACATTTTATTGTAGTTTAACTGAGATATATATTGAAATTAAAATAAATACAGAATAATTATTTTTAAATAGTGTTTTATGCACTTCAAATACTTGAAATTCACTGTAACTAAACCCTTAACAATGCTCCAAGAGAACAGAGGAACCTTTACGACTAGAACGACCTCGGTTTTACTCACATCCTCTCTATCTCCGCAACACTTCATTTTAAATAATTAATTGTAACATAGTTACCGCTGTTTTTATAACGGTTTTATCGTCGAATGTTGGCGTCGTGGTGTATAATTTAGTTGCTGGTTTTTAAAGTTAAATCCCAAGGCGCTGAGGTGCGAATGGACCAAGACGAGAAAAAAGACAGAGAGTTCTCAAGCCAACGTCTTACTGAATGTCTGAAAAATTAAAATAAAGGCCAGCTGTCGTCGGATTTACGTATTTATTTATTTATCAATTACACCAACATTTAGCCTTTGATAGAATTGGTCATGAGTTAACTTTTTTTCTACACATTCTCACTCTACTTGTACACATTTTTACTCTACTTGCACCTGTAAATCTCGTCTGTTTCTTTACATCTTTCTGAATTGAAAAAAAGTCTTGTATTACAATATTTTAATAAAAATCATTGGATTCGAAATTGTGAACCTTTTAAAACATTATTTTATTTCATCAACATTTTCGAATTGGAGTTTTTCTGTTTGATTTTAGTGCAATATTTTTTTAAATGATTGAAATAAATTGTTCTTTTGTTAAAGAATTCATTTCGGAGCATTCAATAAAATATTTCTAAAAGTGGTATCTGATTTTTGGATTATCCTCATAAAGATCAACTTTGGAGCACATTTCTTTCATATAAACACTCGATCAAAGAAGTAATGAAACAATAAAAAAATATTAAAAATACATCACAAAAAATTTAAATATTAATCAAAGATGTAATCATTTGTAAGAGCTTTGAGAATTTTTTTTTCACAATATTACAATATTTTTTACGCTTAGCTAATTTAATATTGAATGTAACGATGCATAAGTTGAACATTTCTACTTCTTCCACCAATTCACTATTACTTATTCACAATCTCATCTCTGTGAAACAGCTAAACGTACAATTCACCCAAGATTGTAAAAATGCCCACCAAATTATAAATTTATATATGTATATACTCAGCAATGTTTTTTTATATTTTTTCCCCCATCAGGACCAACTGATTCTCATCTCTACATAACATCAACTTAATTCTCAATCTTAAATTGGATTACACTTTACACCTGTCAAATAATTTATTTTTCAAGTTTCAAGTAAATATTTATTCTAAATCTATAAAGATGATAGACGAATGAGTATGAGCTGACTAAAATCCTGATATGAAATACTATGTAGAGTCAGAGAGGTGATATAAGTTGTTGAAGAGCAAGTAGAGTAAGAGAAATCATGAGGATCGAGCGATAAAACAATTGTTCTGGCTCTGAAGAAGCCACGGTCATATTTCTACGAGAAATACATCAAAGGGCAGTCTTCATGAAAAATGTAAACCCGCGAGCGCACTGTTATATCTCTTCTTGGTCCCAGGCAGGAGAAAGGACGTAAGATCTCAACCAGCTGAGATTTACTTCATGATTATTGGCAAATGGTACTAGACGCTTTTCAAGAATTTTCTATTATCCTTACATTCCCTTTTTTCTTCATCCACTTGTCTCTTCTATGTATTTTTTTCAATTTATCTTTCAATACAAAATAATCATTTTTATTTCTTGGATTCACTAAAGGTATCCAAATATTCTAATTCATTTCATGAATGATTTTTTTTTAACTACAATCAAATTAGTCTTCAATGTTATCTGAAGTGCAAGATCTATCCAGCATCATGAAGATTTATTTGATCGTTTGCTAGACGTTGCTTGGCAGAGAATGATTTCCCAGTGTTAAGTATGAAATGTGCATCTGTAAGATCAGAAATTGAAAAAGAAGTAGGTGCATGAAGCATAGGACCAAGGTGTGCTTTGACACAGCCCCTAGGGTACATTACTGGGATTGCTGCTACCAATTGAACTCCCTTGACGTCAAGCTTTTGCCAAAGTCACCATTTTCAGTATCTTGAAGCTCTTAGCTTTAAAATCTACCTTTCTTCACTCTATTCCTATACATATATGTTAACTTATACCATAGCTAGGCGACTCTTTTCAATCATTTGGCTCATAAATGTCTGCAAACATGTACTGTATGCCTATAGGCAGCAACGTTGAATGTTCAAACATCCAATCATTTTCACTTGGCTCATTCCCTCGAAGCTCTATTGTTTTTGCTGAAGGTTATTTGACTTGGTAGCTATTGTTTCGATTATTACATGAGTCTGGAACACACGTGACATGTAAGACAAGTGAAAAGATGAAGGAAGTACAAATAATAATCCCAGCAATGCTAATTCACTGTCTTTTGTGAGGTAATATTTCACTTGAAGCGACCGTGGAAATTCCTGAGA